TCCATGTCGCGACATGGGTCGAGAGCCGTTTTGCCGGGGTATGTCATATCGCGATATACGGGCTTCATGTCGCGACATGGGCGTGACCGGTTTTGCCATATCGCAATATATGGACTCCATGTCGCGACATGAAGCCCGGCGTTTTTTGCCGGGGTATGTCATATCGCGATATACGGGCTTCATGTCACGACATGGGCGCGGGGCGTTTTTTCCGGGTATGTCATATCGCGATATATAAGACTTGTCGCAATGGGTATCGCGATGTGATCGTGATGCGCTCACTCCAATCGTGACATGCTATCGGAGTCGTGAACGCGCTGTGGATGCCATGACATTCTTTGTCTGCTATTCAGTTTTGACCTCAGTGCGATTTCTCTTAGATTGATTAGTAATTGGAAACGAATGGATGTGTTACTGTATATTCAGTGTTCTCATACAGCACACACGGTTAACCGGGGCTGCAGTATTTGGACCAAGAAGAACATCTATCACATAGTAGTTCAGGTGGGTAGCTATCACATATGTATCTACATGTTCTCAGAACTTCCGCTGTGCACTTTACCCAATCAGAGTATCGATTCTCACTCTTCACCCAATCGTGGCCCGAGCTGTTCGGGGGTTTAGCCAATCACAGGTCTGAGAGCTGTTCAAGCTAGCAGCGCCAGGTGCATCTGCTTGTTTACTGTCAATGAGAATCTATTTTTTAAATGCTTTACCTTTAACTACATCGGCTTATTTTTTAATGTCTTTTTTTATTCACAATGTCCGTTACTCTTCGAAATAAATACATTTTTATTTGCAATATAACTGTCTCCGTTGCTTTCTGTAATGAATACATGGTATTTGAACAATTTTAATCGTATATTTAAGGTAGGGGAAACACCTCCTGCTTTGTACTTAAAAAATGAATAGAAATGTAAAGTCTATGATCATTATATTATTATGCTCGTGCTTTCAATTTTGTTTTTTATGTTAAATTACATCGATCTTTAAACTAATACCTAAAAACGTGAATATGGGCTCTCGTGTTGTATCAGCGGTAATTTGGAAACTGATGTCTCTTCATCAATGAAAGGAGTACACAAGCAATACATTTTCGAGAACATGGTTAAGAATTAAAAGAAAACACCTAACCCAATGAACTAACATAGTAACTCCTCCCTAAATGTAAGTGTTTATTCGTGTAAAGGCTGCAAAATCTGGGGTCAACTGCTCAAAAGACCACAACTGAAAGGGGGGCCAACTTCACGGAGTTCAATATAAACCCTGCATGGTATTTTAAATACAATATTTCGGACGTATTTTGAATCTTGTGTTTTGCAATAAAATATTAACTTCCGAATAAATCGTAAACCTACTGAACAATCTAAAAGCATGCATACGAAATACTTAGAACTGTTACAAGCAACAAGTGAAAATGAGCTTTTCTTTAGCTAAAGACAAATTCCTCACATGAGAGATCTTTGCAAACTAGCTGTCATTTGAACGGGAATTTGTCGACTCTCTAGACAGTGACAAGATTATTGCCATATTCAATTCTGGTCTAGAAGGCCAAAAACACACAACACAGGTACAGTAGGTACCGATTGTTTTTGTGTGTGTGTCCGCCGTGGCACAGTAGCGTTCGGCAGCCTAGGTAATTGTCATGTAACCTGTGTGTGTGAAAGTATATATAAGTTTCCGGTAATTCTGCTGTTTGGTTATACCGCTCGAGGATTGCATTGTAAATTAGAGGGGTGCCCTTATGCTGACAGGACGGTCAGTGAGAGCCCGGGCCTCCTACTTTTGCACAGGACCACCCAAAAATCAATTCCTGGCTACGCCCCTGGTCCATACACTCGAAAAGGATGACTTTAGAGATCTCTTACGAACCCGACCCAAATGCTACTTAGTTTCCAAAATAAACCAACAATGTGGCAAAGCTGCAGTCATATTCTATACCATAGAGACTTATTTTTTACTGAAAGGTAATTCATTTCAATGTACTGGCCTCAAACGTAAAACAATGCTTTATAATATAAGTTTATTTAGGAAAACATATTTGAAGCTACGAAATATCCGCTTAGGTACTGACAACCATTGCCTTTCGCCGGTAGAGATATACTCTACAAAGATGGCCGCACGCCTCGACCATTTTCGCCCGTGCACGAAATTACACGAAGCTCGGCAGGTTTTCCGGCAGAGCTGCTTTGTAAACAAGGTCAGAGAGAGGAATTCTGCAGAAAGATACACACAGCGCTTGACATCGGTTGAAGGCATCTCACCAGGCTTTTTGAAACACCTGTGGACTGCAAAGTACAGGTCCAAACAGCAGTTGCTGAAGTAAGTTAAACACGGCAATTTGTCGTGCGTAAACTTTCTCCATTTTCCTTAATATAGGTATGTTCTGTGTTTTGCATGCAATATTGATACAGTAATTACAAGTCATTATGATGACATTTAAAATGCAGTAATTCATTTTCAGCCTTGCCCAACAAGATCAGTCGGTGACTGTAAAATATTTTGTCACCTCATATAACCACTTCACCATAGCGAGAGCAGAGCTGCCGCACATATGATAACGATTAATTTTGATTGACTTACGGATTAGAAGTCCGTTCCCGCGGTAGCATATTGTAATGATTTCAAAACGAAGTCCAAAACTGGGTTTGAATGAGTTGAGTTTATATAGTCGTGTTAGATTCAAGGTGCGTCACAAAAAAGGTATTTATATTTTCCTGTTTTTACAGGAGACAAGCATGCTTGCTTTTGTCAGTCTAGACATTTTGGTGAGGGGTGCTATGTCGCCAAATAATACGATGTGAATTAGGAAACAGGCTGATGTATCGCTTTGCTGATTTTCTTTTGGACGCGTGCCTTCGTGCTGATATTGCTGGAAAAACGCATTCTTTCAGGTTTGTATTAACCTGGGTCTTGTCATTTTAGAAATCTGCATTATTAAAAGGAATGCGTGAACACGGTTTATCTTTGACCTAAATATAATTGTTTTATTACCCCCGGCACAATGAATATTTTTCTAATCCTTAGTACTGTAAATGTATTATGTTGAAATTAACAACAGTCCTGCGCTTTATGATTTTACAGTTAAAACTGTGACACTACCGCCTTTCCCGAAACATACCCACACAATTGAGCGGGTGGAGTAGGTGAAGCTTTTTTTTTGCTAAAGAGAAATCGAATCATAATTCTCCATTGCACTTAATTTCGTTTCGCATGCGGGAGATTGAGTTCAGCGCACTGTTTAATAAACAGCAGTATTGGAAGAGTGAGGGGTTATTGATTATTCTAGAGGAAGAGGTCATATTTGAACTTGACATTATAAGCTAACGCAGACTGTGCCAAAGTGTGATTGCGGACAAACGTTGAAAGACTGGCAGTTAAAGGTTGTTATTATTTTGAAATGTAACGATTTTTGATGTTCTGTTTCAAAATAGTGCAAATAATTTAACCCATTATTTGATGAAAGAGACTCTCTCCCAAGAGCAGGGGTGTTCTCACTGTTTGGACTTTTCTGACTCGAATAGTCAGTTATTTTCTCAGCTGAACGTGTTTGATCTGCAAAGTCCTTTACTTATTCGTTACTTTTAAAGACACCATTGCTGCAAAGTACAATATTAGAAAAAAACATTTGGGAACCTTGAAAGAAATATTAAAAATCCTGCAGTTAATTAACAATTTGGACTAATTAAGATAGTGATATCCCACTTGGGTTAGGACTCTGATGACAATACAGCAATGTTCAGAGAATTGGTATTTAACACCTTTGCATCTCAGTGCATCACACGTTTGTGTTTGTGTGATTAGCCAACATGGCAGTAGTGTAGGGTGTGTTGGTGGGCAGTGGTTAGCATTGCTGACTGCAGTGCTGGGGCCCTGGGTTGCTGTCTGCATGGTGTTTTGTATGTTCTCCCCATGTTTGCTTGGGTTTTCTCTAAGTGCTCAGGTTTCTTCCCACAGTCCAAAGACATACAGCAGAGTGGCACAGTGAGAGCTGGGCCTGTAACCCAGAGGTCAAGGAACTATCTTCTCCAAAGACATACTGGTTGGTTAATTGGCTTCTGGGAAATTTGGCCCTGGAGTGAGTCTGTGAATGTTTGTGCCTGCACTGTATGTGCCCTGTGATGGGCTGAAGTTTATCCTGCCTTCCGCCCGTTACTTGCTGGGATATGATCCAGGTCTCCCATGAACTTGAATTGGATGAAGTGGTTAGAAAATGGTGGAGGAGTGGTTGGGATTGTGGACTTCAGAGTGGAAAGTCGTGGCTTCCTGTCCCTGGTGGGACACTGCTGTACTCTTGTCTGAGGCACTTTGCTCAAGTTGTTCCGGTAAAGTCCCTGCTGTACAAGAGGCTGTCCAGGTGGACACTGTAAGTGAGAATGTGTTCTCAAGTGACTTAAATAACAAACACAGTGTTTTTCTACATACCACCTTTACCAGCACATCAATAATAGTTGCTTTAAAAACCCGATTTGGGGGTTGTGCCTATTTGAAATGGGGAATATTGAGCATTGCTTGCAAATCCTTTCTTGGGCTGGAGTTGGTTTCCTGAACAGGTGGAGTTTTTAAATTGGTGGTGGAAATTCTGGAAATTTTCATCTGTTGAACTAATAGGATATCTGAAGTATGCCGAGTGATTTGTTCAATTAAAAGAACTCCAGTCCTCTAAGGATATTCAGATATGTCTTCCAAGTGATCTGTAAATTACTTAACAAATGAGCCATTCGGGTGATCACAACCAAATAGTTCCAGGTTTTTAGAAATTTTTGATTTAATGGAAACCTATAATATCTGCTAGCTTTTCATTCTTCTGAGCTTAGGTTGTCTGGTATGGATGGTTAAATGTGGAAAAAAAAAATTACCTTTGTATGTGAACAGTAGAAACCTGGTAATTTATAGCAGTCGGCTTTTATTAAATGGTTCTGGCTAAGATTGTGAATTGATTCTGGAAGGCGACTCAACACTTTGATTAAAACTGAGCTCTGATCAACAGGATTGTAGAGAGAACTGAAAATGTAATAAATATTCATTTTTCACTGTAAATCTTATTTGCTTTGTGGAAAATCTGGGAATCTATTGTTTTCACAGTTAAAAAACCCCAACTTGAATTGCCATGAAATTAGCCAGAAGCAGTGAATTGACAAGCGTATAGTTGGAAAATTGCTGGCTGTTACTTGCTAGGAATTACTGAAGGCAAGTATTGTTAAGAGTAGCTACCCAGGATTAACCTTACGACGTTTCCTTTGTTGAACTGAACGTGTTTCGGTTCTGAAAAGATCTTATCCTGCAGAGCTTTACTTTAAGGCTAATTAAATGGTTTTGTTACTTGGTGCATGTTAAGTGGCTTAAGTGTTAGTCCAGGCCAAGGGAGATTTCTCTAACATTGTACATACAGTTTGCACTCATAATGAAAATAGTTGTGACTTGTTGAGAATTTGTGTGCTTCCTACCCAGGATGATAATTTTAATCTCCTAGTCTCATGCTTTCCAGTTGAATACCTTAAGAGGTATTTCCCTGACAGTAGATTTTGTAGAGGTGGTCTTTCCACACAGCACCATTTGCAATCCCCAGGGGGTCTCTCCTGCTTAGACAAATAGGAGAGCTATCTATGAGCTTCACAAACTGCTGCAATTCCAGCCTTGCAGGAATCCTCTATATTGGGTTGGTGGTGATTAGCCTGTGTTCCAAACTAGTCCAAACTTGTCCCTCATAGTTACAATTGTGTCCATTTTCCTTATGTTGGAGATGTTTTCAAGTAGGAGTACCCATAAGGAATATATGGAGTAAAGGAATTTAAATATAAGGGAAGAATTGAGGATGCTCATGGTATTGCAGTGCATTGCATCTGTGGCCTTGTAACAACCTCACCTTTCGCAAATAAGGGATATGTGTGGTTGTCACAAGGTCACAGATGCAACTTTTCTACATTATCTATACACTTGGTGTCCGAGCCCACAAAAGTCCACAACAGCCCACAGTAAAAGACTGCATCAGGAATGAAACAAATCACATCTTGTGCACCAATCCAAATTATTCTGATCACTCAAATCTCAGCAATGAGTACATCCATTTGACTCATCTGGTTGTGGTGGTTACTAATGACTAATTGATCCAAGGGTCTCATCTGGCTATTTATTGAAAGCTGCCATATTTCAAGATTTGACATCTGTCGGCCGTACTGAATGTACCAGAACGCCATGAGTGTCATGACACTGGCGTGGGCTGCCCACTCATCAGAATGACAGAAAGGATCCCACCTCCACTTGATGGAAGTTGCTCACGCTGATGGTGGAGTCCAAGATTTGCAGCTTTTGTCCACACCACCTGTAAGGAAGTTGCTTCCTTGCACAAGTCCGAGGTCGTGACCTTTGTTAATCACGCTGCTATTTGACCTGTGCAGTGTGTGGTTTCAGAATACTTAGGGTAAACAGAGGAACCTAACTACTAAATTCAGCACATGTTAAATATGGACATCTTTTCCCTTAATTTCTTTTCTGGATGCAGTATGTTTGAGTTATTTGCATGACAGCAACAATTAAGGGGAAAACAAAGGAAATTTTCCATAAGGGCTTGTATGTAACAGGCCAAAGGTGCTTATCCAGACTTTGGTGTCTTGTTAGTTGTCCAGCCTTGAGACATAATCAGAATGTCAAGGTGATCACCCATATTTTTATTTGTTTTGCTTTGGAAAATGAGAGTTAAAAGATGTTGACAAAGAATTCGTATTTACTTTTTTGCTTCCATAAGCAAGCAGTGATGCATTGAATGGTTTGATCACTGAACGGCCAGAGTCAGTCCAAGTTTCAAGGTCAGGACTCCTACGATATGAAGTCAGACCAAAGGGAAAAAGTATTTTTAGCCTTGGTGACCAGAGGGCAGAGGGAAACGCAACTAAAGGCATGAGGTTTTGAAATTTAAACTGAATGGGTAGCTTTGATACCAACACGTAGAGTGTAAGGATATAAAAGGAGATAGTGCATGAGTATAGAAAATGAATTTTTGTATGGAATAACTACCAATACCCATTGTGTATGCTGTTAAATTGTCATCTTTCAGAGTGAAGGGTCACTCTTAGCATGTAGAGGAATGGCAGTGAGTTCTGGTGGACTTGGGGGTGTATCCTTATCATCCAATTACCCCCTCATTCATCTTTCCATGATGTGCGGGAGAGATTCTGCCTGTCCCAGGAGCTCTGTGCTGGGTGTGCTGAGTCAACTCAGTGGTGTGGAACATTAGGATGACACTGTTAAAAAAAATTATGGCCTGCTGCTGTGTCAGATCCCTCGGTGCCCGTGTGTTTTCAAGAGAGTCAATTTCTCTCTAGCTTGGCTGTGCAGAAGCAAGCTGTTTGCTTTCTGGCCAAGGGGACTGAGCTGTATCAGAACATAAGAACCTGTCAGTGTTGCCAGGGCTGGTTGAATATCTGCCACTGTGACTCAGACATCTGCATGAAACAAGACTGAGTTTTTCAGGAGTCATGCCATGCTACTATCACACAAAAATCATTATGAAATGAACAGTTTCCAAGCACATCAAAGGGGCTTGGCTGTAACTTAAAACCCAGATTTCTAAGTGGATAGATGAAGCATCCACTTATTATATTGCTATTGCTATTACCTGTTACCTAAAATCACCCCTAAATACTGTAGAATGATGGAATAATCACATAATAAAAATAGGAAATTTGAAAAATAACCCAGATTTGGGATTTATAAGAAGATTTTGGGGAGCCCTGGGTGTCTTTACAGACTGTTCATGTCCTCAATCCATGAAATTGCTGTAGACAAACAAGGACTTCAGCTGTGTGTCTGTCATGAAGGTTCCTTTGAAAATGTATGTCCATATCTTCATCTAGTGTGTTCTTTTCACTGTGAAATACATCACATTTGATATGAAGTCATTAAAAAATCATGTTTTCTATCCACTATTTGTACTGGTATGCACAGCCACTATGCTGTCAGTGTGATCATGACAGTATCAAAACAGAGGGCAGAGATAACAAGATCAAAACACTTTCCCATGAACATAAACGGTTAGCTAGGGACCACAGTTTTTGGCAGAGGTTTGATACAAACTCAGGGTAAGCTATCTCAAACAGTCTTGTTTAGGTCATTGCATATTTAAGCCAGTGTTGGGGGGGGCGATTTTGTTAAAGAACAACAACATTAAAAGTCTAAATAAAATGTACAAATAGATGGTATAAAGTGTGATCTAAATGGGGAATAGCTAAGGTTACGGATATTACACGCAATTATTAGTCTTTTCGTCGATACCATAATTATGCAAGCATGGATTTGTAATAAGAATTGTACGGAAATGGATCAGTTTTCTCAAAGTGCTTCTACAGAACACTTTGGTTTAGAATGTAATCAAAATCTAAACACTGCATCAAGTTTTCCAGTGTCAGAATAACCCATGATACAGTACATGCAGCGGGGAGTTTGCTGCATGCCTGTGGAGAAGGCTCTAGGTGCCTGTTCAGCACTCGACGCCAGTGCCCTGAATTCTGTAAGGTTTGTAAAGAGAGGTTTTGCTGAGTGGTGTGTTTTCTCCTCTCTATCTCCAGGAAGCTCACGAGCCCGCAAAGATGATGAAAGAGTGCCTGCAGTTCTTCATCGAGCCCGCCAAGAACCTCAAGACCCGCTTCAAGGTATGCGATGCTGGAGTTTTGCATTGAAGTTTTCACTTCATGGCATTTCTTAAAACATCCCATTCCTAATTGCACCCACTTCCGCGCTGCTGTGTGTAAATATCTCAACTTCTGAGCCCTCCCCCCCACCCCCCAAACTTTCTCACATGCCTGTCCTCCACCCCATCTTCATCCTTGTGGTGGCATCCTTGGTCATTCTTCATGAAAGTGAGAGGGGAGCCTGGTCCAACTTGTCCCAGCCAGGCAACCTATACCAAATGAACATCCGATACATGGCCGAGTGGTCTAAGGCACTGGATTTAGGCTCCAGTCTCTTCGGGGATGTGGGTCCGAATCCCACTGCTGACAAATATTTTTAGTGGCTTCAGTGCATGATTCCCCTTTGGGGTGGTGCGGTGGCTCTGTGGCTAAGGATCTGCGCCTGGGGCTGGAAGGTTACCAGTTCGTATCCCGCGGCCGGCAGAGGAATCCTACTCTGTTGGGCCCCTGAGCAAGGCCCTTAACCCCGACTGCTCCAAGGGCTCCGTACCGCTCTTCATTCAGTGAAATACATGCAATACAGCACATGGGAAAACTCAGTAGGCATAGAAAGCTACAGATTCATTTCTAATATTTGGATTGGGGGAGAAAATAAATGCAGAAAGTGGTTTTACTGATGTTTTTCAATCAGCAATGATTAACATCACAGTAGTTTACTTTCAGTGGGTGGCATGGTACCCCCAGTGCTGGTGCCTTGGGTTCAAGTCTAGGGGTGCTATCTGCATGCAGTTAGTATGTTCTCATGGTTTCAGATTTTTGGGTTCTTCTGAAAAAATTAGCTTCTGGGAAATTTGGTCCTGGTATGTGTATGTGTGCGTGCTTATGTCTGTGTGAACCCTGCAGTGAACTAACATCCAGTTTTTTGTGGTGTATCCTGCCTTTCCCTCTTTGCTTTCCAGGATGGGAACCGGCTTTGCCACAACCCTGAATTGGATAAAGCTGTTTGTTATTTTAGAATGTTTGTCCTATTCATCATGGGTCTTTTAAGTGTCTGTATTTAGTATGTGACAATGTACCAAGATTTTATTGCATAAATGAGCTGTTGTTACATTGCATGTATTTGCACAAAAGGAACTGCTCATAGTTGTGAACAAGAGGAGCAAGGATCTTAGACAGCCTCGCTCCAGGACACAAGCAGAGGTACGTACAGTATCTGGCTTGAGCAGTTGATGATGTTAATTAGGCACTCAATGAAGTGAAGCACAAACTCACTTAAGTTGATTGAAGAAGCATAGTAGCAAACCTTTTTGCACCATGGTCTACTGTCTGGGTGAGCCCATTTTGTGGATACAGGTAAGAAAATATTTCTGTTTATGGTATACACAGTACAAGTGTCTACTGTACATTACATGATTCAGCTCATCGCTTGTACAGGATTGGTGAAGTTAAAAGTGCAGCTGGGTGTGGAATGTATAAAAAAAACATCCATACAAGATGTCTGGGGGTTCTTTATTTCTAGGGGTGTGGGATTATGTTGTTCAGATTTGTTTTATTTCTTACACAGTATTTTGAAAAATGTAGAATTAGTAAAAATGTGTTTGCTAAGAGAGAAGTCAATTTTGGATGGAGAAATCCAGGCCAGTGGTCCTTCAGGAGTAAATGAGGTGCTAAGTTAGGTTCTCCTGGACTGTAGGAGCCAAGAGAGACCCGATATCCAAAGGCACCGTCTTTTCCAGACTCTTCTTCTGGTTTGGGCACTGAGGTGTAGAACTCCTTTTCTTCTCCCCCACTTTTTCTCAGGACTCTCGAAAGAAAGCAAGGCTTGAGAAGAAGGAGCCGCTGGTGGAATGCCAGCTCTTCGTCATGGAGCTGGCCAGGGAGCTGAACCGAGTGTGCCAGGTAAACCCAGGGCAGCGCCAGCCGTTTTGCCACGCACGCACGCACGCACGCACGCACGCACGCACGCACACACACAGTACTCAGCCACTGCAGCCAGGCTCTTTCGCACCCTGATTCCCATGCAAGGGTGCAGTGAGGCAGAGCTCCTGTCCACAGGCCAGCACTCTTTCAAGGCCTCTTTAAGCTGGAGATGAATTCAAGTTTGCTTTCAGCTTTGCCCTGATTTCTTGCTGCACTTGTCAGGAATCAATAGCAGTGGCCTGCGCACATTTTTCTAATGTACACTTGGCCATGCCAGCAATTCCACAGCAGTTCAGCTTGGGAGTGTTTTCACTTGATTTTTGTTGATCCCGCAGAAAACAGTAAGGAGAAATATAACAGTGAAAACACCAATAGCAGCTTCTCTCAGAAACAGTGCAGTTTCGTACAGGGCCACACAAGGGAATTTGTTTATTGTCACTATTGCGCTAGTACAAAACCTTCCTGTGGCCTAAGCTAAAGTGTGTTCAATTATTGGCTACCTCACATAATTAGGAGCTGAGGTGGAACAAAGAAAAAACATATGATGTTGTTCTTCAAGTCCAGAAATGTGCATTCTTCCTTACCTTTAGGTTATTCATAGGTACATTGATTTATATGTAATCTAGGGCTAGAGTAGTTTTCTTCAATTCCAGTCCTCTGGAGTCACAGTAGTCTGTTAGCTTTTATTCTATCTTAGATCTTAATTAGATTATGTAACTACTTATTTATGTAATTGAACCAGTCTGTTTTCTCAGTTCAGCTTGGTGGGCTACTTCAGGAGAGCAGGTGCTGAGACAGGAAAGGGGCCAGAGAAAAGCCTGCTTTACGTACTGTTGGTCCTTGTCTTTGTGCATCCACTATGCAGGGCTCAGACGTGCTGAAGCACATCTGGATGAGCGAGGACATCTGGACCCCCACAGAGTGCCAGAAATTCATCCTGGACTGGGCTGCCGTACTGGAGAACAAGGTACTGTGGGACAATCGGACTGGGTAAAGGCTGATTAGGTGGGATATTGTATATTCTGTGATGTCATTGCTTTGGCCGATGTCTTTGTCCAGAGAGACTTAAATTTAATATTACAAGCTACATAACTCGAGATGGGAATAACTGTAAAGTTCCATAACAGTCCAATTGACAGAATAAACAAGCAGTGAATTGTAGTCTCTCAGTATTTTCAGGATGTGGGCTCCCCTGGTCTGTGCTTTTCAGACAGAAGTGTGGCATACACTCCTTCTGGAAGAACAGTACAAACTATGTTAGGGGCTGTGATATATTGCTACCTAAATCGTGAATGGGGTATCAGTAAAAAGTAGCAAGTCCAGTGTCTTGTTGAATCAGACAGTGATTTCAGATGGGTAAGAGGGGCCAACTGCATCTTACAGGAAGCATCTTGCATGAGAATATGTATTTAATTTGGAATGAAATGAGAGTTCTTCCTGTGTTTAACAAAATAACAGTGATCTTGACGGGTTCAACGAGTAAAGGTGCTCTCTGTCAGCAGCCATGCAGGCAGAATTCTATGGACCAGACATCTTGTGTTTAAGCCTGGGTCATGTCGCTGGTCAGCTGTGGCCAGAATTCCCCTATTAGAGTGCTGCTAGGGATTAAGCAGCCAGCCTTTCAGCTTTCTAGGTAAAATACAGACTTCTGTCCCATGTCACGTGCTTGCAGCCTTGCACTGATGTCAGAGAGAGACGTGCTGCTCCTCCAATCAGTGTTGCCTGTCCTTCCAGGCACTGACCAGTCTGTAGTATATGGAAAGAGTTGGCAGGTGGGCATATCTATAGAGTTTGACCCCATGCCCACTCATGTCATTCTCTCTGGGGGGTACGGGAGAGCTAAACTGGATTGGTAGATTTATAAAGAAATGGAGAAAAGTCAAGATGTTAAAAGTTACTAAGGAAAGAGATGATTACAGTCTGGTTTCTGAAACTCCTCCAGCGGGTACTTGGTGACAGTGTAGAGAAGCTGAGAGGGGAGTCAGTGCTGATTTGTCTCTGTGCCTGTGGAGTTGCAGCAGAGGCCAATGCAGACAGATGGCTGGCCGGAGGAGGGCGACCCCCAACGTCAGATGTGGGAGCAGCAGGAGTGCAAGATGGAGGCGGCCAAGAGAGTCATCCTAGACTGGATGAGAGAGCTGAAGGCAAAGCCTGAGGTAGATCCCATGTTTCCGGCAACTTTTTCTTATCTTCAGCATCCCTATAAACCTCACTATCTGTGATTTTTTTTTTCCTCCCACAAATCACTGTTCTAGGAAAATAATTAAGCAAACAAAGTCTGTTAGTTTCTCTTAATAAAAATAAAATTTGCCTGATCTGAAGATGAAAAATGTAATCCTTTCAGAATGATAGTTGAAAATGTCTGTTTAGCCTTCCGTCCAAGCTGGAGGTTAAGAGGATTCTGGCAGCTGAGGGAAGCAGCTGTAGATTCAAGAAAATTCACAAGAGTGTATTTTAAGAAATTTGTCTCATATATGAGAACAAAACTCAACTTCAAACCACCAACCTACCCGTTCATCCACAATAATATACAGAAAGTTAATCCAATTATACTTTACATCTCCCCAGCGCCAGCTGTTCTGTCTTCATGACCAGAATCTTATGTTATTATAGCCGAGGAGGTTAGTGCTAAAGGGCACCACTATTCGATCCTGCATACTTCCCAGTCAACTACTAGATAAAATTAAGTTGTCAGCAGTACCCTGGGAATGTCAGGATGTGAGTGTCTGCTACCAAATATTTATGGCAAATGTAGTGTGTCTATTTTTGATTTCTTCTGAAATTTGTATTTTGACATGGATTGAAATAAAAAACATCTCTGTTTGTATCTGAAGCAGGGTGTACATGTCATTTACTAACAGTTGCTGAGGTTTGCTTTCAGCAGCCGTATGTGAATCTGATTAAACCTTCTTATCCCTGGCTGTTCTGTCTATGAAATGCATTGTGAAAGCCTTTGATTAAGGGTGATTGCCTGACCCACTTTCTCTGTTCTCTCTCCCTGTTGTGCAGTTTGTGTGGGAGTCTGGTATTGGAAGGGGGTGACTCACTCTCTTTCTCTTGGCACTTCACTGTTTAAAGTGACTGTCTTTATTTCTCTCAGTGGTGACAACGTGAGATGTGATCAGGGCTGAGATTTTCTCTTATACATTGTGCCTGGAGACTTTGAGATTTTGACTGCTCTGGTTTTTCTTTGCAGTACAGCGTGGGATGTGATTATAGCTAGCTCTCTCTCTGTTATCCTGCAGTGTGGTGTGTTTGTGATAGTCTGTGTAAATCTAACAGTCCTTGTGTGTCTCCCTGTCACTCTGTACCTCAGTGTGTCTGGATTGAGCCAGCTGTCTCCCTGTCTCTCCCTGCAGCGGAGCATGTGGCCAGGTGAGCCAGTGCTCCTGATTTTGGAAGACCTGGAGACTCAATGGAAACGTGGTCGCTTGCCCAGCCTGTTGTCAGCTATGGAGCTCCTGCTGTGGGCTGTGATGGGAGAGGGCATGGACAAGGTGGGATATATCCCTGGTGACTGTACCCCAAACTCATTGACAGTGAATCTGGGATTTGCGTGCAAGGGTCACTGAAATAAAGTTAAGATAGTTTCTTAAAAATGTTAAAAGAAGAGCTTCAGGTCAAGGGATTTGACTTCAAGCTCTGTTAAAGCTGATCCACCATGTTAAGAGTGTTGATTTCTCACCCTACTAGTTTCCAGGTAGAAAGCTCCTGAGGACCTCCTGGATGGTCTTTGAGGATCCATGGGGTTCTCTGTACCCCTGATCTAAATCAAAGATGTTAATCAGTAACCAGTGGTTCTTGAGTCAGTTGTAGGCAGCTCTGACCCCTCCTGTCCTTAGCAGAACTATGAGCCACTCAGGACTATCACTGCTTCCAGCATCTTCCCCTACCCCTGGTCAAGTCCAAGTCATTTTTTGCACTAAAAGCTTCCTGTCATCCTCCTGACATATAAATCTGCTTGTATCATGTTTAATTAGTAGTATACGTCTTCTGATGTAATACTTAAAGACAAATGATAAGATCCACAATCTACATATAACAGGTGGGTAGCTGTGTCAGCATGCGCAGGTTGCAAAGGAACAAGTAATAGGTTTATTCCATGCTGAAAAGAGAAGAAAGAAAACACAAAACCTTGTGGAGCCTTCTTTGGATGTGAGGGTCCTACTACATATAACAGTTCTAGAGTGTAACTCATACATATTCTGCTTATTTTGTAATGTATAAAAGAAGCATAAATCACACTCTGCATTGTATTGTAGGGATCAATTCCCCAGCTGTGGCTTTCTAAGAAGCAGAGATCACAAAAAATTGGTAAGTGACTAAACATCTGTGCACTGCTGATTGGTTACAAATGAGTGGAGATCGCTCTAGTAATTGCTGATGGATCAGGGATGAATGGATGTCAAAACCAAGTCTTTGATGACCAGGGAATAGGCTTTAGCAATATGTTCCAGACATCTACCATTATAATGTAAAGCAGTATAAGACCAGAAGTGTGTCTTACTGTATGTGAACAGTAGGCCATTTGAGATTCTCATGCCTGCTGTATGACACAGAGTTAATAGACCTAAGACGCAACACTTGTTACAGAATGATGCAGATAAGAGTAGCAGTATGGTGCTACTGCCTTGACTTTTTGCAGTTTTCTTGGGGTCTAATATTTATACTTAAATGGTTGATGCAGTATTTATATCCCTGACAAGGAAGATTTTTTGTGATAGTAGACCTTATTTGACAGGGCTTGGTATTAAAATGCTTTTTAATTTGATCTCTGCAGAAGTGACTGACGCTAGATCATGTGTTCCTTCCATTCCTTTGCACTATTTCAACAGAGCTGCTAACAGCACTGCAGTAAATGGCACCTTTGCTGCTATACTGACCCTGTGAATGTCAGGAGAATTTCTGGAAAGGGGGTTCATGGCAAAATTCTGAAATGGGGATGGACTGTTACAGAGATTTAAAAAAAAATGTCCCAAAACCAGTTATACTACAGGTGCAATATTTCTGAAAAAGAGGTTTCAATAACCTTAACATTATTTTCCCCTGTGTCTGTATTAGTCTTCATGACAGTCATAAACACTGGCTTGTAATCTCCCTAATGACTGTCAAGACAGATCTGTTTAATCTCTGTTCTTTAAAATCTGAGCCCATTCATAGCTGTAAACTGACAATCCGGATCATTATCAAATTCATTTCTTACTGCTTATTTATCAAACTGCTTGTGCAATATAATTTGAGATATTCTAGTGCAAAGGTTCAGCAGTGTACTTCATCCTGCAGTAATTCACTCTTTTCATGGTCAGAATTGTTTGTAAAGTTTAAGGGTGATGCAGTAGAATTCCAGCAGTCTTATTTTGTCTTATGTGCTGGCACAGATAAATGTCTGAGAAAAGACAAAAATGGAACATGAAAATTAGGAAAGGAATCAAAAGGAACTTATTTAAAATGAAGTAACTGTATGCATCTTGTCTCTTATAGATGCTGCAAGATACATTCCTCACTCAGGTATGTGGTTAACCAGTCAAAACCGACCATCCAAATTTCAGGAGGTGGTGTTGCCTAGCGCCAGACAATACCATGTTTACTAAACAAGTATTTAATTCAGACTTTGTCTTCTCTTGCAGTGTGGAACTGGATCTGTGATGCTTCAGGTACAGTACATATTTAATATCTAAATGAGTTTATTCTAAATACCCTAGGCAAGTTTATTTTAATTACCTAATACTGATGTGTCTTTAAAATTTTCAAAAGGCATAACATGGTTTACATAGATTTTCACTTAATAATTAAAGCTTAGGCTTCGTCATGTCAGTTTATTGTTGTCCAAATGTCTCTGAGCACATCAGTTGCTTAATACTGTTTTTATGTTTTATACTTTGTGTTATGTTCTCCCCCCTCTTTGTATGGGTTTCCTGTGGGTTCTCTGGTTTCCTCCCACAGTCCAAAGACAAACTCGTAGTTTAATTGGCTTCTGGGAAAACTGTCCCTGTGTGCATGTCTCTCTTTATGTCTGCGTGTCTACCCTGCAATGGACTGGCGCCCATCCAGTGTGTATCTTGCCTTGTGCCCCTTGCTTGCTGGGATAGGCTCCAGCTACCCCTCAACAATGAACTGACTAAAGAGGTTGGAAAATGGACAGATGGAAGTCTTTAGTGTGCATCACTGTTGGTTTGGTACTGACATGAGCTCCCTTGATCCACCCCAGTTGAGGTGACTCTGGATCCTGATACCGCAAACCCAGACCTTGTCCTGTCGCAGGATGACAAGAGGATGAGGTGTGGCTTTGAGCGGAAGGACCTGCCCAACTACCACCAGCGCTTCGATGGCTGGTGGTGTGCCGTGGGGATGGAGGGCTTCACCTCCGGGAGGCACTACTGGGAGGTAGAGGTGGGAGAGAGCGACTGGAGGCTGGGGGTGGCCAAGGAGTCGGCCCTGAGGAAGGGCTTCAAGTCCCTCAACACTGACACGGGCTACCTCACTCTCCGCCTGGAGAGGGGCAGCGAGCTAAAAGCCCTCACGGTGCCCTTCACCCCTCTCCCTCCAAGCCTTATCCCCCGCAAGGTGGGCATGTATCTCGACTACAAGGAGGGTCAGCTTTCCTTCTACAATGTGGAGACCAGGTCTCACATCTACACCTACAGTGAGCCGTTCACAGAGAAACTCTACCCTCTCTTTGGCACTGTGGAGGTGGTAAAGGACCTGGTGATCAGGTCTGCGGGCATAAAAGAACACTGCTTCTGCCCTGGCCAGTGTCTGTGGGGCTGAGCTGTAACACCTGTTACAGATAAGAATTGAAAAAGAAAACGCATCTGTTGAGAGTAGACTGATAATCGACCACTGCAAAACCAGTATGCTTTCAGCTAACTGCCTGTACTGTTGCTGCTACTGAATGATTCTTCATTCCCGCAAGCTAGAATGTGCTATTAGCTTGTGCTGTGTATTATCTTATAATGAAATAAAATATTGTCATGTTGTTGCTGACTTGTACAATCCGGAACTTGCAATAATGATGCACATTATGTGATTAATAAATATAAGAAATTAAAGATGTGTCCCTTTTTTCCTGTTATTTTTTAAGATTAGTTCTCCAACCAGAATTTAACAGGAAAGTAAGTACCCTTATATCGTAAAATTTAATGATTTTTTTAAGGTGTTCGAAACCTAATTTAAAGAATATTATATTCAAGGTTTGTTAGCTGTAAATGTTTTAGATCTGTTTGGAACTTATTATAGTTAAACAACAAAGATCAAGTACAGTTGTGAGAAAATGTTTGTGAACCCTTAGGAATTGGATTTCTGCATGAATGGCTCCTAAAATGTGATCTGATCTTCGTCTAAGTTATAACAATAAAGACATTCTTATTTAACAAACATCACACACAACATTTTACATTGCCATATCTTGAACAAATGGTTTAAACAATCAAGGTCATTGAAGAAAAGGTATGTGAACCCTTATATTTAAAGGTATGTGGAACCTCCTTTATTGGCAATAACCTCAACCAAATGCTTTCTGTAGCTGCTGATCAGACCTGCGCAGTGGTTAGGAGGTATTTTGGCCCATTCCTCTATACAAAACTTTCAGTTCGTGTACTGTATATTTTTGGGATGTCTTGCTTGAATGGCCTGCTTCAGATCACGCCACAGCATTTCAATGGGATTGAGGTCAGGACTCTTGATTAAGACTCCATTCTAAATACGGAATTTCTTCTGTTTCAGCCACTCTGTGGTTGATTTCCTCTTGTGTTTGAATCATTGACATGTTGTCTGACCCAACTTCTTTTGAGTTTTAGATCACAGACAGACACTGTGACATTCTGCTGTAGAATTTCATGCTTCACAGTTGGGATGAGGTTTTGGTGTTTATATGCTGTGTTTTTTCCCGAAACATAACACTGTGTACATATACCAAAAAGTTAAACTTTTGTCTTATCTGTCCACAGAATATTGTTCCAGTACTGCTGTGGAACATCCAGGTGGTCTTTAGGAAACTTGAGATGGGCAGCAATGTTTTTTTTGGAGAGCAGTAGTTTCCTCCATGCAAACCTCCCATGAACACCACACTTGTTCAGTGCTTTTCTTATGGTAGACTCACGAACACAGATGTTATCAAGTGCAAGAGATGCCTGCAGATCTTTAGCCATCACCCTAGGGTTCTTTGACACTTGTTTGAGGATTGTACGGCATGCCCTTGCACTGAGCTTTGTAGGACGCCCACTCCTACAAAGAGAGTGGCAACGGTGCTGAATTTCTTCCATTTGTAAACTGTCTGCCTGACTGTGGACTGATGGAGGCCCAAGTCTTTAGAAATCCTTTTGTAACCCTTTCCAGTCTTATGAGCTTCAACAACTCTTCTTTTGACGTCCTCTGAAATCTTTTGATCGGGCCATTTTGTACTTCAACAGAATTCTGTTGTGAAGAGCAGGTAACCAAACCTGTGAGATTTTTTCAAACCCACACCTGAATTGATTGGAACACCTGACTCCAATTACCCTTGTTTCAAGATATCATTATCCTAGAGGTTCACATACTTTTTCCATCAATGACCTTGATTGTTTAAACCATTTGTTCAATAAAGATACGACAATGTAAAATGTGTGTTTGTTAAATAAGACTGTCTTTATTTATTATTATGATTTAGATTAAGCTTAGATTACCTTTTAGGAACCATTCATGCAGAAATCCAAATAATCCAGGAGACCCTGTAAGAAATTGATTAAGGAGTCCTTAGAATAGTACATTAAAAATGTAAACAAGAGACATCAGGATTTGAATCAGATCTCTGACACTGGGCTGTTGGTAGACTAAACAGGTTTTTATAGATTTTGAGAAATGTTGTCCCCCATAGACTTTCTATAATCAGACACCCACTTAATACTACTAAATATGTCACAGATGCCACTCTCAGGGGGTGTTGTGAGCAATGGGCAGAAGAAACCTTGCCCTTCTACCTAACTAACCAAACCCAAAAGGCAGTCAGCCAGCTGTGCACCATTCTGACTGACCACATCTGTCCACAAGGTTCAGCCCAATTACCTTTACTGGCTGAGTCACTGGGAAGCCTCCTTACCTTTGTTTTCAATTGTCTTCTGTCTCATGATCAGGTAAACTCTCATACGTTTCATGTTTCATGTAAAAAATAATTTGTCCTTCAACTCTGATGTGTATATATAATCATTTTTATTAAGTGCAGTACATAAGATATACTTAATGAAAACCAAAGCCAGTGTGTATCAACTAAGGTAATAGGGTAGAATATATAAATCTTATTGTAAAAAAAAATAGTTTTGGCACCTATAAAATGTTGGTACGGCTATAAATATTTGTCTAAATGGAAATTTAAATGAGGAGCCTGAATCCTTCCATTGAAAACCAGAAGCTGGACTTTGCCTTATATTTGCAATGAAAGTGGTCTTCTTATTCTAAAGTTATGAATCTATACCACTGATGTCTCCACACTGTCATGCATCACTACCAAATTTTAGTGAGGTACCAAAAACCAATGTTACAAAAGCAATGAAAAAGTATACAATCTTATGTCTGAAACATGTTTGACAAAGTTATTGTTTTCAAGTACCATGCAAGCTGAATGTTACATTAGAGTCCAGGTCTATATAAATGGCACATTTATATATTGATTATTAATATTGGACACAATGCAACTGACAGACTACAGAATTGGAACAGCGTATAAAAGGTGTTAGTACAAAATGATGGTAAAAAAATAAGTTAAATCCTACTCTATTAAGAACACAGTCCAAGCACCCAAAGATATATAAAAATAAGAAATCGGCCAAAGCAAACTAATATTACAAAAAAAGATTTTTGGCCTCCGCATTTGGCTGTACATTGGTATAGAAGCATTTGACCTTATATACAAAGGGAAACAAATGCAGGAATAATTTTATTTTGTCATTATTTTCAATTCTGGTTTTTGAAAGGCACTTTTTGAATTCTGTTTGGAAATATAAAAGTTACTCTGAAAAAAAACTGGAAGCCTAAAATAAAATCAGACTTCTATAATACCACATCGTAGGAAGGATTCCCCTTTTAATAAAAAGGTTTATTCAAAGTTACAGACATTTGATGCATTGGATGTCTAAAAAAAGACATTGCTAAAAATTGAATTGTTTGGATTATTCTTATTCTAACATCTCAGGATTAACTGTAATAAAAGATCTCTTGATCGTTATAATAACTGATCTTAGGCCTTTGCACTACAATCTTGTAATTATTAGCCCTATCAATCCTTTTATAAACAATACTGTTAAATTATTTTATGTATACAGTACAACTCTTAACTTTCATGATATAAAATTCTCAATTTGAGAATTTGGCCTTCACGCAAAAAACCTTTGGAATGTTTGGCCATACACATGATATTTCCTAACTGTTGTATTTTGATCGGGGTTGATGGTGAATGTTTCATTCAAGGGTATCTCAAAAGAGGATTAAGTGCTGTGCTTTACTTTTGCTTTTAATACCAAGTGCTTTAGCGTGTCTATCAAGATCAGCAGTGTTTAGATATATGTGAGTTCACCATACTGGTGCTGCAATTAGCAGTGAACTGTAGCCAGGGAAGCTTGCATGTCAGAGCAAACAATTGAAAGTAGGCATTTTGTGACCAATTAGTAGAAGCCCCCAACCTGTGAGTTCATTGGCACAAAGCCTGACCGGATTCACAGGCCCACTTCCACCAAACATGAGCTCACGCTACACTCGTATGCAGCTACACTTAAAAAAACTTGGAACTTTTTCTCCGTTTCCCATGCAGGTCCAGTGCAATTCAGATAAACTGTGGCTAGACATGAGGTTGCAGATTTATTTTGGTGTAGCTCTTCCAGGCCACTGTCAAAACCATTACCTTCCTAGTTTAAAAGGAGGGGAGGAAAAAAAAGTTGGGGGACACAAATCTCCCATTGCTGAGCCGTGTCCAGAGCCATGGTAATAGCATGTAACAGATTAGGAGAATAGCTTTAAGAAGGCCGCATTACTGTAATGTCTTTAGGGCAGAGTGAATCTGTGGTTCCCCAGCTGTTTGTCCAATCTGGCTTCAAGCCTCATAGAAGTTCTCCACTCTCTTGGTCATGCTTGTCCCAGAGACCATGCTCCTGCTCACCACCTCTTTGGTCATCTGTCTGGTCACTGTGCCACTGGTCTCCATGCGCTGCGTGGTCATCATCATGCCGTCTGGACAGAAAACACAGCGGTTCATTAATTTACTGAGCATCTCCGAAAATAATGCTTAAGAATTCCTGATCCACGAGGTTCCGAAGTATTAAGGTTGACATGTATAATTGTGTCAAAGTCATTTTGGTGTCAGGGCACAAAAAACTAATATAAGCGATATCTTACAGCTTGGACTTACTAGTTATGCAGGGCTTCTTACTGACAGCTTGTTATTTACACAATGGGTACAGAAATATTTGGGGAAACAAAGACTAATTACATTATTATTAATATTTCATTACTGACACTTCACAGCTGAATAAATATTCTTGACTGTCAATTTTGTACGTGTCTTTGTTAAAGAATATACAATTGTCTAATATACCCTATAAAGAGGATAACCAGGATTAGCACCTTGGCTCCAAGATAATCAAGACATTGGCATATATTCATCTAAAAGACAAGCCCAATCCCCATTATTTATTGTTTACAATCCAGGAGAACCAGCCCTATACTGTGTGGTGTGTGGACCACACTGACTTCACTATTCCATACTACTCCATTACCAAGACCCCAAGATCTGCCTCGGAGCACTACTAGGATTTGAGAAGTGCGCACCTGAGAAGTAGGGGTCATTGAGCATTGTGTGGGTGGTCCTGGTGGTGACTTCCCCAGGCATGTTGAAGACATCTCTCCTCATTACCTGCTGGCTGTTGAACTGAGAGAAGTTACCTGGGAGGTAGAGGGAGAGGCAGGTCAGGCACAGCACTGCAGGGCAGACTTTAATAACCACCATTTGGCAGACAATCAACCATCTATTTTGCTACAGAGATCCACTAGCTTCTCAGCTTCCTGCAGATTTCTTTCTTTAGATATACAATTACCCTTGTACCCATGTACCAAATAAAGTTGGAAAGTACCATCAAAGCATGGTAAAATCCCAATATATAATTGAGAGCTAGGCTATAAAAAGCTGCAAAATATTCTGTAAATTTACAATAATAAATCCTTCACTAGGGTAAGGGTCAACCTTATTCAGTGTTTCTAGGCCTTAATGGTTGTCATCCTTTCCACTGTGCCATTAACGGTGCTGTAAATGAATGGCTTGGTACCAATGTAAGTTAATAAACTACCAATGTTAGTTAAATACAATACCAAGGTAAGTTAATAAAATACTACCAGACTGCTACATCAGCAAAGATTGGAAAGAAAAAAAATACAGTCTGTGCACAAAGAATAAAAGAAAATGTGAGAGATATGATCACTTTATTAGCCATATACAATTTCTTGCATTAGGAATTTGTCTTTTCACCAGCTTGCTCTCCATGAGACCCAGACAGGTAGAGAGAAGCCTGGGGTCAGAGTGCAGAGTCAGCCATTGTACAGCACCCCTGGAGCAGTTGGGGTTAAGGGCCTTGCTCAGGGGCCCAGCTGCAGGATTTGAACTGGAAACCTTCCAGCCACAGGCACATATCCTTAGCCATAGAGCCACCACTCCACCCCTAGGCTGTCAACTAGATTTTAATCACGTCACTGGATATACCCTGAACTCAATGAATTCTGGAGCAGTTGATATTCCCAGATACTGTTCAAAACCAGAAGAGGCCTGTAGCAATGAATGACCCATCAATGCAAAATTCTGGAACCTATGAGGACTGTGTCCTGGGATGCCTGTCAGGAGCCAAGCCATGTAAAAGTATTAATGTGTTTTCTAAAGGCTCTTTTCAACAAAACCATTTGGGTTGAAAACATCTGAAAGAGATCAATCTTGAAAAAGAGAACTCGCCAATCTAATTCTGGGTATCTACTATATAGGGGGGTCTTCTAAAAGACATTGTACCTCCATCCTGCGATTCGATGGTGATGATGCCCTCTCTTTCAGGACCAAAGCCCTGCGTGGTCCTGGCCTGCACTTTGAACTTGTAGGGCACGTTCTCACTGAGGTTGGGCACCGTCAGACTGGTCTCAGCAGTGTCACCGTTCACCTGGAAAGTCCGAACGTCTCCTGGCAGAGAGGAGGAAAACAACTTTGTTAATAAACACTAAACAGCACAACCTAGAAACAGTCAACTAGATCAAAGGGAAATAAGAGTGCTTTAGACATTAACAGAAAAAAACTTTCTTGATATGCAGCTGAGTAAATATTATCATACAAGCCTGATGACCCACAGTGGGCAAATTCATTGTTTTGTGTTGTGGAGAGATACAGTCTCTAGAAATCCTTGGCAAAATGAAACTCACCCCCTCCATTCAGTTGTTCGCAGGTCACCATGTAGCCAAGGATGCTTCCATTGGGCTTGCGTGGCTTCTCCCAGCTCAGCTGCAGAGACTCGGGGCTGAGTGCTGTGAAAACCAGGGGGCCTGGGGCACTTGGGGTGCTTAACGTGAAGGGGGAGCCTGGGAAATACAGACAACATGGGTTAACAAAAGTGTGTGTTTGGGCCTCTGAGTCCAAAAGAGACAGAGCAGAAATTAAACTGGGTTATAGGCTGCATTTACAGCCATGGTGAAACATGGAAATTAGTCTCCAAAATATTAGAGAGTGGCATATGAGTAATCCATCCTGTCCAACGCAGGGGGGACATTGCATGTCTTCACATGTCCCATGATAACAGAGAAACAACATTGTACCAGGTCTTTTTACCAGGGTTTATGTACAGTACTATAAGTGACTTCAGAGGTGGAATAACTGCATGTGCCTCTAGTGCCAGTTCTGAGAAGCATCAAGTGTCTCATCAAGCATCAGTGGCTGTTAGCACCAACCAAAAGGACAGATGGCATATGTCACATCTTGTGAGAAACCCATTGAGCAGTTTATCAATGAACATCGAGAAAAATGAATGGTGCGACATGTTGTTGCGGCAATCGGCACCGGAGATGGACAAGATTTTAGGGGTATTCTCTAATATTTTAATAAAGCAGTGAAGAAAACTTTAACAAGAGACTGGGGAAACTGGTGCTAGAAAGATCTTGGGTCTCAGTTGAGGTCTTAATTCATCAACAGAACTGCTAGCAAGACGTGATTTGAAGAGACCTATACCACCTGCCACTATCAGGTGTTGAGGACTAGGGTTGGCCAATCTCAGCCTAAGGGCCTCTAAAGTTTAGGGTCACTCGACATGTGACTGTGAATGCAGTAATTCCCTTGGGCAGGACTAGAAGGTTTCCACAGGGTTTGTGTCTGGTCATTACCTGGTACAGGACTTAATGGACTCTTGGGGTCGACCGCAGACTCAATGGTGATGACACCCTCCCTCTCGGGTCCCCAGCCCTCCTCACTATGGGCCTTCACTTTGAAGATGTATGAGTGGTTGGGCAGCAAGTCTTTCACCACCACTGAGTTCTCTGCCGGGTTAGGCACGTCGATCCTCTTCACGTCACCTGGAGCATAGACATAGACACAGTGAGGCCCAGCACCAGCTACATCACTGCTTCAGACACAGTGCACCGAGACAGCAGTCAGGTTGGAGAACAAGTTACTGAGAACTGGAGCACTGAAGAAATGGCATAATGGATCCTGCACTAATTCACTATATGAAATTTGCACACTGAATTTGCTTTTCATTTGATTTTCCCATTTCTATATTATGCTGTTTAAAAAATTATATTTTTTAAAAGTCTCCAACAGAATTTATAGTTTTATCATACAATAGTTTCACTACACTTTTCTATTAAATGATACACAGTTCTTTTATTATGATTGCAGCATCTTTCACTAAACTCTTCTATGAAATACATCCAGGAATGCATACTGAAGTACTATTAAGGTATTTACCTTGTGACTGAATAGTTCAGTGAAGTCTGCCTTCACTGTAACACTACAAAATAAGCCACAAACAATGCATCTCCTGGATCACATGGATATGTTTTTTTGTTTGGATAGCGTCTTCTCATTTCTGTGAGTTTCTGTGATCTTACTCTTCGTGATGTATCAGTCTGTGGAGGATGATGGCTAGGTGACTCTGTCAGTGACTTGCATATCTGAAAACACTGTCATCTGAAAGCTCTGAGGGGTGTGTCTGTAAGTAGTTGGAGAGTGAGTGTACAAGCAAGTGGCAGGAGCTGATGTGCCACTTCAAGGTGAAAATATGTGCACTTGTCTTACTTGTGTACTAGTGGGCCTGCACAATATTACTTATTTCTCATTGCTATGTTCGTTGTTATGGGTCACAGTAAGTGCTGAATTGCTGTTGTGAACACTAGTGTGCTGTCGTTCCAAGAGAGCCTTGTAAGTGTATGACACTTGATTAGTAAATCTGTATTGTATAACGGTACTCTGCCACATTATTTTAAAGTGCAGTAATTCTGGGTGTACTCTACCTGTACTGTATGTACTGAGGAGGAGACATCCTACACTTACCTCCATTAAGCAGCTGGTACAGCACGCAGTAGCCCAGCACTTCCTTTTCGCAATGCGGCTCCTGCCAGCTCACCTTCAGGGCAGTGGGGCCCAGAGCTGAGAACACCAGGCGTGTGGGCGTGTCAGGAACACCAGGGGGCAGCCTAGAGTCTGTGCGGAGATACAGTGGAGAGAGTCACATGCATTGTCCCCAGACTGACGGCCTTTATTTGAAATCATCCTCAAATGGACAAAGACAACACACAACAAGAATCACAGTGTTCTTCAATACAGTATGCAGCACAGTGTTTCCCTAATTATCACCATTTTGATCCAAAGAGGCCCTGATCACTTATTTTTAAACCCTATCCACTTTAGATTGCAAGGCACATTATCAAGGCCAGGATAAGTAAAACCCTGAATGGAGGTGAAGCATATGGAAAACTGGAGTACCACAGTCCTTAAAGTTCTCTGGGTATCTTCACACTAAAGATATCCTCTGTTATATTAATTAAGCCATTATGTTAAAGTAGTTAATTAAGAGCTTTGGTGCAACACAAATTTACACACACTGTGGTTCTTCAGAACTAGTCCAGGATAACAAATCTGAAAACAAAATGTAAAAATAGGATTGCCAAAACCAACAAAGCTCTCCTTGCCTAGATTTCTCTTTAAGCGTACGTTTGTGTTGAAAAGCACTGGACAGTGACAGTGACTCACCTTGCAGCACCATGTCCAGATTCTGCAGGACATCATTGACATCTTCAGACTGAGTCCGACCTCTCATGCTGTGAGAGATGTTGTAGTTCACCACCTTCTTGCTGTACCCAGAAATGCCTGTACAGGAAAGGTCAAAATGTCAGATATTAATGAGCTAACATCCAAGGGGTACCCCTCAGCCAGAAAAGCCACCATAATCCCACAGGTTGGTCAGCAGGTTCCACAGGTCAGGACATCACATGCATTTAGGAAAAGAAAAGCATGCTTGCTACAGGGTCAGAGTGGACCCTAAGTGGCCATTTCACACAGTAGAGAGAGAATACAGCAGATCTTCTTCAACCAATAGACACCTGCTATCTTACACAGAAAATTAATTCTCAGTTAATTGGAAGACAATAACTTAAAGGCAATATTTTGAAAGTCTTCTTTCAGGAACTGAACGTCAGCAACAAATGTTGGAGGCTCAGTTTGTGAAATCTTTTTGTTTTAACCTCAGTGACGTCCAGAGACTGGCTCTGCAGAGTAAAGAAAGCCTGCATGCAATCTTCCCCTTTGGGTCATTAATGGACTGGTACCTAGACTGTCTGAGAATCCGCCAGGCTCATCCACCATGACAATAGAGTCTCGCACACCATCGTTGTCATAGTAACCCTTCGTCTCGGACCGCTTCCTGAGGACCACCTCCTCTGTGCGGAGCCCTCCATGGACCATCCCGTCATGTCTGCGCGTGAGCGAACCCCCTAAGAATTATGGGTGAGACGGTGAGACATGAGAGAGTGGTGGTGCCAAGCCAACTACAGTAGCATTGCACAGTGCACAGTCAAGCTTGACACTGCCGACAAACGACTGACTGCCCTGTGCAGGCTTTAAGAACAGTAGCAGACTAACGACCAGCAGAACTGTTATGGGTAAAGCCAGCAAGCAGTAGAAACACACAGCAGCTTATCAGGTGAGGTGCACACTCCTCCAAGGAGACTTCTGCAATTTCACGAGGAAGGACAAACACCCAAGATGAAAGCATCCTGGAGCAAAATTGTGGCTTAACCCGCTTGGCTGAGGACTGGCCTCCCGGCCCGAGGACAAGGAGACCAGGACCCCCATGCAGGGGGACCAAGGGTTAGCTGCAGAGGTGGAGGTGGGATGCAAGAGATGTGCAAGAGAGAGAGATAGGGATCTCATAGGTATTTATAGCGACTGGGAGAGGAATGGATTGTCAGGAGTGATTGCTAATTACTGACAGCTGAGTCTGACTGAGCTTGGTTGTTGTCATCCCTCCCGAACTGTTGTTATAAACTCCATTTATATAGATTCTAAGTCAAACCAAATAAAATGACATGTAATAAGTTAAGAAGTTGCTAATGAGTTTCTCAACCACTAAAGGTGTTCATTCGGAGCACAGGCTGAGCACTATGGCCTGGACTGAGCCTGGGTCATGTCAGTAGCCACACTTTGACTGAGATTTCCCAAATGGCACCATATTATTATTTGAGTGCTGTTGGGCCCAGGGTTGGACTCTCTAGGCCATTTGGCAAACAGTGACTCTACCTCCTAAGATACTGAAAAAAAATCGGAACCTCTTTGCTTATAGCTTAAATGTATGTAGTTTATCCGATACTATATGGATACTATATGTGTCCATGGAGAAGACTCTTATATCTCATAAACATGGAGATTCAGTTCCTACAACACTGCCATACAGTATGAGTGAGTACAGTTAGTAGTCACAGACTTTCTCCTACGTTTATGATTTGGGTTATCAGATGCTTTCCCTGTTATTAATGATTGGTATTTAAAAACAAAATAGAGGAAAAAGGCAGGGAATGTCATCTTAGGATTAATAGGTTAACCTCTTCCTGTTTTTAAGCAGCACTGGACAGCTTTTCTTAAGCTCACCTAAGGATCAGGTCAAACTTGCTGTCATAAACACTGATAGACACTAGACAAGCTTATGTCATTGCAAAACCCACTGGAAAAGCAGCACGTGCCAAGAAACACGTTACAACACAGTTATGAGCAAAGCACAGTATACATTCGTGATTCATGTTTATGACCCCAGTCTGAGGGTGACTGCACATACTCTTTTTGAGCAAGAGCTTCATTTAAAGTTTTTTCTTTACGTGAGTTAATGCTGCATGCGAGTGTATTGTGGTTTATGCACCTATAATTCTCTCATTGCAAAGCAGGTCAAAACTGGTCACTGCAGGGATTTGTGGCTTTTTTAGACAGCATGACGATGGCCAACACCCACCGGTAGGGTGTACACCACAGAGTGGGTACCAATTAACATGCCTGAAGTGTCAATTACAGATGGGTGCAAATGTATTACAAACCCACAAAATATGTCATTTATTGATATAATAACTATTCATTATCACCAAAAAATTAATACCTTTTTACTCATCCTTCTAATATAGCACTAATTCAAAGCCAATAACAGCTGTGCCCAAAATTACTTTAAATGGTGATATTTAGTATGGCTACCTAAGGCACCTAAATATTGATTTGAGTATTTTTGTTGGACTTTCTTGATTTTTTTCATGTCGTAATTAAACAAAATAAATAAGTTAAAGGTCAAATGGATTTTCCAATTTGTATCTTTGCTTCATGTTCCTTTGCTTTCTTATATGAAATGAAACACAGAGGCAGTGGAGTGCTCAATACATTTGCACACTACTGCTAACAAAATAAGACAAAACAGTGGTACTGCTAAATTATAAGAAATTGTTCTAAAAAATACTGCAGAGTTGTCTGTTAGGCACTATTGCTATTAAGTGCTGCAGTACTCCAGCCATACAGTCTAGGGCAGAGATGTCTAATCCTGGTCCTCTATTAAGCAGCAGCACCTGATGTGCTGTGAGACAATATTCAAGTTGTCTTCTTAAGTCAGATTATCTCATTAAGAGCTGTGTTGGAATAAAAAGCCTCAGACACCCTGGACTAGGACTTCATCCTGTTATTACTTATTAGAAATGAAGACAAAGACTTGATGCCTCCTTAATTGTTTCAATTCAACACACTTTTAACTGGTTTTAACAGACCATTGGACTTGTGAATCTGCATGCACTGCATACAAAAGCTCTTCTCAGATCCCACGGGGTTTCATTGAAATGAATGAAATCAGTGTAGCCTTACTGTTTTTTTTTTAATTAAGGTTAGATCTATCCTTACACCTATGGAGAAAACAAAAGGTCAAAGTCATGGAGGTTTTGACTGCTGAAAGACTAGCATTATCCTGGAATTAGGGCTGCAATTCACTGGCTAATCAAGGGAGAAGTCTCCTCCCCTGAACACAGGCCTCAATCCTCCTGTGAAGTAAAAAAGACAGAACATGAAACAAAAGAGCCCTGGAAGCATGCGCACCTTGACCGGGCAGGTAGGTGGTTGTGGTCTCCATGGTCATAGTGCCGCCCGGACTGCGGAAACTGGGGCTCAGGGAGCTCTGATTGTAGCTGGTGGTGCTGATGTTGCGTGTCAGAGAGCCCGCTCCTCCAGGATAGAGGAAGCTCTGATCCCACTTCCCATTGACAAACTCTGCAGAAATCAAATAAAATACATGATCCTCTGTCTGATCAGAGGAGAACAGCCGTCGCATGACAGGCCAAAGGGAGCCCTCTTGCAGAGCACCACTACACCTGCACTAAGCCTCACAGCTTGGGGTTGCAGGGTCTGGTGTGCTGTAGTCAGGGATTAAGCAGTAGAACCACCTTCATTCCTCTCTGGGCATTGCTGCACGGGCACACAACAGGGATGTAGGCACAGAACTGGCACGTACTGTATGCGGCTAGATCATCAACTGGATCGTCAGTTGATGTCAGCAGAGCGTCCTACAGTGGCAGGCACGAGCAGAGGGGAAGATCCCGGAAGGGCAGAGTGCAGGATGACAATGGACCTACAGTGGACCAGAGCTCTGCAAGGCTTCAGACAACAGGCCTGGTGGGGGCGAAGGTGGGCATGCGTCTAGCGTGCAGGTCTTCACCTTGCATTGGGAGCGGGGTCCTGGCCCGGCAGGGGCGCGGAAGCTCGTCACCGGTGCTGCCCTCTGTGCCAGAGCTGTACCGCTGGGGGATGACATCAGCTGGCAGCCTCCAGGACACCTTGCGCAGGTCCAAGTCCTCGCCAACCAGCTGGACAAACTTCCACCGCGAGCCTTTCGGGACAATGCAAGCACTGCGATTGGTCGCTGAGCTCAAGAACTGGGGAAGTGGACTCCAGACTGGCAGGGGCAGTGGTTGGGGAAGGCAATGGAAGCACCTCCCTTCATCCAAAGAGGAGAATACCCTGCTCACGAGGTGGGGGGAGGGAGGGGGCTGGCCTGGTGCGACGTGATGCCCGTATTGTGCCCACAACAAGCAGTTTGCCAAGCTTTGCTGACTGTATGCTGAAAAGAGAAGCTTTTTGGGAAAGGGAGATTTTGGAATTCCAGATCCCAGAACTCTCGTAAATGCAAAGAGGGAGCGGAAAGCCCAGCCGGCCCTCTCTCCTGCTCTCCTGAACTGTCAACACCTTAATCATCCAGATCCCTGTAGATCAGGTGCAAGCTGAAGATCAGAGATAAAAGCAAAACGTGGGAGATTCCGGCAGACAGACAGGAAGTGTACCGTACTTACAGACAGGCCCAGGAAGGTGGACAATGAAAAAACACTTTGCAACCAATGTACAGGAAATCAAATGCAGCATCATAGTTTCAACACTACTTCGCTGGATTGTACGGTTGTGCATGAATGCTCACTGAGTTTACGGGTCCTTTCGCTTTCTGTGCCAATTCTGTGCCCGGTCATCTCACCATTGTTGCAGAGCCCTAAAGCAGCATGCCCACCTGACTCCCCTTGCTATTGCATCAGGTACTCCACTCTCAGACCTTTGACTTCACACCCATGCTGTGGTCTTTGGGACCCATTTTGTGATCCCCTTAATGATCATCTTAGCGATGCCCAGTAGAAAGAGGTTACCAGTCTCAATAACATGGCAAGGAAATGCCCACCGTGACAGACTGATCATACTGCCATTGTGGGACGAGACTAAAAGAAAAAGATATGTGTCCATCAATACCTATAAAGAGAAGTGCATTTTCATTCTGCGGAGCAGTTGAGCACCAAAGCAAAACATTTGTTAAAAAAACAGTTTCTAGCACAAACCAGAGAGAAGCTTTATATATCCCAGGGAAAAAAACACTCTCATATGGCGGTTCAGTGGCGCAAAAGCTTTTTCACGTTGGTGGAACCAGTTCTTAATGTAGCTCTTTTAATAAGGATAACTGCCTACATAAATGGACATTAACCTCTGCTACAGTAATAAAATATTGCAAACCCAGTGTAACCTGTTTTAGGCATCTCCACACTGATCAATACCAATTATAATGCAAGGAAGCTAGTATTACACAATATTACTCATGGATATTTTTTTAAATTGAGGACTCTCTAACTGCCTCTAGGGATCTAAATCACTAAATGATCAAGTTTACTTTAACCATCATTTTTAAAATTAAAAAGCTCTGCTGTTCATGAAAAAGCCATAACCCCTCTCACTCAATAAAAACTGCATTCATAAACATCCTGGCAGCAAATTCAAATTCACCGTAAAGAGTCTCACATGTCTATTATAAAGCTCAGAGGTCTCTGCAATTTATGAAAAAGCAGGGTAAAAAAATTCAATCATCTGGCTTTTATGTTGTTTACTCTAGGCTCTATCTTCTGATTTTAGATGAGTAAGTCCAATGTAACAATTGGGGAGGCACTGTGGTGCTACCTTGCAGCAATCTGGCCCTGGGTTCAATTCCAGACCTGGGATGTTATCAGCGTGGAGTTTGTATGTTCTCCCTGTGTTCTCATAAGGTCCCTCTCACTGTTCAAAAACATGCTGGTAGGTTAACTGGCCCTGGTGTGAGTGTGTGTGTGTCTGCTGTCCATCCAATGCGTACATTTTGCTTACTTCCCTGTCACCCTGATGTGGAAGATGTGGCTAACAAAATGGGTGGATGGATTTAATAATCAGCCCCCTTCACCATGATTATGAATGAAATGATCTTGAAGACCAGGGCAGTTTCTTAAAAAACAAGCGATAACACTCTCAAGCCATGAGAAACAGGCTGGTTAGCTGAAAAAAGGTACAGTATGGAGTAAAAACCATAAGAACTGTTTACAGAAATGTTTTTAATGCTTCCAGCCTGTTTTCCAGATCATCTTCAGACTGAATGCCTTTCCCCATCACTCACCAGCGTACAGCACCCTGCCCGACCCGGCCGAGAGGAAATCTGAGGGACCCACCTTCGTCGGACACGCTGGGGCGCTTGCTTCCCCCGGGAGAGCGCATGACGTCAGAGCTGTACATCAGATAGCTGTCATAACCTTCACCCGCTTCAGCGTCGACAATTGGGATGTCTGGGATGATTGGGACTGAGAGACGGAGAGAGAGGATAAGCAACAGTTTGATCAAACAACTAAGGCTGATAACCCAAAAAAGAGGGCTTCCTCAGAAAAAATGTCACTCAGTCATCATTAGTGCTTGTGTTTTTCGAGCCATTTTTATCTTTGGCAGCTGCCTTTTTTTTGTTCATTTATCCATTTTAATAACAGGTGGGCTGAGGTATAGAATACTACTGTTTAATGACAACACAAGAAAACAACAAAGCCCATCCTCCTGACAGTGACAAAAAAAGTAGTTTTCTTTACAGCAAAAAATTCTATGTTCCTTTGACAATAGATATGTGTGGTTTCACCAGAAATTAAGAGGATTTAACACTTTTTGTTCTGTACAGACATATAGAAAAAAACAGAATTTAAAGTTAACAAACACAAAATCCCATTGTTCCTTCAGACTCACTGGACAGGGGTCTGGGGGGCTGCGTGGCCAGGTTAATGGTGGCCTCCCTGGTGGGGCCCCAGCCAGCCTTGTTGCGGGCCTTGACAGTGTAGCAGTAGGTCTGGCACTTCTGCAGGTTCTCGATAAGTAACATGCGCTTCTTGGGGCTGTCGATCTTCACCTTCTTTGTGGGGCCCATGGGCTCTGCAAGACAAGGCAATGAGTCACTCCGCAGTGCTTACTGTATAGGAGTCACTCCACAGTGCGAAGGTACAGGAGTCACTCTGCAGTACTGATAAATAGTGAAAGTCACTCTGCAGTGCGCAGGAACAGGAGTCACCCGGCAGACATACAGGAGTTACTTTGCAGTGATGACACTGTAAAAATCACTCCACAGTTGTTCAGGAGTTACTCCACAGTTCTCAGGTGTCACACCAGACTGCTCATGTACTGTACATTAGACACTCTGCAATGCTCACAAACAGGCAACCTTGTATGTTTTTAGATATTTTTGGATATTAGAATTCAATTTCACAGAATTTTTATTTTGAATTGTATAATATATCAACTGAAGCTTTGATCTTAAACTAGTCTCCTTACTACGGCACAATGTGTTTTGTTATATAAAATCCCTTCTACACAGTGTTGTTAGTATATTAAATGGACCAATACCACGATTGAGATATCGAATAAGAGCAGGAAAGAAACAAAGATGAAAAGAAGAAAGAAGAAATGTTTCTGGGCAACATTCTGCAAGATCTCCATAACACTTTTGTATGCTGTTCTCCTAAACACCTGAATGATTCCACCACACTGGTGCTGGTGTGAGTGAGCTGGCCTGAGTGACTATGTCTTACTGCTGTCCTCGTTGATGGGCGTGTAGGTGACCTCATAGGCAGTGATGTCACCATTGGTCTCAGCAGGCTCTGCCCAGCTGAGCTGGGTGACAGTCGGGTTGATGACATTGAAGGCCAGGCGACCTGGCTCACTCGGCACTGTGGGAAGAGAACAGAGAACAGAACCAGCTGTCAGTCAAATGAGAGACAGAAACTTAGACCTGTAGATCACGTTTTTGTGATCCCTTCCAATAATAAAAGGGATAAACACAACATGCATGTATACTTAAGAGGGAATGAAAGGCTATTTGTTGGCTGTGTTTCTGCATTGCAATAAACTAAGGGTCGGTGGGGAGCAACCTCATTCAAATATTTTTTCAGGGAGTGGTTTAACATTTAGCCACAGGGTCATGATTCCATCCTTATGCTCACCGTCCTCCAGTGTCTGGCACTGCACCACATCAGAGTAACGCCCCTCGCCCAGAGCGTTGTAGCTACACACTCGCATCTCATAGTCGCAGTAGGGGTACAGGCCGGTCAGATCTGCCTGCGGGCTCTTGCAATCAATGACCTGGGCATCAGACTCTGGGTCACCCTCGATCCAGTACTTCACCTGGACAGCACACACGGACACAGTGGCACCATTACAACAACAGCCAAACTTAGCCAAAGCATTGACAACAGGAAAAACTAATAGGGCTGATCAATCCATCCAGAGAGTGAGATTACTTCCATGAAGACAGCCTGCAATCCTTAGCATCTCACCTTGTAGCCGCTGGGTTTGCCAGGAGGAGGGGTCCAGTTCAGATGGATACTCTTGGCACTAGTGGCCTTGGCAGTAACTTTGGTGGGGGCACCAAGGCGTCCTCCTGGAGACTGGAGATTCTGAGAGAAAAGCTGAACCTCATTGGGCCTACCATCACCTAGAGAAACAAACAGGTCTGCATGAAAAAGAACTGACCGCAAACTCTCAGCAATTAACATACACTCACAGAACATATTCTATCACTTCCTGGATGTCTTTTAAAAAAAATTAACCTGGTAAACGCAGTTATGTTCCCTCATTTCCACTTTCATTTGTGTGGTTTAAGGCTAGTATCAACAGAAACACAAGGTAACACACTGCACTACACTCCGTTGGGCTCGGATTTAAAAGCTATAGTGACGTGAAATTCCTGACACTTGGTCCTGTAGGCTGAAAATCACCACTACAACGGTATTTTGTAAATTAGACCTAATTCTGAGGTGGGACTGAAACAGCTCCTGTTGACAAAGTCATGCCCCCCAATTAAAAATCCCAGTTGCTCAGAAATCCATAGACTCCAGGACTGCAGGGAATCCAATATTGAAATTGACACGTTCAACAAGCTTTACTCCAGTTTAGTTGATAAAGCATATACAGTATAGAAGATGGGTCATTCAGAGATGCCCTTTAACTGGCTGTTCACTCTGTTTTGGCTGTTTGTTTCAGTCTTTACTGATGATCACTGCCCGGTACTTCTTAATCACTTCTTAAGGTGAGCTAATAAGAAAATGGAGCTGGTCAACAGTTTGGCCTTACTCGGCTCCACGACGGACACAAGAGTGGTCTTCCTCTCCCCGATGACCGCATTGGCGCTGGGGTCAAACAGCTCTAGCTGGAAGATCTCGGGTTTAATGGGCCCGGGGTGCATACACGGGTCAATCACAATGTTCTTCTCTGTTTCTCCAGGGCTAAACTTTAAGGGGCTGGACATTTCAAAGCGTGAAGCCTTGCGGGTCCGCCAGTACACCGTGGCAGGGCCCTCTTGGTTGCGGGTTCGAATCACAGGGATAGTGTAGAGTTGGTCAGCTGTCGTGAAGCCCTGGGTGCTCTTCTTGAACATCATCACACTGGGCTCTGCAAAGGGGAAACACATTTTCAGGGCTGACCGTACCAGCCTGGGCTTCTGCGAGTTGAAAGTCAGTTTTTCGACTCAAATGGAAAAAGAATCTGGTCGCAGATCAAGATGTGGTTGAGTGATGAGTGATTCAAGGGAGGGCTTTGATATTAGCTGTCTTTGATGAGGACTCTCCAACAGAGGCGTAGTTTCCAAGGCAGAGTGTCTTCAGCCTGCTGTGCAATGATTGCCAGTTGCAGAGATTGCCAGGTGCAGTGCCAGACTGCCAGGAGCTTGCCAGCTTGCAATGTGTTATCTGCGAGAGCTGCGTCAGTCCTCCATCAGATGCCTTAGCTCTGGTGTTTGTTTCCGGGTTTTGCAGTGTGTGAGGAAGCCAGTGGCCAGACAGCACATGTCTCAGAGTAACAGGTCTGTAGCAGCGAGTTGAATCTAGTCAACAATTTGGGCTCCCATATTAGGTAGATACAAAATTAAAAGCAATCAGTGGTTCAAATATTTTAGAATAGACTTCAATACTAAATAAACCTTTATTATTTTTCTTCAGTGTGTTTTTATGAGCTACCTTGTATACACATAATGAAAACATATTACACTAAATTAGTATTTTCTTCCAGTTTTGGGACATCCATAAACACATAAAGAGCAAGTTCAAATGCCTTCAACTGAAGGTTTAAGATTGAGAGAACTTGTACCTGAATTAACTTTGAAAAAGGTTTTTGTGCAAAAACCTGATTTTAGATTTTGTGCAGTGTGATTAAAATATCACTCTCAATTTGATAGCAGTAACTCAGCAGATAGCAGTTAGTATATACAGTTAGAAAAAGCAGATGACAACTGAATGACAATGATTACTCTCCAGCCTTTTTGGGTCTTGACCAGCTAATAAACTCTTCCCTCATTCTTTATCATGGGCTACAGACTGGAACTGCCTAGTGCAGTTTGCAGTCTTATACTGTATATTACACTACATATTACGCTCAATAAGTATTTTAACATTATTACACTAATGAGTACTAGCAGTCTTATGATGTGTCTGGAATGTTCCCAATGTGCACTATCACTCTAAAATACAAGTGGGCTCAGGTAGTCAGGTGTACAGCAAGCCCTACCGGGATCATCGGAGATAGTGACAGTGGTACGTGGGTAGCGTCCCAGTTTGGCGCCCTGCCGGGGGTTGCTGAGGTCCATGACAAACTGCTTGATCTGCTTCTCGCCCAGGAGGGAGTCTGCCTCTGTCAGCTCCAGCAGCTTCACTGGCACAGTCTTTTGAGTCTCTCCAGGCCGGTAGGTCAGCTCGCCTTCCGTGAATACATAATCCTGGAATAACAGGTCACAGGAAGACCTTTAACACTTCACATCAGGCTGGTGTTTCTGACAGAAACATTTTACAGTTAGGCTTTGGACTATTCCCACTTCTGGGTCCATTTCCGAAGAACACAAGAGCATGAAGAGCTGCACACAAAAGAAATCATCAGCTGTTTAGTTATTGCTCCATTGAGATACCTAATTGACCATATTTCCAAACTAATTCAAACACATCTGTTGAAGTGGTTGCTGAGACATACTATCCATACAGAGCTAAAACGAATACATCCCAAATGCTGTATGCAATCAGGGCTCCAAATGAATAGTTTCTACTGTACAAAGAGCTATAGATGAAAAATGTATTTAGGAGGAGAGAATTCTGATGTCATCTCAAGTGCGTTAGGGGGTGTCACTCATTCTTGGCTCTCTGGTGTAGTGGGAGGTCCTCAATCATGTTAGCAACATGAGTGAATGCTGCCAGATGGTATTCTTACATACTATTTTAACGGCAATGACAACAGTTACCGTGTTGCCAGTAGCAATGATGACAGAAAAAGTCTCTAAAACGTTATTTCGTCACATCTGTGATCAAAATCTAATTTAATTTCAATGTGTGATTTACTGTTTTTAAATTCTTTCTTAATATTTATTTGTAAAGATTCAAACTTTTCTAAGCTATGCTCCTATAAGTGGTTTCTTTTCCCCCCGTGGGGTAGCAATAGCAATGAGAACGTCACCCGAGATGGGCAAGAGATGCTAACTGAGCTCACAAGGCCCCTCACCCGCTGGTCCTTGGCGGTGAGGTCCCGGGTGCGGTAGGTGACCTGGGTGTGCCCGTCCTCAATGATCTCACGGCTCACAGGGATGTTGGCCACCTTGTCCTGACGACTGTAGGTGTAGGATGGCTGCAGGAAGGTGAAGATGCTCTTGGCTGCAGGGGAGACACGACAGCTGTGTTTGAACTTGTACCACCGCAGCACAGCTGGACTGGGAAATGACTCGCGTCGTCATTGCAACACTTTGGATGGCACAAAACCACTGATGTGTCTGCCACTTGGCTCAGGTCTTGACTGAAAACCCAAATCGTGTTCGATATCGACCCATCAATTCTTAATCATTACGGCTATGCAAAGTTGTTCATGATTTTAAGAATGCAGTAACAGGAATTGTCCTTAACCTTTGTTTTTCTCTCATGTCAGGTTTTGTGCCCAGCTGTGGCTTCTTAGAGAGTGGGAGTCATTTAAGAAGACTTAAAATTAAGTCACACCATGATGCAGATCACAAACCATACCGATTATTGTAGGACAGAATGAAAGATGGTGGAAAGGTTGAGGGACAAGTGCAAAGAAAGAAAGTGAAACTTGGCAAAGCAAAGTAAGCTGAAAAGGGAGAGAGGAAAATAAAAAAAACAAAGAATGAAAGAAAAGAGAGAATCTGGGAAATGATGAAGAAAACTACATGACTGGAAAGTACAACACAGAAATATGCTAGGTACCCTGTTCCTTGATGATGGTGATGTTGACAAATCGGCGTCCAATCTCAGCAATTCCCAATGGCACCTCTAGCGCCTCCACCCTCAGCTGTTTCTTGTCATCGTCCTCATCCTTGACAAAGAGCGGCACACGCACATCCACTGACTCCACCCCTTCCTGCAGTTCCACCAATCCTGTTGCGTCTGAGAATGGACACGCCCACAGAGTCATCACAAACAGCAGGCCTTAAGATTAAGAGGACTAAACTCATGCACTTTATGTCAATTCATGATTTAATATACTATTTAAATTGAACAGCAACACAAAATGAAAAAAACATAAACCATTCAAAACCTAGCCCATGGCTCACAGCAACAACTTCTTCCACTTGTCTTTTTCATCACTGTCAAGTACCCAAAGAGATTCACAAGAACAGTGGGACTGACAACTGTGTGCATCCTCTCTCTCACCTCTGTCCGAAGCCACGGTGTAGTAATTGGGCACCACCTTCAAGTCGCTGAACCTGCCAGACTGCACCTGTCTCTCCGTGAGCCTGACGATTTCAGGCTGGGCAGACCGTGGTGCAGAAAGCACTGTATCCACAACAGTGTGGTCCTGCCTGGATCAGACACAAGATACATGACATAGTGATCGACCTCATGCTGAATTGCACACTTTTACAAACTCCTACTGTGCTGAAATTGTTTAAATTGTAGAAAGTGAGGATTATTTCTTTTTAAGTTAAAAAGACATAATAGAGGGTCTTTAATGATTTTGCTTGGGACCACTGAAACATTATATATTCAAATTGTAGAACTTCTAATGTGTTTTATTGGATTTTTCAACTATTTGATTAATTAATTATATGTAGTAATTATGGAGCTGGTTTTAATATGTCTAATGACAATGACAATGACAGCTCTCTGTTACAATTACATACAAAATATCTAACGATCAGTCAGATCTGTATTTATCTGAAACAGCATTTAGAAGGTCGCTAATGGTACACTACCGCATCCACAACAAGTGGAAATATGTGAAATGGATAGTAGAAAAAAATGGTTACCTTTTACCAGCATTTGGTTGGAGTCTGAAACATAAAACACAGAGAAAACATTAGTCCATAAAAGCCTTGTCTTGGTCAAAATGGTTGACTGGTATTTCTAAGAACTGAAAGTAATTAAAAATAATAGCTTTCATAGTGTCCTCTTCCAGGTAGATGTACCTTTGAAAGTAAGATGGGATTCTGAATAACTCTGTGATGAAAGATTAAAGTGCATGAAGTTCTTTTGTTCACCGTATATTAAGACTACACCATCAAAACAGCGTTATGTTTATAGCACAGTACAGGCCCCTTCTCCCTGAAGTAGTGGAAATGGCACCAGGAACCAGACTTTAACGTAATGCTAGAACAGGTGTTTTCCTCAGGATGCCATGCAAAAGAAGATGATCGTTGGTGCTTGCGGCAGAGGCGCATCACTGAAGACAACAGCAGACTGGTTACTGTGTCATCTCGGATAACATCAAAGTGTTGCATGCATCATTTTCAAAAATAAGAAAAACACCCCTTGGTAGCAAAACCTCTTCCATCATGAATGGCATCCTGCAGCCTTTCATGTCCCAGGTGTCAAAGAAATAGGCAAATCAAACTTTTTTTTGTCTTTTATGACTTATTGTAATGAAAGTGGTACTGCAACCAGCAAGACAATGGAACATATCTGATGCTATGTCCCATTCAGCCTAAACTGTTTAAATGATGGTCTATGCAGATGTAATGAGTATAGCTCTCTTTTCCCTTGCCAGTATTTAATTCCAGCTGCTTGTGCGCTCTGAGCCAACACAGCCCCTATCCCTTGCAATATTTATGCATTTTCTAAACCTACTATAATCATGTTTAGAATAGGATGAACACATACTGTACACAAACACTAATTTCTAATGCATGAGTTTGATGTCTATTTCAACCAGTTCCCCAGTCTCATAGAACAGAGGAACATGATCTGCTGAAGAGAATTTCACATGAATTTCTCATAAACCAATGTGTTGAGGTTTCCCATGCTGAGAACTTCCACTCAATGTAACTGCATGCACTATCTGCTGTACCTGAATTTTGTCTTTTGGACCCTCTGTACTCCAGGAATCTGCTTGTAGACATCATTAAGCTGTGAATGAACCGAAGTAAGATATCAGAGGGCGGAACATCCATAGCCAGCCTCTACAAGTTCCAAAGAATTATTGGCGATTTCTGCAAACGATGGCATGGGAATCCGTCATAATTCTGATCCCCTCCCCTCTTCTCTCGTCACGATCCCAATGCCGCAGGATGATTCGCTCCAATCGCCTTTACCAAAAACATCACGTCTGCAACAGGCCAGTCTTATGTGTGTCTGAATCCAAATATCAGCATCCTAGTTAAGATGTAAATATAAAATCCAGATGGGATCCCCAAATATTAGCTTGAACTGCCAAATTGTTCCATTTTGAATAAGTGCTATTTCAAATATAGATGTTTGTGTATTGTAAGTCCACCTTTTTACAAGGGTAAATCTGGACGTAGGTCTACAACCAAAATGCATAAACTCGACATTTTTTTACAAACTGTGAAATTACAAAGCTATGCTCTTCCTTTCATGGCCTATATTCTCCTTTTCTGTCTGTCTGTTGGCATCCACTAAATACTCATGGACGAGTCTCACAAACCACACCCTCTGTGTCTGGGCAGTTTAACAGCATGTTAGAAACTCGAGCATCAGTGTGTGACTGCAGGATGACCTTTTTAATTGCCATTTATTTTAATAGAAGGACACAGTGTTGGATTGGCTTGATTGTTAAACAAAATGTATCTATGAATTAGCTATCCATTCACTTTCTAATCACTATCTCCTGGTGAAGGCTGTGGTGGTAACAGGCCGAGCAGGGCAGACTAGACGTCCCTTTCCCCAGCAACAGTCTCCAGATCCTCCTGGGAGACTCCCAGGCCCTTCCAGGCCAGCTGAGAGATACAGTCCCTCCAGCATGTCCCTGGCTCTTCGAGGTGGGTCGTGCCCTGTACACCCCCAGCAGGAGGCGCCCAAGGGGCATCCTCACCAGGGGCACAACTGGCTCTTCTCTATCCAGAGGAGCAGTGACTCTACTCCAGGTGATGGGCATGAGCGGAATGGAGCCGGACGGACTAGACCTTGGCAAAGTATCAGCCATATTTATGAAAAAATGTCCAACGGTGCCAGATTTACTTATATCAGGGGTGCTACTCACATTCTCCTCCACCTCCCTACGCAACAGGTCCGTCTCTCTGGCGTCAGGCCTAGACAGGCTGTCTGTGAAGAGACGAGTCAGGCGCAGGGACAGAGGATACTGGACTGGAGAGAGATAAAGCAGGAGGAAGAGTGGTCAATACAGATGCAGGCTGATTAGACACTGTACCACATTAACACTGCCCTGTGCTGGCCAGAGAGTGAGGGACAGAGAAAGAGAGAGAGAGAGAGACAAGACTGCTGAATAAAGACAGAGTGCCAGTTCCAGGATTACTTTGTTTCCACTCTGCTTTATTTTGTGCCACTTATTCTGTGTAATATTTGAATTGCTAATAAACTGCTGCACAAATTAACGGAACCTCCAAAAACATTTAGTGACCCCCTGGTGCTCGACCTATTTGTGCTTGTTTGTTCGATTTATTGTCATTGATGAGTCAGTATACCCCCACTGAGCCATATGGGACCACAGTCGCTGTAGGCACACAGAAACTCCAGGCTGTGCAGCAGGTGAGGTGCTGAAAGAGCCGGCTCAGACTCACTGGTCTCTTTGGAGTTGAGGGTCTGTGTGAGCGCAGTGGCACTGCGGTGCACATTATCCATGATTTTCCAGCGCACCACATCAGTGCTCTTGGGGGGTCCAGTCCGCACCAGTGGGGTGTCCAGGTGGTCAGAGGTTAGGAGACTCTGTCGCAACATGTATTGGTCTTCTTTGAAGCCCACCATGCGTCCTTGATCAGAAGCAGAAGTTAAACAGTGTAATTTGCACAACGTGCAAAGATCTTTACTGGGGAAAGAAACTCACCACAATTAAGGAACATTATCCCAGTTTAATGGATAGGCACATTACATATACTGTAAACAAATCACAAATGCATCTTTAAAAACATTTACACCTCTTAGACACTTTCCAAACAATTCACAGTGGTCAACATTGCTGCCTCGCAGCTCTGAGGCTCTGGGTTCTGGACCTGGGGCACTCTATGCGAGGAGTTTGTATGCTCCCCCTGTGTTCATGTGGGTTTCCACCAGGTACTCCAGTTACTTCCCACAGTCCCAAACATACTACAGAAGGTATGTTAACATACTAGGTAGGTTAACTGAATTCTGGGAAAGTGACCCTGGTGTGAGTGTGTCCATCCATGTTCGTGTCTGTCTGTAATGGACTGGCTCTCCATACGCCTGTTGTTTGCCAAAATAGACTCTCGAATCCTGAATTGGGATTTTCCATAGTGTAGCACATTTCAGCAGAACAGACTCATAGACACATCAAATAGACTCACCTCGCCCACAGCATGGAAGCATAGCCAGGCATGCCTGAGAGAAAAAGAGACAAATTAGTACGAGACTAGAGGTCTTCCCATTTTTTTCAACATGAAATACATTTAATCACACTGATAGAACTATCAGCTTAGTATATGCAGATCAGTGTGTGAAAACAAAGAAGAAACACTGTATTTGATCTGAATTAATTGATACAATTTCATGTGTATTTTAAATAATTAGTGTAATTAGCCTTAAAGAGACAAAAAACACAAAATGTCTGAAACAATTTCTTCATTCCTTTTTGCAATTTCTAGGACTCCACTTGGCTCAGTGCTACAGCCCTGTTAGTGTGAGAAGAGGTGCGTCCGGCTACTGGCTTCCTCTCACACTGCAAGCACCAGAGCTAAGGCATCTATCTGATGGAGGAGTGATGCACCTCTCAGATGTAACACATACTGTACAATCATTGCACAGCAAGCTGAAGACACTCAAAGGGGAAGGGAGGTACCCGCTCGGCGACCATTCTTTACCTTGCAGCAGGCACAGTACTTCCAGCAGCAGAGGAGCAGCAGACCCAGGAGCAGCATGAGGAACATGATGAGGGGGATGAGCCAGAGGAAGCCTCCAGGGGGACACTCTGCGCACAACAACAAGAACGAGATCCGTCAACTGTGCACATCATCAGGGCAGCGTCCCAATCACCCACCCCTGTCTCAGGCCTCCCTAAAACCATCTGAAACAGGCTGGAGCTACAGCACATGGAGAGGAAGTTGGGTTTTCCCCAGAGGGGGCTGTCCTCGTTTCAGAAATCTGAAGCATTATGAAGTTTTATTTCCAAACTCCAAAGAAGTATTCCCTACAATCTGGCAGTTTAAATGATATCCAAGCAGCAACCCTGTAGACAACCTCCCCAGCCACAAGACTGTTGGATTCTTCAGGGTAAACATTGTGTCAGCACCTATAAATCCACCTGGAATATCTACCCTGGTAGATATCGTAAACAGGAGAAAAAATGTGTGCTGAATGCTTCAGTTTACCCGTTTTGTGTTGTATTGCAAAGGTATCTTGGTTAAGAGACTTTTCGAAAAAACAGATATCTGGTCTTAATAACATTTTGGCGACACTCTCTTGGCCTCACAATTAATCTCCAATTAAAAAAGCTGACACTAGCATCCTTCTCATCTCGGAGGTGAAACATTACTCCACCATTTAATTCAATTTTGGTGTGACACAATAATGCATTTTATTTTCCATTGATTTCTGGTGTTTTTTTCAAAATAAGATCATATTGAATTTCTCTTTTCCTTTATTGAATAAATTTATTTTCTAACATCAATATGATTTTGATCATTTTGAGGAATTGAGTTTGGAGCTCCAAAGTTTTGAACAGTCCTTCATGGCTGCTGTTGTGCTCTCTGCGAGGGGCAGGATCCTCACCTTTTTTCTTCAGCACCTGGACATCGCTGAGGTTTTTTGAGTTGGGGAGATAGTCCACAGTGTATTCATAGGTACAGTCATCATCCTCATCCCGGAAACTGCAGGTCTCAATCACTTCCTCTTCTGTAAACACAGCACAGTCAGGCCTGCTCTCTCCCTCCCAGACCCACCATGAGAACACGGCATAGTCCTCTGCATTCCAGACTCGGGTTCTGGGCCACAGTAAATGACCTACACCTGAACCATGGACCCCTGATGGCTTGCAAAATATTGAATAATCTAGGCCCAGGTGTTATTTTCAGTTTCACTGTGACACATACCGTATTTGTTAAACTAGCCTTTTCAGAGCATGGGTGTGAGACTGTCTGACCATCAGCCCTATGGTTCTCCTCAGATATCCCTAATCCTTTCCATTGAAAGAACTGAGTTTTTAAATCCAAATGACAAACATTTGACTGTTATCGCTTTTAACCACCCAGTAATTCAACAGAAAGGTACACAGACACCTTGAAACCCAGTGTGCAAAAAAACCTAATGCTTGCTATGGTTCTGCTATGAAATCACAATTCATCCTCAACAGGACCAGAGAGACGGGTGCAGAGGCCTTACTTTTCTTCAGCTCGTCCACCATGGTGATCTTGAAGGGACAGCCTTCGCACTTCTTTCCCTTCAGCTCGCCGGTTTTCCAGGCCTGGCACTGGACGCAGCTCCGCTTGTTCTCACACAGCCCAAGGCGCGCCTGCGGACAGCGGCACACCCCTCAGGTTTCTCACTAACATCACGCAGCATGCCTTGATCCAGTTCAAACTATGGAACTAGGAGTATGGGTTTACCCAAAGGGTGGCGGGAGTGGGGAACAGGTTACCCAGCACTCTGGCTTCTTTCAGGAAATGGCTGCATGTATCTCTAGTAACTACTAACTACTGAAAGTGCTAGAAGGGCAGATTGGCCCACTGTCATTTGAAACCCTTCTTATGTTCTTATTATGTGGTATTTCAATAAATCTGATGTATACCACATCTGAAATGTCTCTTTTGATTCTGTTCTTCACAGAGCTGTACCTACACAGTACAAATATATATAGCTTTCTATTGTTTACACATTTCAACTTTGTGGTAGTTTTTGTTTGTGTTATGGAAAAATAGCTTAATATACATCTTCCAAGTCCCGTACAACAAAGCCCTGTGATGGAAGAAGCTCCTTTGTTAGAGCAGTAAGTGAAATGGTCATCTTGCTCAGAATTCCAAAATTCTGAGAGAATAAGAGAATAAGGTATGTTTTGCTGATTTTTTGCAAAGATAAAAATGATGACCTGTCTGTTATGCCCACTACTCGTGCAAGGCCTGCCTGAGTCACGCCAACCAAGACCAACCAAGATAAGTGTCAAAATATGGTTTAACTGCTTCTGGCTATGTGGTGAACAGGACAGGCGCGATAGACCCCATCATTTCTTCACTTTGCAAGTAATTTTCAAACACTTACCTGAAAGTTGGCCTCACATGTAGCACCAGGGAATGTCTCTGGATCGTCACATATGCAGCGGCCACACTGACACGTTCCTCTGCCATTACAGATCCCCTGGTACAGAGAGAGGTGAGAGTGCAAGACATGCGATCACTCCCTGCCCTGGATAGCTGGGCAGAGCCCAAAGACCTTTTGGACAGACCCTTTGTAGAAGCATAATAGTGGGACAAAAAAGGGTGAATTCATCAACCCACTGTCGAACCACTTCTTCCAATTCAGGGCTGCAGGGGAGCCAGAGCATATTTTGGCAAGCAATGATCGATCCACGTCCCTAACCTCACCTGCGGTCATACACTTTTGGTAGGGACCAAAACAATGAGATAGTGGGTACAAGTGGCAAAACTGAGGTTTCACTGCAGGGTAGCTGGCTTACTCCTTGTGACAGAGTTAGGAGCTTAGTATTCTGGGGGGACCTTGGAGTAGAGTAACTGTTCCTCCAGATCAAGAGGAGACAGTTTGAAATTCATTGGGGATCTGGTGAGGATCTCCCATGGGCACCTCCCGCTGGAGGTGTACTGGGTACGGTCCAGCAGGAAGAGAACCTGGTGCAGACCCAAGACAGGCTGGAGGGATTATATCTCTCTTTTGCCCAGGAGCTCCTGAGAATCCCTCAGGAGGAGCTGAAGACTGTAGCTGGACAAAGGGAAGTCCAGTCTGCTCTGCTCAGTCTGTTACCACCATGACCCTCACCAGGAGTTAACGATGATAAAACGGGGTGGGGACTAGTAATATAATGGTTATGTAACTGAAGGGAAAGCACACCAGAATGCAGTGCTCATATATTCCCAAGTTACTGATTTTGTTCAATATCATTCACTCTTAGTCAAACATAAGCAGCCACTTATTATAAAGTGTTTGGCCTATTTATGCAAAACTCAGTAAACAAACAGTTCTGAGGCGTGACAAGAACGATATTGTAATGATTCTGCATGCTGCAGTAACGCAGTGGGACAGAGCTCTTACTCCTTTGCTGTCGATGCAGGTTTCATTGCTCTTGGGACACTCGCAGGCCGAGCCTTCCCAGCCCTCATCACAGGCACACTGACCCATGAAACAGCGTCCAAGGCCTGCAGAGACAAAGGAGGGAAAATGAGCCTTGTGCTGCCGAAAAGCACAGCCCACAAGATAGCATCAGCATTCAGGATCCTGAGCACAGGAAAATGAGTGATAACTGAAAACCCAAAACAAAAAAGTGCTTAATCAAAAATAAACAAAGACTGCACTCTGACATCTGAAATCTACATAATTAGGCATGTAAGTGTCCTGACATCACTCTGTTGATATAATCTAGATATATTTTAACATTTATAGAATAAACCTTATGGAAAGACTTCCTTGCTAAGGCATCAATATTTTCTGTATTTGTTGTGTTGACCAGAACTATATAAGATAAAGAACTTCCATGTGTATGAAGCCAAGAATTTTTAAGAGTTAACCCAGCAGTAAAAAAACGTTTTTGTTTCCTTCTTTGACAGTGGAAGCAAATCTGTGATTTGAGTTTTGAAAAAAAAAAAGCTTGTTTTTTCAGGTTTACAAAAACAAAAGTATCCCCAGGCTAGAAGGGGTATTAGGGAGAAGGCAGTAATTTCACTGAGGTAGCAATTTTGCACTACTGCCCATCTCACCGTTGCAGAGGAACCCTCCAAACCGTGGGCACTGGGAGCTGTCAAACTCGCAGAAGTTGCCCTCGTAGGTCTCCAGGGGGTTTTTCTCAGAGTTGAAGCATATGCAGACACCGCACACACATGTCCCACGGTCAGAACACGTCCTGTTGGTCTTGGGATTGATGCAGCTGCTGGCGTCTGAGGTGCTGCTCTCAGAGCAGTTACAGTACGGGCCCTTCCTGTAGGGGACATGCCAGACAAGCGGCGAATCAGGACACGGCAGATAACGAGCAGCGTGGGATTGCAAAAGCACAACGTAATATGAGCTCTTACCAGCCCGGGTTACATGTGCACACTCCACACACCAGATCCCCATTCCTGTTGCACCGCACTGCTTTTTTTATAGGAGTCTGGAAAGACGAAATGACGCCAGTGTTAAATTTCACAGCAGATGTTCTATCACCCTGCTCAGTTGTGTCACCATCCCCAACCCCAGCCTCATACCAAAATCCTCTGTTTACAGTGTCCCCATCCCCATTACCTCTTCACAGTTGCATTTCTTGCACACGATGCCTGCATTGATGTTGAGAGCAGTGTTGAAGGTGGTGGGTTTGACACGCAGGCTGCCCTCCCTCTCTTGCTGGGAAAGCTGACACACGTGGGTGCCCTCCACCTCCTTCTGTGCCTTCACACGGACCTTGAAGATGCCCTGTGGATAACACATAGCAGAAATGTCCACTGAAAAGCTGAACTTCAGCAGTCCTGCTGGAGGGAGTGATCCAGGCAGATCATACTTGCAGCTTGACTCAATATTAGCAGGGCCATTAACACCGAGAGATACTTGTTTACTCTTTGTTATTGCATATCGGGTGACCTCAGTTAAATGTTATGCAAGGTGTCCCCAGAACCATTGTATGATCTTTCCAACCTACCTCTTCCCCGGGTGTGATCCTGAAGGTGCCAGTTTCTGTGATTTGAGCCTTCTGGGACAGGATTTCTGTGCTCAAGGCTCTAGGCACATCTTCTGCTCGGATGCTGATCTTGGAACGAATATTCTAGGGAGCAGCACAGAGGTGTCACAAAGTTATTGCACAAGAATTGTAAGCAAGGCAGGCAAGCAAGAATGTCACTGCACTTTGAAAACATCTGTCATGGGCAGCAATCCATGGCATGGTAAATCCAAAACTTTTCATCTTATGTACTAGAGAAATGGTTCAGCTGTGTGTGCAAATGCCGTACACAGCATCTGTCAGCAAAAGACTGAATCATTACCTGAAAGGCATTCCGTAACAGATCAAGGATATTACTGGAATCCTCCTTGAGCTCCCCAATTTCTGACACAGGAAAGTAGCGATGTAACTTCTGTGTAAGGCAAACAACAAAGACAGCAATGGACATGTTAAAGAGGCCAGTCCAGTCTAGTAGGGTGAAAAGTCATGAACAACTGTGCTAGTGTCTGAGCTAAAAGCCATCACCTGAGAGATTAACTAATGTACAGGTGTGTCCAGACATGTGCCCGTTTAGGGTACTGTGTGTACAAAGATTTTTGACACGGCAGCAGCCCATATGCACAAACATGACCCTTGTGAGTGCACAAACACATACTCAGCTGCAGAGCTCAAAAGACCATTAAAACTAGCGAGCAGGGGAGGAGAGATTAATCCTGAGGTGTCTGGAGTTCTACTTGCACAGTGCACAGTCTGCAAAGTCAGGGTGTAGCGACATGACCATCTCCTGACTGTTGTCTATGCACATTTATTCTGAATAAGATAAGAATCATGAACTGCCCAATACACTCCTCTTTTATAGGAGTGTTGGCTCTTATGCAAGGGTCTAGATCTCACAGACCATCTAGTAGCTAGGGAGTGGAATTCCTAGGAGCATCCCTATAGGTCCTGACTCTGTTCTAATGTGGATCACACACATGGTCCCACTTACATCATAGTAGGAGTATGAGTAGTTGGTGACAGCGAAGATGGGGATGATGTTGTGCTTTCCCAGCAGGCGCACCAGCGTGGGCACAGAAGGGTAGTCCTGCAGGGTGTCGTGGGTGTAGGAGCCAAAGCGATCAAGGTGGCAGGCCTCATCATTCCGCGGAAGGATGCCAGCCAAGACATTGCCACCATCCGCCTCGTAGTGGAAGGCTGACTCAGTGGAGAAGACCAGCAAGTGGGTACTGTTGTCACGCCAGCCAATCTGGTTCTGAGGGGTTAGAGGGGTATAGTTTACTAGAAGCTACCTAATCTTGCAAAGCAGTGCTATGTAAGCAGAGGAAGGGGTTATGACTGACGTGTCTGTCTCAGCTTACATCAGTATCTCTCATCTCCCTATCTGTGGACCAAGTATCAATCCAGCTTTTATATCTATCGACCTGTAATTAAGACTTGCATTGTAGCTAAAGCACAAAGTCTGGAATCTGAGAACTCCTTTGCGCACCTCCTGTTTGCAAAACAAATGTCTTTTGTTTTCCTAATAACATGTAAAATGTTCAAAGTTCATGGTTCTATGAGAGGTAAGATATCATCATTACTGGGCTTTCTGAGTTTTTCCCATTATTGCATTCTTGATGCTGTTAATAAGCGTCTATCATTTTAAGTTTCTTGTTAAATGCTGTTCCCAAGAAGAACAGCTTCTGAAGAGCTGCACATGGGACACTAATAAGTGGGCAGGCAGGCAGGCAGATATGAAATAAACAGAGAATTAAATCTCAGCTCGACTTAAGAGGTCAAACAGATTAACCTCACTTTTCCCAGCTCTTCCTTTGAAACCTGCCTGTGAACTGAGAATTGAAGTGCTCTGATAATATCTGATCATCTAATCATTGGAAGATTGTTTTCAGATAAAAAAGTAAGACCCAAATCATTATAAGCAAATGAGGTCTAAGAGGCCCTATAATTTCACCACAATTATTAAAACCAAATTATCACTCGGTATAAAGCCTTTTCCATTTCTAGCCCTTAAGCAGTTTGGAAGGGGCTCACTCTCACTATAATGATAGGATTGCCCAGCCTGGTGAGTGTACCTTGCAGACAGCAGTTTGCAGAATGGCATCAAAGCCACCCTCTGGAGCATCCAGATTGCCAGAGATGCGCTCCTTCTGCAGCTCTTTCCTGAACGTTTCGGAAGAACCCGTCAGGCGAATGACATTCTTGAAAGAGAAGGGAGGGTCGCTGTTCGGCCAAGGTTCCTTCAGTCTGGAGAGCACAGGCAGACATTTGCATCAAATAGTGTGTGACACAATTTTGCCCATTGCAAATAATGTGAAAACATCCCAAAACTGAAACAATCTAACGTTTCTGATCAAAACTTGTGTCTGAAAATCATGTGCTAATTCCTTTGTGATGGCTGTCATTGGTTTTGAATTCATCTCAAAATCTTTCGATTAATTGCTGGCATTCAAATGTGAACCATACAGTATGTCCTCATTGCAAACTGTACAGAGTTGTACTTACTTTTGGGGTCTCATGTCAGTCTGGGGCTCTGTGACTTTGTCTACAAACTTCCCAAAGCCAATGGTAAAGTCTTCAGACAAGTTCCTCACCACGTTAGCTGAGAAAGAAAATGTCCGCATTTTAACATTTTAATTAGGTAACCATTAAAAATGTTAAGGACGCAGTGAAGCAAGACTACCAGGATTTTAAAGCTCATTCTCATACGTAATGAGGACAGTCAAAATTACAGTATACATAAAAATCACAAACCCCTTTCACAAACTATTACTTAGCCATGGAAAAGAACGGTATGAAATGTTATCATCTTTAATTAAAGCATTTTCCTATCCAATGTTATTATTTTTTTATTGTTGGTGTTAATGATGACATTACAGCAGCTGTTGATCAAATGAAAGCCATAAATGAGATGTATTGCTATACGGATTGTTGTAACACTCCAGAGAATTCCTGGGGCTCTCTGGGCCTTCCTTGACAGTCTCACTCACCCAGGCTGTCTCCCATTTTCTTCAGGTTGTCCAGATCATCCGACATGGAGTTGGAGAAGTCCATGAGGATGTAGAGGTCCAGGGGGGCCTGCAGGGGCTCGAAGACGTGCAGCTCCACCTCCTGCTCCTCGCCAGGTTGCAGCCGCATTGACATGAGCTGGGGGGCCACCTGGGACTGCTTCAGACTGGTCTGGATCTTCATGTTCTGCCAGGAGACAGGCAGGGCCAGGGCCCAGGCTCCTTAGCTAGAACTCTGACAAATCTAAGAGCTATGGCTTAATCCCATTCACATTCGGACTCCACAAGAACTCCACAGGATACAGTTCAATGACTTGAATAATGTTGACTACAGCTGAAACCAAGGTCAAATGGAATTTGAATAAAACCTCAGTATATAAAAAGACAGAAAATAGGCAACAGCTGTAGGCAAGCACACATATATCCTTTTGTCTGGAGAGCAATCAGTCTGGTAATATGATATTGAAGGCTATGAAGTGAAGTGTGAATGATGTAGACATCTTGTGTTAGATGCACAGACTGAATGACAGGAAGAGTATGCACTTACTCTCTGGACGGATATCTCACTCTCAGCTCTCATAATCATCTGGCATCTTGCTGCATCCAGGTTATTGTAAAGATCACATCTTGGCTGTTTAAATTCCTAGACACACAGAAGGACAGTCAGTAACAAGCAAGTGCACAAGCATGCACTAGCCTATTGGTTCCAGTACTGAATTACCTGTAGGTACTCTAGACCCACTCAAGACAGGCCAAAAAAAGTCTCAAGTGAGTAATCATTACAATCAAATCAAATTACATTAAACCATTAACATCAAATCATTGGAGGGCCTTTGGTAACTATGAAGCAAGGCTACGGAATGCCCTTTTGAAAAGAATCTGCAAAATTGACAAGATGGTTTATGTTTAATTTGTTTTTGTTTTAATCTCTTGCCTTTCCTTTTATGCTCATTTGCACAAAAGCTTTAAGATATTTAAAATCAAAGGTCCTTTCAATATTGTGTGGACTGTGAGAATTTCTGTCCTTTTTAGATGGTAATTTGAAAACAACAAATGTTAATGAACCCTTCCCTAGTACGAGTCTGAGCACAGGGTGAGGATGAGCTTGCTTCACACTGCCTGCAGGCCCACAGGGCAAAAAAAGCATTAAGGTATCAGGTATAGGACCTTTCGAAGCTCCTGTTCACAATGCCATGGACTCGCTGGGGTCAGTGTTGAGGTGTGAGTCACAGAATCATGTGAGTTGCACGTGAAGGAAAAATAGCAGAAGGAAGGAAAGTTTGGAAGTATCAACCCTGCCTTTTGGGAATTCTTGGAGAAAAAAGTGGTGCGTGCGCATGTATGCCAGGCCTGACACACAGACACAGCTGAGCTTTCAAGCACTGAGCGATCAGACTGAAAAAGATCAACTCCCGCTATGATGAGTTGGCCAGAGCTCTGATGGATTCAGGTGTTAGAAAAGTGTGGCAATTATTGAGCTGCTTAGGCAAGCTGTATTCCAAATGCAAACACAAACATTTCTATCACACTTAAAAACTGTTCAAGCTGCAGTGATAGAGACAGTTGAAATGAGAAGGCTGCAAGAGCACAGAGACAGAAGGTCCTACCTCATCAGCACAGTAAGAGCAGTCCTTCCCAGACTGGATACACTGAGTGCAGGTGGTGGCCCGAGCTGCCAGGCAGTGATTGACTGAAGAGAAAAGATCCAGGACAGTCAGAGGTCAGAAACACTGAAACCTGAGTCTGAGGGCCCCTGCTGGTATTATAAGCATTGCAGAAAAGGAGTCGATTTTGAAATATAGAATATCTTCTTTTCCTTGGGAATCCTTTGTGAAAGTTTCTCTTGGTAAATTTAATATAGGATTTTAGAACTACTAACTGGTTTTGATGTACTACAGCAAACATGCCTTAGAAAAGTTTACCACATTCCCAGAGCCCAGTGCAGAACAATGCATGTTAAAATCATAGCAAAACTGGCAAAACCACATAAAAATATGAAATATATGATATCAGGTGCAGATATTACAGAGTTCTTGTACCAGAACAGATTTTGTGTGTACCAAAAGCTGCAGAAACATTAAGAAACACATCGTGCAAGTTTATTGAAGGGGTATAATGCTGTGTCTTACCTCTGCTGGCGTGAGTGGTGGTCCAGAGCAGTGCGAGGAGGACCATCCCCACAGAGAGATGCAGAACCCATCTCTCCATCTCCCTCCTGAAAATAAGAACAGACACTCAGAAAGGTTTGCCAGTTTCGCCCGCTAATGCCAGAGCACAGCAAGTGTCACACCATACAGGAGCTCCCAAGCTCCCTCTTTGAGTCTTTTAAATATAGCTTTGTAAAGAATTATTCTACCTTCTCATTCTAACATAGTATACAGTATACTGCTTTTTAAAATTGTGTGACCTTTTTAAAGTCCACCACCAGTCTACAATTTTCCTGATTCAGCCTCTGGCGGATGGGTACGTGCAGATCAGGGAGGTGGCTAATTTCCTCAGTTCTGAAAGGAGAACAGGAGCCTGCAGGAATGGTCACTTGAAACTGTTGGGGAGAAAAGCTAAGCTCCTGCCAGACATTGGGGACTCCTAACTTTCATTCTTTCCCACTTATCACTTACTGAATTTGACTACTTATCTAATTAACTAGAAACAAGTGCATAACCACTGAAAACAAAAGAGGCAGTTTCTGCTGACAGTAAGAGCCAGGGAATCAAAGCCTGATCAGCTTTGAAACATGAGGTAAAAATGCCAGCTGCTCATCCACAGAACCCTTTTCCATGCTGAGAGCTCAAAATGTTCCCCACCGAAATTTCCTTTGAATGCAGACCAGCAAAAATGAAATTTTTGCTAAACTCTCTTTTGAAATATAAACAATTGCTTTAAGCCTAATGTCCATTGATGCAGATTGTTAAAATGCACACTGAATATTTGGAACTCTAAATAGAGCATTAGACATGAATATTTCAGTAAAGTTAAGTTTGCGTAATAAAATACCAAGATCAGGGAGTTATTTAAATATATCAGCTCTGTATTATTTAGGAACAAGTAATAGGTTTATTCCATGCTGAAAAAAAGAAGAAAGAGAACACAACGTTTCGGCCGTGGAGCCTTCTTCAGGTGTGACACACCTGAAGAAGGCTCCACGGCCGAAACGTTGTGTTCTCTTTCTTCTTTTTTTCAGCATGGAATAAACCTATTACTTGTTCCTTTGCAGCCTACGCATGCTGACGCAGCTACCCATCTGTATTATTTAGTCACGTAAACACCAGCGCAGATACAGGCCACCAGAATGTTCACAATGCTCATGTTCCTCCAGAGCTGTGTATGATTTTTAAAAAGGACATGTTTTCTTTCAAAATGGGTAGATTTTATTACATAACATCAAGCACACTTCAAGCGAGTCAAGTCATGAACGGCTGCGTGTAGTTCAAAATATAAAATGGGTCTATAATAGAGTGACATACACAGTGCCTGTACAGTCTTGTGGCCTAGCGAAAAGAAATACAATGAATGAATCTGCCCCTATAAATGCCACTCTCACCTACACTAAGAATGCCCTGGGGTGGCTGGTGCTCTCACTTTGTTTTGGCTACATTAAGATCAGGTGCTCTTACTTTCTTTCCCCTTGATACTCTGATATTCAGACTCATTTCTGCCCCATCCTTCTGGAAAGTTTTTGTATAATGGTGCTGTTCTGCCAGGGCCTTCAAGCACTGGCAGACGGAGCATCAGGGCGAGAGTATAGCATGTTAACTTCTCCAATCACTGGTGTCAAATGACTAAAAAAGGTTTTCTTTAACAAACCCAGCTCCTGTGCCCATGTTTCAGAATTATGTTGTTAATGAATAACAAAGTCTGTGCCATGCATGATTTACAAACGTCTATAAAACCACTTCTTCATGTTAGTTGTTATTCTGGCACTCTAAAGGATTTTAGAATACTTCCAAACTGGAAATGTGGAGAGAGAAATATATTGTTATACAGTCACCCATATTCACTTGGCTGCCCTTTCACCAGTGATCAAAGTTTGTTTCTTTTAATTTGTTGCAGATAACCCCAGATAACTCAGTAAAACGATTTTCTCATGGGGAAATAGCAAGCGAACACCTTGCCTCTTCCATTGTCTTACCAAATGAAGAATCATGGATTGCATTGCATTACATAAACACCTTGCTATTCGTCTGTAAACTACAATGAAATCTAAGCCACCTGTGCTGTTGGAGCGGGTTGCTTTCATCTCTCCAGTTGAAAGAGAAACCGCACAGTCATCAGACAGGAGGGGCGTAGCAATAATGGTAATTTCACACATCAGTTCTGAAGCTCTTTTTCACTCATTTTGATAAGAATACAGGCTTCAGAAAACAAACACTGACCCTTCAGTCTATAATCTCACTATTAAGGGGGGTTAGGTAAAAAAGACTTTTCAACATGGAGATGCAGCGTGACCTCTTGAACTGCAGTGTCATAAAAGGTATGCCTTTTTTCTTTGCATTTATTACTTGCATCTGCTTTCTATCACAAGTTTATTGCTCAAAGCACCTGAAGCAAAGGCACCATTTTTTTGGAGGTCAGGTGTCAATTATAACAGGTCTGAAATGAAGCAAGGAAGTGCCCACAGGCCTGAGCAATCCGGCTGGAATGTCTTTGGAGGGCGAGAGTGACCTGGCATGCATCAACACTGAAATCAAATTCCCAGGCAGAAAAACAAGCTGTTCGCTCGTATTTCATTTCAGAAAATCCACAGGCTACCCCGGCATCAGAGAACCAGGCTGCCCAGCCCTGAATGGCAACTGGGTGACACAGTGAAGTGCCAATAAAATGTTTATCTAGTCTGGAGGTGGGTGAGTCCTCAATGACAGATTTAAGACAACTGCACTTGTTAGTGCAATCATACAGTAGGCAGAAGCTCTTGAATTAGCTGTTCAAAAAGTTTAAAGTGTTAATGGCGTGAAAACAGCGGACATTAAAAAAATGTCTTTAAAAAATTGACTATATACAGTCATTTACAACACACAGGGAAAAGAGAGAGAATTAAATGTTCAGGTACACTACTACTATTATTGTTGCAAAGAAACATAATGTTTCAGCTGGTGTGACACCTAAAGAAGGCAGTCGAGGTGTTGTTTTCGTTCTTTCTGTTTTTCGGCGTGGAATTAACCTTTACTTGTTCCTTTGCAGCCAGTGCATGCTGACACAGCTCCCCACTGTAACATCTACAATTAGTAGCAGTTATTATCACACTAACATAATTAGTATGTTTCGTATTAGAAGTCGTAGAAGAGCTCGTTGTTGTATTATAGAAACCCAGTTGCCATGACTCTTACCAGGAGCAAGTGACTTTCTGATAATGGATGATTATCATTCAACACCACCTCAGCAGGAGCTCTTTCGTACTGCCATTCGTTACTGAAACAAAGGTACTCTTGAAGCACGAGAACCTTCCCTTGGCAGAGTATCACAGAGTTTCAGATAAAGAAAGTATGCCAGAATGAGAGAAACAGAACCCTAAAAAATCTGAATGAGGTAGAGGAAGCACACAATTTGGAGGTTAGCATGTAAAGCACTGTTGGTTGTATGAACTTGTAGGTTAATTACATTTTGAGAAATATAACTGCTGTGTGCCTTGCAGCCAACAGATACTTTTCCAAGTCTTTCATTTGCTATGCACATTTGCTTTTATTTCCTAAGACACAGAGTACGCACATTTAGTGGCCGAGATTTTTCAACTTTTACTTTTTAAGGTAGTAAAGAGATCCTTTCAGATCCTTTCTTTTTAGTACTTCGGAAACTCAACATTTGTAACACAAATGTGGTGCCCAGGGCGGGAAGACAAATTCGAGTTCAGAAAACAGAAACATTAGAAAGGACTGCTGCAGGTTTGGACAGGAAATTAAATTTGCAATATCGGAAAACACCATGTTTTCTCACAGACAAGTGGACAGCAAATCCCTCATAAACCCAAGTCTTTATTTTAAAAGTTATATAAAGAGATCAGTCCAGACAAAATGTCTCTATTCCCAAAAAAAGACATTATATAAAGTATACACATTTGTAACAACCCAAATTGGAAGAATTTGGTCAGTTAGCACGTCCCTTGTGTGTGAAGCATTAACGCCATGAAGACAGGCAATGAGCTGGTTTACACGGTAGTCCACACCCTACAGTAACTAAGAGACCTCCTTCAAGTTGGGCACACTGTGTGGAAACACAAAACACTCATATTTGTCTCTGTACCTTGATGTATAAACCTCAGCCAAGGACATTTCTGATCTCTGACTCTGGACTCCCTTTTATTCATGTTCATTACATCTTTATCTTTATCTTTGTAACACCGAGATGATACACAACTTCAACACTGACTCAGGATGTGGGGGTACAGATTCTACCAGTAGGGCATGACCAACAGTAAAAAGGAAATCTACCTCTGAATTGTACCAGCTTCATTCAATTTTTTTAGGGTGCTTTTGCACTTGGTACTCAGCACTAATCAAAACTTGTTACCCATAAATATAAGTAATTCATTTTTGCAACCACTTTTATCTATCAATTACCGGGAAGTTCAGACCCACTCCCATTTTAATCATAGGCTGCTTTAACTTGATTAAAGCAAGTATCACCCATCCCTGATCATATTGCACATAGTGCTACCCCTGGCATGTCTCATTGCTGATTATTACTCTTTGCTACTTCATTACTTCGTTACAATTTTGTCAGCAATGAAAGCACATTGTTGACTCACACCTGGGTGTGATTTACACCTGGAAATTTTGAGGACCCTGTGTAAGGAGGAGATGCCTGGAAATAACTTGCTGATGAATTTCCTGTTTTTCCTTGCGTCGTGTAGAAAGCTGGTTTGTCTGTAGGGGCCCAGGCTTAGGAATAATCTTGCCAACAGCACCCACAGATAACGAAAGAGGAAGAGCCACAGATTGATTTTGTTTCCATTATTAAGGATTTACTTTGTAAGTTTAAACATTTTATTCTACACTTTTAAAATGAAACATGGCTTAAAGCACCATTTCTGTGTAATCATTATTTTTCACAATTAAGTGGTGGGTGAAGTTACTACTGTATATATAAAGATTTTTTTCTTATTATTATTCCTATTGTTATTCAGCATGTCAGTTAGAGAAGAAGCTTTTTTTCAAATGTTCTTTTGCTGAAATAATAAGTTGCACAGAAGAGCAACTCACAACCTCAGCAGAAACAACACCAGGTTATCACAAAGCACGTACACAGGTTCGGCAAAGCAATGATGAAATGTGTTAATGCAAAACTGTGGCAGATGTGAATGACTGTTTTTCTGCATTGATAGCAAGGGCACCTCTCTGAGGTGTCTGTTATTGTTCTGGTGCCAAAACCAATAAAACTGAGCTGCATTCTACACTTGCGGCTGCTTGTCACACTCAACTGTGGCTGGGTAATGATAAACAACACTGTCAGCAGACTCTTACAGGGAACCTGTTCATTACCGAAACTTTTTACGCAAACAGTCATTACTGGTGGAAACCCAAAACTCTCGCTAATCAAAGTCTGTGTGACTAGAAATTAGACACGAGTGCAAGAGGGCAAGAGTGGTCAACTCTAACACAGCAGTGGAATTTATATAATAGCCTCCCCTTTCAAATAGAAGTCAAGGAAAAGAGAAAATGTACCGCATGTATCCAATAAAAATAATTTAATAAATTCAATCAATTTTGTTTTTCAAAATTTCACATCAAACAAAAGGATACAAAAACTTGAAGAGAAAAAAAATCATCGTCCTCCTAAACTTTTCAAAGCTTTGCAAAATATCAGACAAACCATTACAGGTGTATTTACTGCTGGGCTGCAGCACTGACAGCAATGTGAATCACAGTAAAATCCCCTGCAGCAGTCGTTACTATGCTGGGGTCTGGAGAGCCCATTGTGTCCTCAGATATGCCAGCCAATCCAAAACTCTCACTTAGTGATCAGGTTTGTTCTTAGCTACAGGAATATGTAGACTGTTCATAGCAGGTCAGGTTGAGTAAAACACATTAAATAATGTAATTCCATCCATTTTCTTACTGTTAATCCTATACATCCTATCATGTACATGAGTACTCTTTCCCTCATCTATAGTATTGGATACAGTGTTGAGCTGTATCTGTCTTAATCTCAAAGAACACTTAGGTCAAAACTAAGGGAAACTGAGGCTTATTTATGCATTTCCCAACAGTACCACTTTTAATGTTTTTAATAAACTATGGGCACCCAAAGTAATAAAAATGGCTTCAAAAAAGGGGTCCTCCATGTAGTAGTGTTTGGAACCCCCTGTTCTACAGTGCTTTACAAATGATCACAAGGAATAACAGCCTATTCAATGCCTATTCAATGTCTGGCTGAAGAAGGAAGTTTGGAATTGAGAACATAAATGATTTAATTCAGTACTATTACTGTGTCATTGAGCCATTCTTCTACAGTTAACAGGGCCCTTGCTGTTTTCCTTACTGTTCTATACTGTGCATCACATAAGCAGTTACTCCCTTTCTCTCTTCCAGCAAGGGGGGAAAGCAGCACACAATGAAAGGAAGCCCAGAGTTCAGTGCCACACTAAGCTAAACACCAGCTCCACCTTGAAATGGTACATAAACAGCCATCACACACAAAAAAAACAACACCTTGGGTCTGGTTTCAAAGACCGCGGTGACTCATTTTAAATAATGTTCTACTGGGAGACCCCAGGGAACTGAATCATGTGGCGGCACTGGGATGTGACTTTCAAGTGAGCAGACAGAATTCCCCTGTGAGCAGAGCAATCCTGAGGTGGGTAGGGTCGCAGCCCTGTCTCTTCTGTGATTAACAACACTGATATTGTGTCAGGCTGGGTGGTAATGCAGCGCTGTGGTCTGGCAATGACCGTGGTGGGAATGTGACAGATCAGACTCCCGCTCTGCTGCTCTTCTTGGACCCCGCCTGATGAGTGTCTCCACCCCTGTGTATTTACTGCTGTGTTATTCTTATTTCAGTGTAGTTCCTTTTGAGCTTTGCGTACTGTAGTGATCTTTTTTATTCTGCAATGTGTACAATGCAGCTGATTTTTTTTATTACTGAATGCCCAAACTGAATTGATATTCTTTTAATTCTGCAAATAAAATATTAAAAAACCTTTATTGTGGCACCCAAAAGCTGCCTTTGAAGAAGGCGTTAGTCAAATAGTAGAAAGATATTGCTGGATTATTATAGTTTTTAGTTTTTTTAGTATTTATTTAATGCTTGTTGTAAGATAGGCAGACCACAGATGAAATTAAAAACTTACAGAAAACGCATCTTCCTACACTGATGTGGGTGCACTTTTTTTATATGTTGAGTGGCACACCAGGAAAACTCAACCAGCTGCAGTTTGTCATGTTTGTTTTCTCATCAAACAAGGCCAAGTTATTGTGGTTAACACCAGAAATATTTAAGCTATGTACATGCACAAATAACTGAAATGTCATGTGCTCGTTATTTGACCGCTCACAAAACTGTTCTTCCATCCAACGATCAATTTTTTAACTGCTTCTTCCAATTCAAGGTCGTGGGGGAGCCACTCACACACTCACACTAGGGAGCCAATTTACCTACCAGTATGTTTTAGGACTGTGAGGGGAAACCAGAGCCCCCAGAGGAAACCCACAAGAACACAGGGACAAAATACAAACTCCACACAGATAGCACCCCTGGACCAGAATTGAACAAAGCTGTTCTTAATTTCGTTAAAACAAACTTTCTGTTAAATCAAGCTTGAATCTGAGCATTGATATGTCAGAAAAAAGTATTAACCTCCATTTTAGAAGTTTCAATATATTATTTACACGAGCACTGTGCTATTGTTATCCAAGAGGAACCCTCGACGTAATCTGAGCTTTTTTTTTTGTTTTACATTGACAATTATAAGATGGCCGTTCTTGGAATTGCTAATTGCTCGTAAACCAACTGTCCACAGGGGAAGTGAGGACACTGTGCTTCTTTGCCCTTCACAACGTCTGCCTTCTGAGCCAGTGGCACAGCAAAGCCCAGAATACTCTGGGCAGCTGAAAGCTATCCGTCCAATTCTATCTCACTCTTCTAATAACATGGCCCATATTCCATCACAGGGTGTCTGGACTATAGGCCCACCGTGTGGTCAGAAAGGGAACCTCAACTGGTTGATTAAAACTCATGAAGAATAAGACTGGGGTCATTTTATCACTGTCCACATCTACCTCATTTACCTCCTTTACCTCTCCGGGTTCACCTTTCTACCTTTCTAGCGTTGTGTAATGAACGTTGGATCTACTGCGCAGTTGGCCTACTCCCTTTCACTGAGTTATAAAATCACAGGTTGCAAACTTACTAAATGAGACAGCCAAGATGCTTTTACAAACACAGAGTTGATTTGACTAATTTGGTTGTTGCCGTCTTAAAGACAAAATGTGAACACTGAACTTGGTTATATGCCCATATTGCCATTTTGAAAGTTGATATCCTATTTTTCTTCAATACTGTTCTACGAACAGTACATCTACAGCCGAACTCTGAAATAAAGCGGTAGGCAGAATGGGAGACAACTGTGGACTCCAGATTACCTGATCACAGTGAATGCTATGCAAAACCTAGAAAAGGTCATCAAAAATTAAACATCCTAGGTCAAGGAGATCCCAAATTTGGAGAATCTATTTTCCGTTTCTAATCTGCTCTCTGTATGATTTAGCCACAAGCAGAAATCTAACTGAACACAACTGCCAACTTAATACTAGAGCCTCACAGCACAATTCCTGCTCCAGATCAATTTACAAACCTTTGATTCCTGAGACAGCCAGTGTGTAAATGAGTTTCCCCATTTTCTAAAGGAAAGCCTTCATTAACCTATAATAAAGTTTTTCAGTCTTGCATATACAGTAAGCTGTAAGCATTCATTAGCCCTGATATTGCTGCATAGCTCTTTAGTGAAACATGCTTAAGGAAATATTAGTTATTTGTTTCAAAAACTGAAAATGTACCTCTACATATCAAGCAAAAGATGTGTGTTTACCTGCTCTTTTGAAACCATATATCAACAGGAATGATACATCCACAATTTGTGTAAGCATGTTTGTCTCTAATTTCAGCTTTTTGTTCTTCCATTCCCAGTAAAGTGTATATACAGTTTAATATATTTTCACACTTTTTAGCCTCAGATAATATAAATTACTCATACTTGGAAAAGCACTACAAATACTGTATGAAAAATACTGCCATAAATATGTATAACAGTCTGTTCCTATTAATCACACTAATTGCAAATTACTAAGCAATATGCTTAAGAGAAGTTACATTCAAGCATCTAATACTCCTTTTCACATAGATGAATAAAGCAATTATGTTATTAAACAGTCAGTCACCAAAGTCAAAAGCATCAGCCAAAAACAAGTATTATTCCCAAATGTCTGCAGAACTGAATTGTTAGCATGCTTATGATCACACCGTCAGTGTTTGGAGATGCTATGCTCTGTGCTTCCCATAATAAGCTGCCTCCTTGGACATTAAATTCCACCGCACAGCAAGGGAGTTTGAGGGCGGAAAAGAGTTAATGCTTTCTGTCCTAAACTGTTCTCGCGCACACACCTAACTATCAACAGCAGGGTGGGGGAGAAGTGGAAGAAAAAAAGCAGAGGACAGCTTGTCAAAGCCGAACACTTAATCAGGTGAACAATGCAGGCTTTGTTGGGGATACAGTTTAGAACTTTGGGCCATTAGAACACTCCAAAGATAGCAATGTCATAATCTACCTCTGCAGGGCACAGCGAAGGGTGGTGTGCTCACTCACATGGCTTGGCACAGACACAAGAAAAAAGCCGAAGAGTGTGACTGTGGTTACAGATTAAATAACTCACAAACCTCTTAGTGTCCTGCTTCCCGATCCTTTTCCCAAAGTCCAGTACACAGGGGAAGAGAAGTGATAAAGGAAAGAATCTTCTCCGAAGTTGTTCCCTTGCTATCCGGAGCACAGCTTATCCACCTGCTCTCAAGTGTCAAAACTTCCCAGTTCTTCTCCTGTAGCAAACTTGTCGGATTTTTTTCTTTTTGTGTCTTTTTTTTTCCCCTTTTCTAAGCAGCCCCTCACATCAAATACTGATTTTTTGCCTTCTCGCAGAGCTGCGTGAGTGAGAAAGAGAGGGAGAGGGCCTGTACAGCAGAGTGTGGCGATTTGATCCTTCCCTTGGCCCGAACTCGCAGCCTGCTTTTACCTGCAGCCCCCAAGTAGTCGCCGGTGCCTCTCTCTCTCTCTCTTCTGCGTAAAAAAAAAGGATAAGAAGTGGGCGTCCACATTCCTCCCAGAGAGGCACACCTGCATGGGCTTGACCGGAGCAGGCAGTGGCCCTGCCCCCCACACCCAAAAGGAGTGGCAGAACAAACCGTGCCCGCGAGGTAAACTAACACACATGCACTTGCTCACACCCGGCCAAAGACACACACAGCCGCTGAGGCATAAAACTTGCATGCGGAGCGTACTCATTCCCGGAGAACAGGGCACAGCCGTGCAAATCAGTAATCCCTTCTTCCCTGTTGCGCACTTCTGCTGTAGTGAGCCAAAGCTCTTCTAGATTTAATACCTTTGAGGGTGACGGGGTTTATTTAATTGTTCAAGGTTGTTTTTGAAACCCCAAATGGATTTAAAAGGTCTAAAGAAAAACTGTACTGTTGTTGTGCAGATTCAATGGATAATGATTCTTCCCTGACAGCAAATGGCATTGTTTATTGATACACATAATGTGAAATTACATGTTTTCACTACTGATTCATTTTGGTACTGTACTTTACAGAGAAAACAATGTACTGTCCCACTGTGGCTCCATGTGTATTGCTATGACAGTTTTCAACATTTTAAAAACATGCATCTGTAGCAGTCTCAAGAAGCAGAGACATCAGACTGCCTGTCGAGCACTTCTGACATTCTTATTCATCTGTGAAACAGAAATGACAAGAACAATCTCAGGGCTCTCCTGAGATTCAAACATGCTGCTGACTTAGGCATGATGGTGAGCACTGCTGCCCCATAGCTTCAATGTCCAGGGTTAGAGCCTGGTTTCAGTAATCTGTGTGTGTGTGTGGAGTTTGCATGTTCTCCCTCTGCTCACAGTGTTTTTGCCAGGTGTTCCAATTCCCTCCCACCTCCCTAGACATGCTGGCTAGCTTCAATTTGGTATACAGTATGTAAATTGTCCCTTTCTTTGGACCCTGGTGTCCGTCCAGGGGTGGAGCTCTTGTGTGCTCTCAGGTTTGTTTTGTGACCTATGCTTCTATGATAGGCTCTGGCTAGCTGCCACCCTCACCAGACTGAGACGTTTTCTGATAATGCATGGATGGAGCTGTCCTCTTGGAAAGTGACTACCGTGCTGGCTAGCAGTATGATGCACTACAGTGTTTCCAGACGTGTGTCTATTTCTGTGATAGTGATTGCCTCAGGAGTTGGTTTCATTTCTGGAGCAACACAAAGACGCCACACAAACTAGGTGGACAGAAATTGAAAAGGGCCAGACCATCGTGAGTAAGAAAGGTCATGTTTAAAGCCATGCTTTGTCATTGCCGTTAGGGCCTTAGAGTCGGACCTAGAATCCCTATTTCTATTCATGGCTCACAATGGCTTTCTGTAATGGAAACCGTTACCTTCCGAGTGTGACTGAACTGCAGGATAGATTCTAGTGCTTTACAGCACGGAACACAAACAACATGGAGGAATCTGGAAAGGGGGGCTTTTATCAAAAACACTGGGAAGGGAAAGGATTTCTTTTTCCAAGACAACTAAAAGCTAGAGCCCTGCCCCCCTCCCCCGAGGCAGTGACCAATCCTTCCCTGAATAAAGCCCTTTCCAGGGACTCCTCTGTGAGGCACATGTTCTATTTACCAAAACAGGGCCTTTGTCTTATCACACTTCCCTGCAGACTCAAGTGACTCTCACATTTCAGGCTACCTGGGAGAACATACAAACCCCATGCAATTAGCACCCCAGGTAGGAAGCTGAACACATTGCAAGGTACAGTAACAATGCTAACCACCGAGCCACCACGCTTTCCACAAATGTTAGATAAAATATTAAATTCAAGCGCTTTCCTATTTATTTGTTCTAACGTAGCTCGTTATCTCCCCCCTTAATATCCTACCGGATTTCATGTGCACAACTCTATTTATCTCAATCTGCACACCACACACAGTTCTTGAGTGCTTGTCGAAAAGGCTCTCCCGAAAAGTTCCCCTGACTGCGCGCGGAATACACTTCTACACTGTAGACACGTACGGATTCAGCCATCGCCATTCAGCCCAAGCAAGCGAAGTTTCTCTGCAAGTGGCTTCTTGACAAATCACTTTCCGTGCTTCGGTATTTCAGCTTTTCACACTTGTTTTCTCCGTTTTAATGTGATTGCTTGACTTTATAATGTAAACCTACCAAAAGCATTAAAATTGCGCGAAGCACACCCTACCCAGTCCCAGAGCGTATTATTCAAATCAAATCAGATCATTATTCCCGAATCTCCTAACAATTAGCGGAGGGTGGTATTGCACAATATTGCAAGAATTATGTTGCAGTTTACGTAGGAAGAAAATAATGACGTCAAGACTTTCAATGCCACAGTAGTAAACAATTCAAATAATAGAGACTACTGAGCATTAAACAAACGTTGGGGGATTTTAGAATAGAAGACCAACATTAAGAGAACTACAGCACTATCTTCATGGTTTGCTTTGTGACGGTGCTGTATTTTATTACACACTCCCTTGTGTCCTACACACTTTAAAAGGGCAAATAATTGTAAATAATAATTATAGAACGAATATTTCATTTTTTTCCTGTGTAACTGCAAATATTGTTGCTATTAATCGTAATAAGCCAAGTATCGGCAGCAGCAGCAGCAACAAACCAACAAAATAATAATATAATAATAATGTCTACAAATAATACACAAATGGCACAAAACCAATTCAGTTCAATTCAGCAACGTGCAAACGCATGATGTTTTTGCAATATGGAACTGTATCGTTAAATTATTGGTGTAAATACCGTTAGAAGAAAAACGCAAACAGGCGGCAATCCTATGAGATTTTTCAAAACCACTTGTTTCACTCCAGTGCGTTAGAGAACAACAGCTTGAATAGTGCGCCTGGCGCTGACATTGGATTCGGCTGCAGCAGCCTCCCGGTATTCGAAAAAAGAAAACAGAAAAATAGTTTCTTCTTCATTTTTAACAAGAAAAACAATGCAATTCGTCTTTCGCTCCTGTGCGGTAAAGTTCTGACACCGTTCTCCAGAACAGTGCGCGCATCACATAACGCAGTGCTAGCATTTTTAAAAGCTCATGAAATTCTCAAGACATGATTAAAAAAAAACGTACTTCTAATCAAAGATAATGACAAATGTTGTCGAGATTACAGCTTCGCATATTTAAAGATCCACTTACTTCACGGCTTGCACAGGAGGATGTCCTGTTTTTCACAAACCCCGATGCTAACCGTCCAGTTAAAGTGTTTGGGGGACTGGAAACGCATTCTTTCCGCGGGGAAGATGGATCTACATTGTGTCAGCGTGAATTATGGCCCTGTCTTCGGGGAAGGTCAAAACCGGTTTGAAGTTTGCAGCCTCTCTCTGCCTGCGCTCTCCCTGAATCCCTCACTCTCTCTCTCCGGCCTCTGCGCTGGGCAACCGAAGTACAATTTCCATGACAATCGGACACGTTCTTAGATCACTGAACTCATTCAATGGCCTTCGTGGGGCTTTGTTTCTGCACTGGAGTTCAACTCCAAAAAAACTGCATGTGCAATAGGCGCCCTGCACAGCGGCATTTTGGAGAGAGGCGGGAGTACAGAACAGAAAAGGCAAGAAACGGAGAAGAAAAGGTGTTATCTGAAGCTCTGAGATGAAGAATGGATAGTTGGATGAATGCAAGTTGGAAGAATTAATTGCAAGATCAAACCATGCAAATAGAAAAGAAAGCGCAAAAGTCTTTTTTTATGCTTTAGTGTTCTTTAGTTCAAAAGTCAAGCATCTGTATTACAGTTTTTAGCCCGGTTTGAAATGTCCACCTGGAAACTCCCCAAACTGCTTCCACAAGTAGTCAGACAGGAGGCCTGGCGACAGATGGATGTCACCCAACGATCTAGCCAAATCCTTTGCATGAACCAAGCAGAACACAATCTCAAGAGCTTAAACCTGGTGGATCTCAGCTTGGTTTCACCATCTGTCCACCATCTTTGTTATTGTGTAACCAAGGAAACTAAGTAAAGGCACCAGCAGTAGCGGTTAAGAATGAGGATTCCACATCAGAGGACTGTGGATGAAAGGTGGTACATTGCTATGGTACCATCAAGCAAAGTAATAAGGTCAAAGGTTAAATCCATACAAGAGCTCATCTTGGTCTCCATAGTGTTAAGTAGACTAGAGAGTACATAGCACCCCACCCACCCACCAAGACTGGTCCATCACAGGGGTTACCCCCCAGCAATGCTGGTCTCCACTTACACAGCTGGATGGCCTGGAAATACTGGGGTACAGCACTTCACTCAACACACAGCAACAGAGTCCTCAATGGAGACTTGAACCCACAGCCTCTATTAAATGCCCTGCTATATAAATGGGTCTCCTGGTCATCATTATAAGTCAGAAGTTCTTCTAAATTAATTCATTTGGAAAAACTCAAAGGAAAAGCAAGTTTTTTTTTTCTACCAGAGCTCAGAAGTCCTAAACCATGAAAAGTATCACAGAGTGAAAAGATGGATTTCAGATGATTTATTATTTTATCATGATTATTTCAGATAGTATCACATTTCTTGTTTATTTTTCAAGTTAGCAAATTGTTTTAGTCCTGCAATAAAAATGAGATTTAAGTAATATATTGGAGTGTTAACTTTAAAAAATGTGAATCCTATTATTTTGGAGTAAAAAGGCTTACCTAACTCTTCAAAACATCAGCTTGCAAAATGGGAAAATAAAAAATTAAAACACACCTTTTTATCAGATAAGCATCAAGAGATCTTCAATTGCACAGAACCTTGGGGCACAGACAGAGGAATGGAGGAGGAGGAGAGAGAGAACCAAGAAGAGAGAGAGCAGCAGATAAGACAGGCTGGAGAAGGGTTCTGTTTGTTCAAGTGCCATTTTTTCCCTACATTTCTCTTCTGCTATCCATTGTGCAGGAATGGCAAGGGGCTGGGCGTAGGGTGTATCTGATCTGGCACGAGGCCAGTGGAAAGTTACCATCTAAAAATGTTTTGCAGAGCTCAAAGCCAAACAGCCGTCTCCAATAAAAATCCCATTCCACGTAGAGTAGATACGTGTGTTGAAGCCTGTGGCCATCGACAACCAATTGCTTTCAAAGAAGGAATATAGGAATGCAGGGTAAAGAGGCAACTGTAAGCAGAGATAGCATTAGATTAGCATCGGGTAGAGGTGAAAGGGCAATCCTAAACTCTCCCATCACAGCAAAGCATGGCCCAGTCCTTGCCAGAGGTGCCCACCATCATGCAGCTTCTGTGATTGTAAAGCATCACCTTGCATCTCACAGCCTGGAAGGAACACACTCTGTGGCTCCACTTCAGTTCTTCTCAAAATGGAATACTAGCAGTAAAATGAACTAGAAAGTCACTGAGTTTTCTCAAGTACATGATCCCTTTCATCCTCTGAAGGACTAATCACAGTCATCAATCACTGCCTGGGCTGGCCTTTGCCCATAAATCAGGTTGACCACAAACAGGAGGAGGTCATTCAGCCCATTGTGGTCATCTGGTTGTATTTCTCGATAGTCTCATAGCCACCATTGGTTATAATAGAAACACAACTCCCAAGTGAGACACCCACTCGAACACTCCAATGGAAAGGGACAACATTTATGAAACATATAGTATACTGTACATTGCAAAATGATAAAATGATACATTTACAAAACTAACCTGCATAAGTGCTGGATAACTTGGGAAACAGATTCCAGACAGAAAGGCACTTCAAGCTGGACTCAAATCCAGGACCCTAGAATTTTTAAAGCAGTAGTGTTGCCCACCATTCCACTGTACTGCCCAGTACACCCACGGCAATCTGTGTGTCTGCTCAGTACCTTCTAAACTGGGCAGTGCAGCTCACAATGTTGAAATTACATGTCCTGTTAAAACTCACTGAAACAGAGCAATCATCCAGCAGTCCTGTAGTATGTGAGGCTCAATACCATAAATATCAGTCTTCTGTATGCTCACCTGCAGTAGGTCCTGCCTCATGAGGCCAGCTTATCAGATAAAGATGTGTTTGTGTCTGCTCTATATGTCTGGCATTGCACTGCATACGGAACATTTTCTGGGTTGGACCAGATCAAGGACAGTGACAACAGGCATGTTGCCTGCAGCTCACAGCTACTCTGTGTTAGTGTGTCACACCAATACAGTGTCACTGTGGTGGATCTTTAGGTTCTGGAAACAGCTTATTCACTAATGAACTCTCAGTCTTTGCTTCTTTGTCCCGTGACCTACTGGCCAGGTGATTGTTTATATTTCCAATGAATGGACTCTTTCAGTGATGGTGATACCTTTAAAGTTATCTGGGGAGCAGGAAACAAATTTCCATTGGCCAGTCCAGAACAATCCCTACATCTCAATGCTATGAAAAATTGTTGGAACTGGAGGAAAGTATTTATAATAATAATAATAATTAATAATTGCTTACACTTACATAGCGCTTTTCTGGACACTCCACTCAAAGAGCTTTACAGGTAATGGGGACATACCTCCACCACCACCACCATTTAGTCACAGTCTCAGCTGGAGGTAATACAAGTGCAATAATGGAATGGAACTGAGATGTAGATATCGAGATATCATTTTGGGATAATGCTTTTGCCACAGTAATGTACAGGTGTTTCATTTACCTGTACTTTTATAGACATTGTGGTATCTACTTATAAAACCAGATATACTTGAACATTCTGGGTTATACAAGAATAGTTTCCTCACTTAAGACTTAAACCCATTACCTACCAGCAAGGGCTCTGGTGCAAGTACACAAAGTTTACGGACATTCCCAAACGCTGTGATCTCTCTTCCTTATCAGTGGACAAGTCCTCAAATCCCTTAATGTTTTAATATGTTTACAGTTCTTAACAGGAATTACTAAGAAACTGAACCTCCAAGTGACTTTTAGCATTGCTCAATAATTAAAGAGTTCAGGTTTCATCATCTATGCCCTTTCTTCCCCCCCCACAGAGGTAGCTTTTAAAAGGGAACATTTTACTTCTCTACATGTTCTTAAACATAAATATTTCTAAACTTAATGTGACTCTTACAGTACAAGCGTTTACAGTGAAGAAAATGACCAGCATATTCATAAGGAAATAAATACAGGCAATGCTACTTCAAGAGCTAAAGAGACAGAGAAAAGGATAATATTCTAACTCTTCATAGAGCCAAACTCTTACATTCCTTCTAGACCCAAAGGAAGACTGCACTGATGTTGTTCCTCTTCCCTTATTGATGTATTAATTGGAGGCCAGTGATTAAAGGCCCCCAGCAAGAGTGCAATATGAGCTCTGTTATCTGGATGTCATCAGTTCAGACCTGTGCTAAGGCATTAATCAACGTCTGCTGGGATTCCACAGCCAGCGATGTAAAAGTGGGCTTACACTGGCCACAATACTAGACAGGTTTTTGTTGGGTCTGCCGTGCAAAACAGCCTGCAAGCATGCAGTGTCACCTGAAAGATGCATCACCTGTAATCAGTGCTCACTCTCCTTGAAGGCATTGTGGAGAGTGTCAAAGGATAAACCAGCTTGGACATCTGGGCATCAGATGACTGCATGCAAAGTTCCTCCTTCCCCCAGTGCAGCACAGAGGCTGCAGCAGCAAGACATGACCAGTCTAAACTGCAGAGGAGTAATAACTTTTTAATTGCTCAACCACATCATGGTGAACTAAAAAAGAAAAATTCAGATCAAAACCTAATGTTCCGAGCAATAAAATGGAGAAAAAAAATGCAACGCAGTCTTGGAAGGAGCCTTTCTCTCCGATTCCAGCCGAAATGGCCTCTCGACCCTCGCTGCCTCAGAACCCGGCGTCTCTTATACCCCGTTAAAGGGAAGCAGATGTGAGCAGGAGCTGCAGGGGAGACGGAGTAAATCAAGTGTCCACCTGGACAGCATATGGCTGAGCTTGTGCTCAGTGGAGTTGAGTGCAGGCGGGCAGGAATACGTCAGATCAGATCTAGACACCTCACCTGCAGTCAGATGGGTGGAGTATTGTGGCAAAATATGCATCTACCAGCTGGGATTTTTTGTCAGTATGAAGGGGAGGGGGGCAGGCTACTTGTATCTTCTTCACCTCACCTGTTGCGTACTTTTTGTTTCTTGGGGAGGGTCCCTTGTGCCTTTTCTCTTGGTGGTGGGTCACAAAACTTATGCAGAAATGTCTATGCATTCCACAAGTCACACTCTCACCAAAAGGTTCTAATTACAGTCAGAAAAGAACTCCCACCGTGCTAATTCTATCCACCTTCTGTCATAGAGCTGACTGGCTGTTACATTAGGCTCTAGGTCCCTTTTTCCCCTCTTCACAGATGCCTGTGCTCCTAACATCACAGTTTTGAACACTCCTTACTGTAGGAAGAATAAAATAAAATTACAATCACAAATGTATCAGGTACACTGTTGAAAGCCTCTCGAGAAGAGAAGTTTCAAAATAACTAACTTGTCTCAGTCCAGCATTTTCTCATTTGAACTTGGTAACTTAACACAGAAAGGTTGACTCCAACAGGGCCAGCTGATTTCAGACAGTAGATTCACAGCTCTGTAAAATCAGCTCATAATCAGAAAAACTGTTTTCTTTTAATGGACCCTGTGATTTAGGTTTTATAGAGACAGGATTTCTCATGGATTTGTTACTTTGTCAAAGATTATGCCTACAGCTAAAATGCTGCAAATTCCAGGCATGTGTTGCCATTCAAGAGAGGTAGGGTTTGGGCACGTACACTAAAGACAAGAGTACAGGCATGACAAGTACATTTCCATGACCACAAGGCAGAAAAGCCTTAATATCATGAAACTGGATACAGGCAGTTCAGAACACTGAAGTTCAAAGAATGATGATTAACCAACACTTGCACATTGGTCTCTTTGAACACTGCAGTTATCCAATACATTCTGCACCTCCGGTTTGGAATTCTCAACTGTAAGTTTCACTTTATAAATGAACTATAGTAACAAAAGTGAATAAGCCAGTGATACTTAGAATAAAACCTAACTGGGAGGAAAAAAAAAAGATAGTGATTTAGGGGGGCATTTGTTTGACTGACAGCAGTACACCTTTCACAATGATAGCATACCTTTCAGTATATGTGTATTATATTTATACATACGGTCTTGGTGTATGCTGTTCACACTGCCTCAGCATCTAGGCCATCTCTTACCACAAATACAGCACTTTGCATGGCTGTCAGACAGCTGGAAAAACATCTTATGCTAAGCTCTTGATTGTAGGGGGCACAAGCACTGGCACATCAGGCTTTGTGAACAAGCACACTAGAATATAGGCAACCTAAAGTGACAAGCAGGTGAGAATCAACACACTACTAACCAAATCAGGACACACAAAAAACAAGGGGATACCTTTTAATTTAGCAGAAAGACCTTTTAAAGGAGAAAACATTCTATCTACTAGTGCATTTTGTCTGTCTTTTCTGCATATTGGTAACAGAACATGTCCTATTAAATGGTAGTATTAATAACATTCTTACCTTCAACTAGGCCTGGAGCACCATGCCTGCTCTAAACCTCAGTCCTGCTGAGCTTTTAATTACTTAGCGAACTGAACCCCTCAATTTAGACATTTCTGCAATTGGATGTTTCTTTAGCTCTTAAAAGAAGGACAGGGCTGGAAATTAGCACCATCCCTGTAATAAATATTGGGTTTCAGAATTCCACAGCAATGTTATAATTACTATATGTCTAGGATTTACAGAATTGAGCCCATGAAAAGTTAAGAATGCTCCACAGAAACATAATGGGATATGACCGAGCACTACTGCATCAGCATAAACTCATCGGACCCAGGTTAACAAATTCAATAAACCACAGAATATTTCTAGAGCTAAACAGATACAAAAAGAAGATGAGAGTGAGACTGATGAGGATTCCTCTTTTATTCCCACTTACCCCAATATATACACAAGTATAAAAACACTGATTCACAGTTGTGTCATAAAAAGTTCCCAGGAGCAGGAAAGTGCTGTCGCAGTGTCTGCGGCCACCTGAAGTTCTCTGCCAGTTCTTTAGAAATTACAGCATCAAATGCAGAGCAGAAAAAATTACAGCTGGAGATGGAAGCTATCATTCATCACGGCGTGAACAGTCAAACTGTAAAACCACTACAGTATTGCAGCCTTGCTTTTTCTACCTGGGTCTGCAGAGGTTCAACTGTCATTTTGCCTTGGCAATTGAAGTTGTAGAAAGCTACAAAAACATTTTGGGGGGTAATACAAAGAATTTTAATGTACATAGGGAGCTAAACCTTTTAAGTTTCTCTTAATAGTCTACACCCTACTTCTTACTAGAACAACTGAGACTGATCTGGTTGATTCATGAACTGGATTCCTGTGGTAATTTGACATCAACTGCTCTGTGCAACACCTGGAAACGTATGTTTCCTAAAGAGGAATAAATTAATGCAGGTGTTCCCTTATTCTTTCCTCAAGGGCTGAAATCCAGCAGATTTTCCAGAAGTCTTGAGTGAAAAGGTTAGATTGGTGTGCTTCAGATTCAACAGGACCAATTTACCCATTCCTCTGGCTCAAGACAGTTTGATCCAGTGATTCTGAAATTCTGCTGGAATGCAGTGGCCACATTGGGGACCTCGGGTTTGAGGTGTTTTATGCAATAGGGCACAGATCTACCAGTGGAAGCTAGAGCACGGACCTTCTCTTTAGACTTTCTTTATTTTAGGACTTCCATCAAGAGTTGCTACCACAGCAGCTGGATCAGGCAAAAAGCGTGAGATTCTCCCATGGGAGTTCAGGACATGCGCAGGTTCAAGGTTAAGATTCCAGATTGTCACAGTGCTCCAGCTGGGAACAGGGGAAGGAACGGGAACATTTCCTTTAGTTTCCACCAGGATCAGCAGCAAGCTAGTCCGCACCAACGCTCTGGGATTCAGGCCCCCCTTACTGCTTGGCCTTCTTGAGGATGGTTCCCACGGCAGAGATGACCGTGGTCTTGGTGCCACTGGCGGTGGTGGTGACGGAGACGACGCCAGGGAGGGTGGCAGTGGTGGTGAGGATGGTGGGCTGGGCGATGGTCACTGGCACAGCTGAGTCCCACTTGCTCTTTCGCTTCTGGGCCTCTGTAGAGAGTGAGAGAGAGGGATAAAGACACTTATGAGATGGATTTATAGACAATAAATATATGGATATAATTACAAAGATGTTCTACAGAAATGGGATCCACAAAAGACAATCCTAAAAGAAGCACCAATCCTACCGGCACACAAACTGCTGTTGCCGGAGGCGGATGCTGATGACGAGTGACGCCACTGGTTTAATGTAAACCCACGGTACCAGCTGTGCTGCTGGAGAATGTGTGTGTGTGACTGTGGTCTGAGAGAATTTCTACAGGAACATGCTAGTTAAGCCTTATGGCCTACTTTATCATTATCCAAAAAAGACACTTGAATCTCCTTTTCAGAATGGCAATCAAATTTCAAATCAAAATCTGAAAATTTTATGACGATTTTATTAGGCAGTTCACTTTTATTGTATTATATTTGTGTTATGTATTATGTCTATACGCAATTTGTTTAGTTGTTAATGCAGATCAAATTGAGAAGTTTTTCTTCCTTGTAAAGAAAGAATGGTCAGGAGCAGTTATCAGCCTGCCTTTTTGCCAGCACGGAAAAATCACTTTCACAAACTACCGCACTCCTAAGTGTCGAATGGAAGGGTTAAGAGAGGAAGGCATTGTGCATATTCTTAAGGTGATATTAATGTTATCTGAGATAATGACACAGTGTGATCAATTCACACCCATCCATAAAACAAGCACTACTGAAAGGACACTACATCCTGGAGTAAAAGGAGCGAAGGGAATCTGTATTCAAGGACACTACTCCACAATAAACCTCTTGGTTTATGTATTAAATCGTAAACTTCATTCACCACCTTTTCTGAAATTACATAACATGTACAGTCTACCAAGCTTATGTGGTTGAAAAAGGATATTTTCAAAGCCAAAAGTGGTTGCTACTATTTTGTTTGTGGTTCCCAGGGAAGGCTCAATAATGCTGGATTGATTTTAAGGCATATAAGCTCAGTTATTTCAGACTAACATAGCCCATTATCAGCTAACTGGTCCAGAGATCTAATCCAGCTACTCAAACAACAATAAATCAGTATCCTTAAACTGAAGTTAAATTTTAGGAATCACAGCTGTTTTTGTGATAATGTAGAAAGTCATGTACCTGCAGCGGTGGTGCTGGCAGTGCTGGTGGTGCTGGAGGCGGAGCTGGTGGTGGTTCCCTTCTTGGTGCCCGTCACAAACTCAATCTGAAAGACAGCCATTGCCATCACTGCAGACACAACTGCGAGAGTCGCTGTCGCCACTGCAGACACTCAGCTATGTCTCATCTGTAAAACCCGCTGTCTTCACTACAGAAACTCAGCTGTCACATCTGTAGGACTCACTGTCATCACTGTAGGCACTCAGGTGTAACATCTGTAAGATTCACTGTCATCACTACAGACACTCAGCTGTGTCATACGTACATCTGTAAAATTCCCTGTTGTCACTACAGACACTCAGTTGCTTTATGTGTACATCTGTAGGTCCCACTGCCAAATGATTTTCCCCCACAGTCAGACATACTGCAGCCAGTGGACATTTATTGCAGCCAGTGGCTGACAGACTGGGCAGAAGCCGAGAGGCCTTGCAGTCAACTGCCCTTTTCTGAGTGTGGTGCAACAGGACATCCAAGAGGTGAATTTTACACTCTGCAAACAATTATCTTTTGTATCCCTTGGATCAGTTAAACTGCTTCTCTTTGTGAGGACACACCCATGGTTTGAAGTCTGTTCACTTTTATTAACCCGAAGATGTAAGCTTTAATCACATATCAACTGGAATGTTCTCTGGTGTTTAAACGCCCTCTTATACAGCTCTGTGAGCAAACTGATGACTCAGCATGTCATTAATAGGGGAATTGTTGAAACCTGCTGCTGCAGGGTTTATCATTTAATTTGGATGACATCTTATTGATATTAAACAGTTACTAGGAACCTGCTGAGACCTGTGCCTTTCCCTCAGACAACAAAATAAAGTCTGATACACTGGTGTCAATATAGAAAGTCTTAATATGTCTAAATGTGGTGCTAAAAGTCCCATCATTCCAGTGCATTTCAAAGCAGATTAATGGATACACGTCCTCTGATGCCCCATCACGTTTAATACCAGAGTAAAGCAGATGACTTTACGGACTTCATGAACAAAGCAGTTGTCCCCTCACGGCTGTTTCGCAGAGGAAGTTTCAAAACTGGCCTGAAACCCCAAGTCAATACTCCGCTGCATGGAGCGTGCAGCCTGAGCTACCCACATAACACCTCCAGCCTTTGCTTTCACCTGCACTTTCTTACTCTGTATTTGCGATTGGTTCCTGCTAAGCCAGTTCAAAAGCACTATCTTTCAGGAAAGAAAAGCATAAGTGGAACTGAATAATTAGTTATCCTGCCTAGCTTGATCTAATTCTCTTTAATCACGGAAGCACAACATTTTAGGGAAACATTTAAAAAACTGCTAATGTGTAAATGTGCTGCACAGCAAGCCCAGAAGGATGGGATCTTGTGCTTGCTCTCTAGTCGACCTGTCATTTGACACATGAATAGTGATTTACAGGAAGGCTAGCAGTGATAGCAGATGCGATGGGATTCTTACAGACAACACCACAAGCTTTCAGGTGCTTGGCCAGGTCCTGAAGATTGCTGCTGTGCAGAAAGCTGAGCACACCCTGACCAGACCAAGGCCTGTGGTTGCCAGTCTGGGCTGCGCTTGGCTGTTCACACTGATACTTGGGAGTTCCCAGTCACAGTCTGGTAATGACATGGCTCAGGTGAACGCAGCCCTGTGCTTTCTTAAGATTCCAGATTACAGTTATTGAACAGAAAATGAAGGGGCATATTTCTCACCCATTCTAGTCTGTCCAAGACCTGCACTAAACACCAGTCACCTCCCGCAGACACCCTCTGTCTCTTAAACGAATTAACCGGAATACCTTACCCTTCACTGAATTAAGACATTAATGAAAATTAAGTATAGTTTAATAACAAAAATTAATGGATAAACACTTGATTTTAAGCAGTGGGGTAGCAAGGTGAAGTGGTGTTTTGCTTTTAATTAAAGACATTTGGGCTGAGTTTGACTGGCTGCTCTGATTGGCCCTTTTTCGCCATGGACATCCAATGGACTGACATGTACGCTGTGTCCTGCGTCCTGTCTTATGAACTATGCTTCTACCTGAATGGCAGAAACTCTCACCAGGATAAGAGACTTTCCGTTACTTTTCAGTCCAGCTTTCAAAATGAAAACTCATTAAATATGAGGCTGCCGTTTTCAACCTACCACACTCTGAGCTGCTATTAATTATCACGTGAATAGCTGCTATATTGCTCACAGATCACAGTTATGTCCAGCAGAAGACTAATGTTCTCTGTTCTGATACACGTTCGCTTTAATCAGTTTTGTTTTTTGCATATGCAAGCTGTTAAAGCACGCAAAACTGTTCAATGCTCTGTTTTTTACAGAAAACAAACTGGTCCATGCAAATATCCCATGCATATACAAATTACAATTAACTCCTCTTCAAGCTTTGCCTTTAAAAACCATGATCCCAATTCCAGCTATCTAGCTGAACAGGAGATACTGCTGTGTAACTGGTAATGGGGTGTGATAAATACGGGCCTGTACATACCAGTCTTTGAGCAACAACTACTTCCTTGGCAATAAAGAGGGCATTACTTGATTCATACAAGATTCACCTAATGGGCCAAGGAGATGAGTTTTGTTTTTATCTGGGCTGATGTGACCAGCAGGAGAGAAAACCGCAGTTTAGTGCTTCGCTGCAACAGTCTTATTCACAAAGGCAGGCTTCAGATCAAGAGCATTCTGAGGCGATTAGTCATCGTCGGTCCCACTGCTCCAATTATGACACATAACGGACACTTGAATTTGCTAAAGGCTTGGCAGTGTCGTGAGAAGCTCCAGGGAGATATTCATGGGTTGGGCTTCAGGGCACTGCACTGCACTGGCCACTCCAAGAGGAGAGTGGGCCTCAGAACAATCGGTCAGTCTGCAGTCTCAGGAGGCGTGAGTCACGACACAAATACCAGCTTTACACTAAATTCCAAAGATAAAGGGGATAAGAGGCCACACTAGCACATTTCCAGGTTGAAGAAACTTAGCACGGCAACATATACAAATAACAAAATGCTATTATTACTAAACCAGTTGAATTTGGTGAATATTGAAGATCATTACCTATTTGTTTTTTTAAGATTCTAGGATAAGCTGTGAGATTCTCTAAATGATTTAATGGATAAAAGGCAAAATATGAACTTTTTAAATTTAATTTAGAGTTTAATGATACATGCTAGCTTCAGTATTCGTTTCTACTTAAAGAAAAAGGTTCTTGTAATCCAAATATTTCTCCTCAATATATTCAGATATTAATAATTAATAATAATTGCTTACACTTATATAGCACTTTTCTGGACACTCCACCCAAAGCTTTTTACAGGTAATGGAGACTCCCCTCTACCACCACCAATGTGCAGCATCCACCTGGATGATGTGACGGCAGCCATAGTGCGCCAGAACGCTCACCACACATCAGCTATCAGTGGGGAGGAGAACAGAGTAATGAAACCAATTCATAGATGGGAATTATTAGGAAGCCAAGATTGGTAAAGGCCAATAGGAAATTTGGCCAGGACGCTGGGATTATACCCCTACTCTTTTCAAGAAACACCCTGGGATTTTTAATGACCACAGAGAATCAGGACCTCGGTTTTATGTCTCATCCGAAGGACGGCACCTTTTTTACAGTATAGTGTCCCCGTCACTATACTGGGGCATTAGGACCCACATAGACTGCAGGGTGAGTGCCCCCTGCTGGCCCCACTAACACCTCTTCCAGCAGCAACCTTAGTTTTTCCCAGCAGGTCTCCCATCCAGGTACCCAGGCTCACACCTGCTGAGCTTCAGTTGGCTGCCAGTTGTGAGTTGCAGGGTGATATGGCTGCTGGCGAGAGATCATGTCATTGAACAAGATGGCTGATTTTGCTGTGCATACAACAGAAAACATTCTGGTCCAAAAAATGCTCACAAGGGACAGAGGCGGTGGGAAGGAGAGACACCCACCTTTGTGCGCTCCTTCTTGGCCTTTTCCAGCTTGTCCATCTCAACCTTCTGGGCTTTAGCTGCAGGTAAGAGAGACAGAGCATCAACAAGACTGTAACACCTTCAAATAAAATTAAGGAGCTTTAAAAAAGAATAAGGATTAATGAAATGTTATAATCAATAATCAAAAGATTAATGAAACGTCTCGCAATAGTGTCCCAAAACACTAACAAGATAAACAAGCTGCAAGGATTGTGATGAAAGTATAAGAATGAAATTCGCCTGGAACAACACTCAGACATACCCAGGTACTAAGTTGTTATGCATTAGGTATAATCAGACACAAAACTAATTTAAACTCGAATGGTACTGTAAAAAAATACCTGAAAGCCAGGGAGAAGGGAATTGCTCTATTAATAGATAACTGGTCTGAAAAGATCTGAATTTACCACTACAATAACAAGAAATAGGACAGGTTACACTGTACCTAAAGCCTCATAGTAAGAGTCCTCTGACCAACCATGGGGGTCAAACATGTCCTGTGTGAGAAAAGAAACCATTACAGGAAAAGCCAAAGAAAAGCACTTTTGTAAAACTGTACTCGTGTGAATGTTTCAGACTGACCACAAACCAAACCACAAACCAGTGACATAAAACTCATTTTAAGATGGTAATACAGTAAGGACAAAAAAAACTTGAGTTCTACCGGCTCACAAAATAAACCACCTCCCACTTGACTTTTTACAGAGGATTAGCTTTATAACAAACCTACACTTGAGAAGAATAAAAAATTGCAGATACCATTGGGCTGCACATGATTGAATGTTGGTCTAATTGCAGAGTCATGTGTGGTACAACTGATTTCAACAGAATATCACAGATCTGATAAGACATTTAACGACAGTCTCCAGATGAACATGACGAATCTGGCACAGTTTGTGTAGCTACAGACACAGCATTGCTCACCGTGAAACCTTATCAGTCAGTTCAATAGGTCATAATTTTAACATAATATAGTTACTCAGCTTGAGGGTTATGCCTCCAAACAAAAGGAGACTATCTGGCCCCCCTATCTCATTTAGTTTTGAGTAGCTAACTGATCTAAGGATCTTATCCAGTTCATTATTGAATGTCATAGAATGGAGTGTGAGTGTCTACAGACACTGTACATGCACATACACACAGATTAAGAGAGAAGACAGAATTGTGGCCACCATCATTTAAAAATGGATTTACAGACGCTGATGTGTGCATGTATTACTATTACTGTGGTGATAAAACCTGAGAGAATGTCCCCTCAAAGTCAGCTACTCCTGACAGAGAAACAAAGTGGGGATTTCTTCACAATGTAAATTATTATTTTTTAGAAACCACACACCATTAAATAGCGCAAGAACTATTTGTATCAAGTCCATCACCCTGTGTGGGAGCTTGGTTTCAGTGGAGTGTAGAACAGTAAACTGATTGATAATCAATAGGAAGCCCCCATAAAGTCAGGAATACGTGCATATGTAATTTGTGTTTGAAATTAGACCCAAGACAAAACATCATATTTCTATGGGTGAACAACCCATTTCCACATTTTTCTGTGATAAATGTAACAAGATCCTCTGTCCGGGGATTTAAAATAATTAGATGAGCAATCCAACACTCATTTTAATCAAATACATGACTGGAGATTAGAAGGAGTTCCAATTAAACATTATTCACTTGCGAATGAAACAGCTCCAAATTCTAAGCACACCACACAACCTCAAATGACCAAACTTTTTCTTCATTGCTTCACAAGTGGCAGGAGTCGCCAAAATAAAAAAAAAAAATTATGTGACTGCGATTTGAAAGGGCTAACATTGAGACAGCATAACCTCCACATGCCTCACCTTAGGGTAGTTTGTGCCCAGTTCATCAATGCCACAGTACTGGATCAACTTCTCATAAATACTGAAAATACAAAGCAGAAACCAGGCCCTTGACCATGAGGAAAGATGCACATCAGATGTTGCTAACATGAGTATTTAAGTATATACTGCAATACACAATGGCTGTCTTGGTCGTGTAATTAAGGTGCATTCAGCACTTTGAGCTATTTCTGCTCTTATAAGTCTCTGACAACTGTTTGTATTGAATCAGAATTAGATTTTTCCTTTACCGGAGAGACTTTAAAAAGCAGTTTTGTGAAAAACATGACAGCAAGATGATGTGAACTGACAACCTATTGTTTGGAAACCTCCTCATGTGTTCTGGGTGGGGACCTGAGTGACACCGACATGATGGAATGTAAACCTGAAGAACTGCTGCTGGATGTTTCCCTGAATTATGAGCCCTTTGGTAGCAAAAATCAACAGAGAGGGCAATATAGGTATCTTCAGGCCAAATATCCTGTTTCTGATTAAGTGCAAAACTTCTTTTCAGATGAAAACGGATCAAGTAATACACAGTGTATGCAGTGCTTGTATCAGTGGGCAGCAGTCTCACATGATGTGGTTTCTAGGGCATGCTGGGAAATGGGCTGGCAGAGATGGTAATTAGCAGGTACCTGGGGTTCCGGAACTCCTTCTTATTCTGGATGTGGCTGTTGGTGTCGAAGTCGCCATGAAGCTTCCGCTCATACAGCTTCTGGATCTTCTCCTGGAAGATAAGGAACAGTTATAAGCCCACCAACTGAAGGGAGAAAATCTACAATCCACGCTTGGTCCAATATCTACAGCAAACATCTCTTCATAAAAAGAAACAATCACATAATGCCAAAATCATAAATCCAGATCTTTGCTCCCCCATTTCTGTTTATCTGCACCAGCCAAACCTTGAGTCGTGAAGTACAATTTTATAGACTTATTCTCACAGTACTCGTGTTCACATCTCAGGGACTGTATTTTATGTAGGGTCAGTTCTGAGACTCACTGGCTCTGCAGACCATCACTTTAATTCCGCTGCGAGTTCAATTTTCTCACGCTTCTTCCAATTCAGAGTTGCTGGAAAGCCGGAGCCTATATTGGCCAGCAATGATCGCAAGGAGGGATACACCCTGAATATGACACAAGTCCATCACAAGGGAAACTGACCCTGGTGTGAGTGTGCATGTGTCTATTTTCCTTGAAGCCAATTAACCTACCAGTATGTTTTCTTGATTGTGGGAGGAAATGGGAGTACCCAGAGAAAACCCCTGCAGACACAGGGAGAACATACAAACTCCACGCAGACAGCACCCCAGTTCCGGAATTAAATCCAGGGCCCAAGTGCTGCAAGGCGGCAATACTTACCACTGCAGGAAACTCACTCATAACCAATTCAAATTTTTAAATGATCAGAAAGTCTTGAGACATTTCTAAAAAAAGTATAATCTCTATTTTTCTATTCCATTCCCAGACAAACTGGTATCACCAATTGTAAAGGCTTCATGTAGACCTAAAGACACGTTATGAGGCTGATGACAGGCTGCTCTGACACCCACCCAGTGAGCCATTCATTCGTTTTGATAGACTACTCTGCAGACATTTACAGAGATTGGAGGACTGGCAGCTCCTTCACGGAGGTCATGACAAGCCTCACAAGCTATGCTGCCTTGTTCCTATTTCTTGTTAGAGGAACAGCGTTGTACTAAAAAACATTTGTACAATAAGTTGTTTAGTAGGCATTCCTATCCAAACTGGGCAAGACAATAAGAGAAATAAATTAACTACATATCAACACCTATGACTGAACAGTCACTTTAAGTAGGATTTTGGTTTGAAGTTATATCTATAGGACAGTCAGTGGCTTTTTCTCTTGACTGATAGGTCTACTGGCATCCTGAGCATAAACATATAAAGCCATAAAGCTTAAGCTTGAATTATTTTCTTGCTCTGTTTCCTGGACTAATGCCTCATCATTTAAATTTGTTCCCCTAACAAAATGAGACATCATCTCTCTAAAGCATGTATTTTGGACTATTCACACCCTTGTGATAGGGATTTGTTTCAGGACAATCAGCTTTTTTGGTTTCTTACAGACATGATCCCCCAACACAGATGCCAGATTGCTAGGTACCTTCTAGTTTTCAGCAGTTTCACGGTTAGTGTTTGCACTAGGCTGACCCCAAACATGGTACTGCATTCTGGGAAGGGTGCTGTGAAAGAGGCTATTGTGCTTCCACTGATTTTAATACCTGAGGGCAATATTTGACAGCCAAGCTCAAGAGATCTCTAGGTATACGCAATACTCTCCTCTTTAAGAAATATGAAATACTATCTTCAAAAGCTAGCTTTAAAAACAGCATTTTTGACTTCTGGGCACTCAGGAACACTCAAATTTAAATGTTACCAACTTTTAAATAGTTTATATTTCCAAATATAAGAATAGAAAGCTTCCTTCCCTTGTTAAAGGGGAATTGCTGTTCTAATTTCTCAGACTGGTTAGTAAATCTTGGTAACAAAATAAATTAATTGATGGTATAGAAAAATGTTCCAATTTCAAATTAAGCACAAAATCATGAACTTTTGTGCAATCCCCTGGTGTTGCCACGGGCGAGCGTTTGTGCGAATTATGAAGTGATGCAGTACCTTCCTGCTCACTAACGACTGTAATGACTAATGTGATACAGTGTACGGGCAAATAAGTACAGGTTGTTCAGCAGACATTTCATGCAGAAATGTTCCAATGTGATCTGCCTGCAGAGTTAACAAATAAGTAGTATTTGTCGGCAAAACAGTCTCAAAGACGAAAACGTGCACAAGTCTAAACTACATTTCTTAAACTTGAACACGGATACTGAGACAAGATTCGGTCTTATGCCTCCAGACCACAGGAAAAGGGTTCTTACCTTTACCATCTTGCATTAGGCTGAGCAACAGAGGACATGAAAATAAAATCTTTATTGAATTTAAAGGCACCTATACTAGATGGACTGATTATATGATCTTTAAAAAGAGCAAAATGAATGGGGTTAACTGGGTTTACAGCCATGTGTACCCACTTTGATAAGGAATGCTCTCCATCTTATTCTTAAAGGAAACTCTACAACAGTTGAACTGAAAGGTCCAGAATTGTCATACAGTACACACATAACGCACATTTAAAGCAGTGATCAGCATCACTTAAAACTGAAACCCTTTGCAGGCACCTGTGAAGCTCAATTGGCACAAGCTTCTCGTTCAAAGCAAGGTGAACCAGCACACCAGAGCAGTGGCTTTAACTTCAGCTAGGTTATTACCACACAACTGTGATCTGAACTGGCCATGCTTGACTCACATTTGGCCAGAATCATTGGCCAGGCGCCTGCATGTTTGCATTGCTATAAGAAGGAACTCCTTCTTGTCCAGTCTGCCCCCTGATACCTCAGCCCTCGCATGAGTGTGAATCACAGTGTAGCTTCAGACAATGGGCCATGTGCCCATGTGTCAGAACAAAGGATGCAGCACCGCAAATAAATGGAGATGCCAAACAGCAGCGGAAAGAGAATAATAGCAATTGCCGATTCTTAATTTAATCAAAACAAACAAACGTCTTCCTTTAAGATCTGACTTCAGCTATGGAAAGATCTCTCTCGGGGTGGAAGGGGAAGTCAGAGGCGCACATAGATCAGAAGAAGAATCACTCAAGAATATATATGGAGCAATAGAAACAAAAACATCAGGGAACTGAAAAAACAGGAAATTTCAATTGCTGCACACTTCTCTGCTAGAAGGGTAACCATGACAATTTGGAGTTGCTAGTTCTGTACTGCAAAACTCCGAAAACAATTCCTATACCCGCCCTTCCTTTCTGTATGGGTGTTCCTGTTCATCTTTGACAGGATATTAGTCATAAAGATTGGAGTGCTACGCCAAGTCATAACACTGAGGTGTTCTCCTATACTGCTCTCGCAGAAGCTCCCTAGGTAGACTGCTGCTTGAAATAATTCATCAACCGTCATCTGCCCAGAATGATACAGTCATTTGATTGGCAGTTTAATTAGGTAACAGGTTATTACATTAAGGGTGACACACTGATTTGAACAAGTAAACAGTTTTTATATTAGGTAGAATATAAGTGAAGAATTGTATCCAAGGAAAAAAATGATACGAGTTGATGCACATTAATTAGTACATTAGCAATCTTTTAAGATAGAAACATACGGAACTTTTAAATATTACTAGCAATTTAAATTTGTGATTTTTGTTTCTTGAAGCACTTTATAATGATGAAATGTTCTGTGAGGAACTGGTTTCTAGAATTAAAACAACTTGAGTAATGTTAGTTGTTCTCTGACCATTAACAAATATATTTTCTTTGAAGCTGTGGACCTGAGAATAGTTATTTGAGTTTAATATATTATCATAGCATTATCAAAGGAATCAAGTTCAAGATACACTATTGAGAGTATCCTGACTGGTTGCATCGATGCCTAGTATGGGAACTGCTCTGCCCGGGATCGCAAAGTACTGCAGAGTGTGGTGAAGTCAGCGCAGCTCATTACCAGCTGTGAGCTACCAAACATCCAGGATATCTACTCAGCCAGATGTCTTAAAAAGGCCAGGTCTATTCTCAAGGACCTCAGTCTCTCCTATCTTCCAGTAAACGGTATCGAAGCATTCAGCCAAAGACTAACAGATTTCAGAACAGCCTCTACCTCCAGGCAATAAGACTGCTAAATAGCCAAGTTGCAGTTACTTCAGCAAATCACCCATAATGGCTACATGGACATACAGTTTTCATTGTATTCCGCATACTGCACTACTTGGACATAATGTATTGCATACACCCTGGACACATACTGTAGCAGCTCTATATTGAGCTCTGTCTGAGATTCTTTTATTCATTATGTAACCTTATTTTGTCAATTTTATTTTGTGATTTTTACACCCCCCAGTGAGCTCGCAGAAAAGACAAGTCATTGCCAGCAACTACTGCTGCACGCTGTATTGTTTTGCATTTGATAAAACTTTGATTGATTGATTCAAACAGAATTGAGTTCTGCAGAGATTAGGGGAGAAAATAGAGCTATGACAAATGGCACAGTAATGGCATGTATTTAGTGCCAGATCAAGAACACTAGTCTTTACAGACTTCTACAAACCCATTAATAATACCCCAACAGAGAGGTGGCTGCTCAAAAGATAAGAACAGCAGCTTATATATATTTAACAATGCTTAAAAAAACTGATTTTATTGTCTTTATGCACCTACCAAATACAAACTGATAAAAAAAAGTAATTAAAACATAAAACCGTAACTGGTGAAACACAGGTAGCTGCAATAATTATCTTCAAACTTAGTGTACAGGCACTGCACCAGTGCAATTAAAAAAGACCTACAACTAGAGTTTGGATAAAATTCTGTTAAAAGGCAGGTAAGAAACAAAATCTATCCTGCAGAACGTAACATTTGATGTCACCAGGTTTGTAAATACCCATCCCAAATCAGCGCCTTTAATGAAACATTTATGATCTTCAGCACAACCACCTCAGTAGGATAACATGAAGTGACTGACTTTACCAAACTGAATAGCAAACAGATCAAAGATTGCCTAATCCTGATAGCATTCCTGGTTTCTAGAACAAAGTATGCCTGTAAATCTCACTTCGGCACCACCAGCCAGATGCAGATTATTGCTTCTTGCTTATCTGTGCTGTGTTAGTTTAAAGCTCAGTGCAGTCTGAATTTCTCACACTTAAGATCATGACTGTATCCTGAGGAATCTGCTAGTCTGGCCTGGGTACATCTGCAGCGGAACACATATCGCACGCCAAGTGTACTGATCTCAAGGATTCATGCAGATGTCGGCACACTCCTCTGTCTTCTCAATGCAAAACAAAGATTAGAAAACGTATAATGTAGAAAAAACAGTGTAGTTCAGTGTTATTATTACCTCTACAAAGATTACATTTCTTTTTTATACAGAGTATGTAAAAGTGCTTCTAACACCTTTGTCCTTTACAGTAATAAACTGTGTACAATGTCTAAACTTTTTTAGAAATTTAAAAAACCATGGCCCAAAACTAGCATTATGTAATTTGTTAATGCGATAGTGAAGTATTACAATTATTTATTTTTTCCTAGAATTTGCAGAAATTTTACAGTAAAATTTTACCTGATAATTACTAATGTTTTTGTAAAAACAGTAACAGATTAATTTGCACCTTGAAGATTGCTATTGCTACAGTTGTGGCAATAATTTTACAGTGCTACCACATTATTAAATAAAACATTTAAAACGGACGTTTTACATCCTAAGACTGAATTCAAATATTTGGCACAACATCACTTTCCATTAATTAAAAACTATAGCTGTACACAAAAAACAAATCTAGGTGCTAAATTCTGGTATGTATTAGTCTTTTGCTTTCTGAAAACAGGAAGATATGCAATTTTCTGATGACTATGCATAATCAAAGTATATTTCATAAGCTTTAATAATGCGCAAAACAGGATACAGTTGTTTATTTAATGAATCAGAAATGAATCAACTGTTGAACAAAAAAAAAATCAATATTAAGATCAGAACTGTTCTGTTGGACTTTGCACTTCAGTACTTCTGTAGCTCTGAGTCACGTTAAAACTTGTAAATTACAGACCACACAACATTAAGCATTCACGTACTTTCAAAAAGCAAACTAAGGAAACATACTTGCCTACAAGCAGTTTCCTACAAAAACAATCTGATTATAGCTTTCTTGATATAGACTTGTTGAAACTGAATGAAACTTAGGGGCTATGAAACATAACCTCAGAAAGGAATATTCATCAACCGCTGTTAAGATCTTTTTTGCATACTTGTACACATTTACACTTCCTGCTTTTTCCAAGCATTCTATGATTCTGTCCATTACCCCAAATTCATGAAACCTGTGTAGTACCATTAATATAGATAATTTAACATTATAAAGAAAACTTACAAACCACCCTGCTGATATTTCAAAATATCATACAGGACGGTGTGAAACGGAGTGTGTACATCAAACTTGTCTTCCATTCTATGATTAATATTCACCTATAATGTTTCACTTTTTATCTATGCATTAAGAATCAGTTATGACATTTCAATAAATATTTGAAAATGTCTAAAGTTATCACTGACAATAAAAGAAGCAGGAAGCTTTAAAATTATGTGACAGTGGTTTAGAAAATGTTTTGCACCGCTGTGTGGGAGATATCATTTTTAGTTTTGTGCCAAAACAGTATATAAGTCTTCAAATAGTAGTCCTTACTGCTGGTATTATAAAAAGTATGAAACAATTTAGCAATCATGCAGGAATGTTATGGGAGTGTAGGCTTATAAGTTAATTTATTCAACAAACAAAACCCATTTAAAACATTTAAGATTTTCACAGCATTGAAATCACTTGACTCAAAAGGATACTTGGGCATACAATAACACAAATCAGATAAAACACATTCAGAATCTAAATTTTACATAGTTAACTGGTACAATAATAGTTCCGGTGTATCTTCTATACCTCATTTTAAAGGAAGAAAACCTGATTTCTCAATGGGAAATTCTCAACAAGCAGACTGTGCCAGATAAGCACAGCCTTGAACAGAATTCTCCAGATTGCTCTGCCGGGTGCACAGAAGACTCCAAGATCAGAGACTTTCTTTGTGCCCTACACTGGTTCTAGGAGGAGTTGAGATCTTGATAGGTACCATGTCATAAAACAATCAGAGACCTCCAATCAGCACTGCCCCTCTGATTGCGGGCCATGTTGCCAGTGAGGTGTTAATCAATTGGCTGGAAGGTGGAGTCAGAGGAGTCTGCCAGCACTTTCTCTTTCTCCCCCACGTGTGGTCAACAGGGTTACCAGCCATGAGCCGAGATACGGGAAATAGAAAATAGGCGGTTTCAAATTCGGTAGGTGCAGAAACAATTGGCAATGGGTGCTCCGTACTGACCTGCAGGTGGCTCGAGCACCGCCCTGGAGGCTCAGGGGGGATCCGGATTTCGTCGGGGGACATGTTACGCACCCGCTCCGAGAACTGAGCTGCAAAACGGAACCAAAACAACAACAAAAAATTAGGATCATTGTGATGATGTCCGTAATCTGGCGAGAAGCTTTTTTGGCTAAACCGAAGTCCTCAGCTGATAAAAGGATGCTGGGGAAAAAAATAAATCTTCTAATGAGTGATCACAACTCATGGTACTGGTATATTAAAATCAAGTATGCATAAATTAGTGTAAAATTAAAAAAAATGGCAAATGTCTTTAACATGGTTCATGAAAAAGCTTCATGAATACATCATTTCTACAATGCAGTACATGCAGTAAGTGGCTTGCAGTCAGTCTTTTGGGTTAATGTAGTTTCTGACCTTCGGGTTACTTAGGAGTTGGAAGTTATAAACGGAGCTTGAAGTATTTTCCTTATTTTCTTCTATGATTTACACAATTGGTAAACCATCATGGTTTGCAAAGCCCTGATCCTTTTTTGTTTTATGGTTTTTTGTAGTCACTGCCTACAGACGGTAATTTTGTGTCAATAATTACGGCAATTAAGGGAGTGAAAGTCTGAATTAGGTTAACACAAGCGGACATTCTGGATACCAGGTGATTTATTTCTTAATGTACATCAGTAAATGCCAAAATATTTCTCCGCAGGGTGATCTAAGCAGAAGCTGATAGAATGTTAATGAATTAATACGGATTAAAGGTGCTTTTACAACAGTAGGAAAAGAGACAGACACGTTGTGAAAGGTCTCGGAAGAGAAGGGGAATGAAGCCCTTGAAGGTCTGGGAATGAGTTGGGGGGTCCTGTGCTCTACTCAGTGGTGTGTAATGAGGAAAGCCTCTCTTTCTTTGCCTGCCTGGAGGTGCTGTTGCGTGCAGGACTGTGAAACAGAATCCACTTCGCCAGAGGAGGGCACAGAGAGGGAGAGACAGACAGGCGGAGTCAGTTTAGGAAGTTAGACTGGGAATGAAACCACTCCTCTGTATTATTCTTCTCTTTTCATCAACATGACAATGAGTGTATTACATTTAATAACTGTAATAAAGTAGCTAATGCAACACTTCAAACTGGCTGTTTAATTATCATTTATGTTGTGCGGATAAAAGCCGTCAATATGAACATTCATTCATGATACATGATCGGCCTGATTTCTGCTCAACCACACTAATCTGTATTACAACAATCAAAGGTGCAGAAATGGTAAAGACACAAATACACTGTTGATACTTCTACATGTATTGTATATTGTAACTTCTGAAGCTAAAACTTTTGCACGACAGATTTTAAAAAAACCCAGGGGAGACCGAGTTAATACAAGGCGTCATCTTGACAACGTCAAAGTGTTTTTAACCTAGAAAACAGATTTACAGGTGTGCAGGTTGGAAATGTTGAAACTAGGGAGCTACGTGCTCATCAAAGCTTCACTGTAGATGCTTTCTAAACATCCGGAGGACCATGCAAGTTTTGAAGTGGTTGACATACAACGAATAGCTTCAACATCAGACACCTCCACCTACATTTATAATTGGATTCATCTACAGTCACTAGCATAAACTTCAAGCTGAATATGAAATTCAATATAACAGGGATCTGAGGGCTGGGTGAGTTACAGAAGGAAAATTCTGCCACTGCCGAGGACCCAGTGTGTTTTGGTGTGAAGGAGTTATCCACTGTCTAGTGAGGACACTGAGTATGCTCAGAGCCCACGAAGCAACCAGGATAAAATCCTATCAGCGACAAATCGGTGACCTTTAGGGGACTCCCGAGAGGTGCTACGAGTAAAGATGTTCCCTCCAAGTGCAGGCTAGGCTCACTGGTTGCAGCTCGGTCAGGTCACTAGCCGAACAGTGAGGGGAAACCCTGAAGTGCAGAAGCACAATTGGCAGAATGCTGCCTGGGTAGGGTAGGCACTGTTTAGCAAGGTCCAGCTGCTGAAACGGCAACTGTGACCTCCAGAGAGCCTGCTGGCTTGCAGTGTCATGTGTGCTGGACATACTGCTCCTGCAATCTGCACTAACTCTCCTGGAAGGCACCGTAGTGTTTGCAAAGTGTAAAACAAATGGGAGTGTCAATGGAATGTGTCGGGTAATCCACATCTTCCCCGTGTAGCGACATGAGTCATTACTGGAGAGTAGAGCCCCAGGTGACAATTTCAAATTGGATGGGTATACAACAAACACATTTTTAAAAAGTGACTTTAAAATACGGACGCCAGGGTTGCCCGGGAGGTGGTTAGCATTGCTGCCTTGCAGTACTGGAGCACTGGGTTCAATTGCTGGAGTGCTGTTTGAACCCTATGTTCTCCCCACGAACGTGAACAGGTAGTTAGAAAATGCATGAACAAAAACACATAACTTTAGCATTACAATGGAAGGTGAAAGCCAAATAATAAGGATCACAATAAAGTAGAATCTCTCTGTAAGCACTGGAGAGGAAGGTGGCCAGACGGAGAGAGAAAGGCCTTGGGATAGAGGTGAGTGAATTCAAACTGTTTCTAAAAGTGCAGTTAGGCTACAGTTCTGACACAGGTCAGGAAATGAAGTGAATACATCTATCAATAAAGACAGAACTGTAGCCTAATTGCACTTCTTTAGAAGGAGGTGTGTAGCAGCCAGTTCTGAGACACAAAAGCAGATGCTGAAGCGGTAATGAAAATTTGGGATTTGGAATTTCTCCTGAACAAGGTACAACATCGGGAGCTAGCTGAGCAAAGCAGAGTGGAGCTCCTGCCTGAGGAATCTGCTGTGCAAACGTGTTTCAACTGATCTGCCCCGCACTGAATCTGAGCTGCCAGGGAGTGTTGGGACTTGTCTCTGGAGCAAGATCTTTGTGACTAGAGGCCTCGCATTTTTGCGTGTCATTATATCTCTCAAGAAGGCTTTTGTACGGTTTGCACAGAACTGACTTCATCAGTCCCAATCTTTTTATCCAGACGCCACAAGACGGGGATCTGGCAGATATCCCCGGGGCATCTGGGTACGCAGAACGAGTGAATGTGCGTTCGTTGATCCAACTGTTAGGAATCACCCCCTCTCTCCCAGCCTAATGGTGAGAAGCATAACATAACTGTGTACTACAGCATGGAGCAGACTTAAGACTTACTGAATTCCTTGTGAATTAAAAGGTCAGTGGCTACTCAATGCTCAAAAAGACAAAAAGTAAACTAAAAGCCCATTTCAATCAGGTATCTTATTCCAGTATCCTATTTCTTAAGTTGCCTTTACAAAACAGTGTTCTTAATCTCAGTTTTAAAGACTTAGAAATGTGCAAGTGTATCTTCAGATTGATAAACATTGACTTTGCTCTTCTGAGCTATCAGAATTCCAGGGCTTTTACTATTCAGCAGTGACGTAATAGCAGTGACACTCTCTTCCACCAAGAATGGACCATGTACAGCTGTGATAAAGCTCATGTGCAACTAACACTGACTGCCCCTTCAGAAGGATGGCTCAGGATAAAACATCTAGATGCGTGGCAGACACCCCATGTATTTAAAAAACGCACACATCTAAGTACATAATGCACCAAGGTGCCTTATCAAGAAAGTCCCACTGAGCCTGATGGTTTTGACTGCAGCTTCCAATTGACAGATACACATCTACTACTAAAAACTGGTGTTTTTGTTCTTTAAACGTTTTTCACAGTTGCATAGGACTAATAAGAAGGGAAGCAATTCAGTATTTCAATCTCTGAAGCAGAGTAACCAGTAATAATACATGTTTTATAATGAAAATGCATTTTAAATAACTAGTTTATCATGAGGTACTGGAGACTCAGATAAGGGCAAAGCTACCAACACAAGAGTTAGGGTGTGGTGGTGAGGTAAGGTGAACAGATTAGATATGGAAACAAGTATGTTCTGTGTGAACAGCTTCCTCTCGCGCTGCGGTCATCGTGACTTGGTAGACATCACAGGGCGCTACACTGGTTGGCTTGTTTTCCCGAAAGAGACGGACGCAGCTTGTACGCATCTGCTGTCCCTGCGCCAGTGACGCTCCAGTCCAGACAGGACTGCTGTTCCCTCAGGCTCTCAAAGGAGCTTCCTCAGCTGCGCAGGTAAACATTGCATTAACATCCTGTGGGCCCCTCCCTGCGACGTGACTGATGTGTTCACAGGACCGCGCCGGGCCTCACCTTGCCTGACTCAGAGCCCTGCAGCTATGCTTCATCGTACTCTGTGATGAGCACAGCCCTGCTCACGCTAGATCTCTGAAATGTGCCCTAAAACCGCAACAGCACTCAACGCTGCTGTGCAAGAGAAATGCAGCCCAAGGGGCCAGGAAACTGCTCCTCTCTTGAACAGGCAAGTCAGACACCACTTTTTCAGAGAAAAATGTTCCACATCAGAAGTTACAAAAAGGCTAAAACTTCTGGTTGGGTTTTTCAAGTAAAGCGTATCTTAGTGGAATAAAGAAGCAGGTGTCCTCATGTCTTCAGAAGGGTTCAGCATTTATAAATTAAAGGAATGTGTACTGGGTTTCTTAAATATGTGATAATGTTTCTTTATTAGCCCTATACAATTTCTTGCATTAGGAATTCGTCTTTTCGTATACCCCAGCTTTTCTCCATGAGACACAGACACACAGAGAAGCTTGGGGTCAGAGCGCAGGGTCAGCCATTATACGGCGCCCCTGGAGCAGTTGGGGTTAAGGGCCTCGCTCAGGGGCCCAACGGAGTAGGATTCCTCTGCCGGCCACAGGATACGAACCGGCAACCTTCCAGCCACAGGCGCAGATCCTTAGCCACAGAGCCACCGGTCCGCCCCATAAAGCACCTTCCTTCGAGCCAGATTCGAACCAGTGACCTAAAGATTCCCAACTGTTCTTACTACAGTCCTCCACTCTACCAACTGAGCTATCGAAGGGTTATTGTATTCCCAGGAGTGTTGCTATAGTGTCTACAGCAACACACTGCTGTGTAACCTCATACATCTCTTAAAAATATAAGCTGTATACTGTATGTAACGTAAATGAACAATTTATCCAAAGCCTAAATAAGTGTTTTCTAATGTTGCAACAACTTTCATGCTAATTCAACTTAGATTGGGTTGTATTAGAACAACCAAGAAACAACAGAAGAAACCAGACCTGGCCATTTAATTTTAAATTCATACTAATCAGAAATATCAATATCAAGGTCAACCACGCTAATATGAAGTGTTGTAATAAATATCCATCACATTTACCAAGCAATTTTATCTATTCATTGACATTCACATCATTATCTCTTCAAAAAAAAACCAATCAATTTCAGGTGCTGTTTTGTTCACTTACATCATAAACCTTAAAGCTTAAGCTTGTATTCACCTGGGCACCTCTTACACATAACGTCATGGACCACTAACACAGGCTAAAGCAATGTTTTCTCAACTCCCTTTCCTGTTGACAGCAGCAAATACATGTTACTACATACCTAGAGTTTTCATTTCCTTCATAATTAATATTTTTATTGTAAATTAGTTCCCAACACAGCCCTTAAAAACATATGCTTAATTTGAGAATTACGTAGTCGCATTCGGCAGGAGTCCTGAATCAGCCTTAAAGTATGCATTATTAGTAGTTTATTCTAAAAAGCTACACATTTCTCACATATATTAAACACCAGGCAGCCACCTGGTCATGAGGAGGTGGGAAATTGTATTTAAAAAAGGTGAATTAGCAAGGCATTGAGGGGCAAAACAACCTCATGAATTAGTAAGAGTAAGGACTGCAGTCTCCATACCATCCCATGCCTTTCCCAAACAATAAGTCATCTGGGATTTAGCATGAGTCAGTGACAGGACCAGCCTAGGGTGTTGTGGTCTGGGCAGGGCCCTGCTTTCTTGGTGCCCCAAACAATGATCCCATACATGGTGGACCACAAGACTGACTGCAGGCACCAATTACACCCCAGCAAAAAAAACGCTGCACTCAGCATAGTCTTTGTCTAGCCGAACAAAGCACATCTTCAGGCTTTTGCTTAAGACCTTTGCAAAGGAATTCCAATTTTTTTTTCTTCAAAAAGCTGTTCAGCATCTAAAACATTCCAGTTTCTGGTATGTGTTCACAACACTGATGTAATGCTGAAGTAAACAGACAGCACCCAATAAAATTTTTTTTTCGTTGTGATTTGAAGTGATCCAATTGTGCGGGCCATTACAAACAACATATCGCTGGAAGGATAAGTAGCGTAATATAACCTTATCCAAAGTGCAGCCCAATTCTCCTGCTTTCTCTCTCTTGATTATCAGGTTTGATACCGAGAGTAGGCTTTTCAACAAGGCACCTCACTGTATGAGAGATGCTGTGCAGAATTTAGAAAAAACAATGCTGCAAGGGTGTCTGGCAGAACATCATACTTCCACATTGTTAGGATCTCTACTGTGATGTTGCAGGCATGGCTCCTCCATCTTTTCCTGCCCTGGTTAATTATCTAAACATTCATATTTATTGGACTTAATACTGGTTAGTAAGATAACTCATAAGGATCAGGATGTTTTTATGTTTTTGGTTTTCACTATTTCACTCCATGTACCAGGGTACAGATAATGTTATCTAGGGCAAAGTCAAAGGATAAAGATAGAAATCTTCACCCGGGACGCCTGCTTGACTGTACTGCTCCTCTCTCTACTCCTCTTCACCCGAGACGCCTTTTTGACTGTACTGCTTTGTATCTCAAACTGCTGAGGAGACTAGGGGTGGCTGCATTTGTATTTCTTCTCCTTCTCTCATATGTAAGACCCAGCAGCCTTATCCTGCTTTAACTAAAAAAGCAGGTAGAGGCAGCAAGTGTGCAATTGTTCAAGTACAATCTACAAAACAGAATTAAATGTTAGAATGCATCTGAAACGCATTGCTCTTTGGAGTGCCAATGACCCTTTTAAAAAAAATAATAGGCAATAGGTGTCTGTGTCTGTGCTCTTTCAGCATGCTGGAGAGATGCCAGCCTCAAGCTGATCCATGATCTCTGCCAAGAAAAGGGGAGTGCCAGACCCCACCTGGTACAGGTAAGCTCCACTGCCCACATGCACATGTGGAGGCAAGAGGAGGAGGTTCTCGACAACAGTCTAATAATTCATGGCACCTCTGGCTTGGATTGTTCACCTTCACTCACTGTAAAAATTCCCTGGATCAGGTTACATGTAAGACGCAATATTGGACCAAGAACCAAGATCAAAATCGCCTAAATCTTCACAGTGCTTAACTGATGTCTGTCTCACTTGTAAAGCAACATTGTAATGCAGTAAGCAGCATGATCTTCTGAAGGAAAACCACCCACTGGGCAATATGCCAACAGGGAAAATCTGATCCAGTATACATGGGAAGTACCTGGCAGCTAGGTTTTCTCTGGCAAGCAGGGCCTGACACAGAAGGCTGTTTTAAGCCAAACACACTCAGTAGCACAACAGGCAACTCGGCAAAATGTACGGAGAAAAATGGTTGATTTAAAATAAAGAGAGCGCTTCTTTACACAAAGAGTGGAGGGAGTCTGAAACATTATCCAGCCATATTGGTGAAGGTTGCACCCTCGCTGCTTTTAAGAAAATTAAGTGAATGACATCCACCTTCTAGAAACCTAGTGCAATGGGCCAACTGGACTTGGGTCATTTAGAACACAATTATTGTTCTATAAGGCAGTTAATATAAGTCTGACTTTACTCCCTGACCAGAAGTATGGTGGCACGTGTTTTTTGATGAGCGTGAGTTTAACACAGATGTCTCTTGTAGTGCTAGTGCATGAACACCCTCCATCTCCCACAATAATTTATTAAGTGTAATATATACCAAAATATCATACTCACTAGACAATGTCTTTTTGTTTGTCGATTAATGATCCTAGCAATGGGTAGTCGTGACATGCCATGAACTAAAGGCATGTGGCGTCAAAAATATTTGCCTTTATCTATTAAAACTAAAGATTGTGAGGAAGGTTGACACTCATTTTGGAAGGAGTTTTTTTCAGGTTGTCTATGATAAATGACAAAAAAGTGAGCTACTTCATGCTGAAAGACATTGCCAAATTTTAAGCAACTACAACTCATCTTCTTTCCTGCAGAAAATCTCACAAGAAGCAAGAGTTAGTGAGCTTGGATACGTCTCCAAAACAAATAGGAAAAAAGAGGTCTCACACAACAGACATCAGATGGCAGATTAAAAACGACAGATTGCAACTCCAAAGCTTAGGTTTGCGACTAAGCTTTATAAACTTCACTAAAGATGACTCACCAACCAGCTCATTTGGGTCCCTTTTTTCACCTTCAGAAATCTCCTGGAAGACAGCAAAATGAAGAGAAGTTAGGTTATTCCATGGAATAATATATAAAACAAGGAGAATCCAGAACCTGGATGGCACTGGTTTTATTACTTTGAAGCCTCATGTTTTACATCGGCCTTTTTCTTCTTCACCTTAACAGTCATGAAACCTTTCAGCCCAGCAAAGGTAGAAAGGTTAATGATCAAAATTTGCCAACTTAATACACTTTTTTCTCCATCCTGCAAAATGAGCGGAATACTCTTAAAATGAACGGACAATACCATAAGGTAACAAAACCTAAAATTACACCGGCGTTATATCTGCTGACTAAATGTTTGTTTTTTTAATTAAAAGTGGATTAGGTCACAGTAACAGAAACCCCTTATCATATTTAAGTGGTTACACTTGTCCACGTCTCAGCCAGCACAATGACCTGATTAACAACCTGATGTGCCTTTCCCAATATCATCCTGGGATCTACCCCATTGCCTCTTCCCAGGTGTCCTGTTGCATAGATGCCAATCTGCTGGGCCTGGGGAATGGGACTACCTCTAGGCAAGCCTACACATGGCTGCACAGGACTGTGTCACCATGTCTGAAGTTTACAGAAGCAGAAGGGCAAAGAGGCCTCTTTCCCCAGCAGGGTTAAAACCAGGGAGGGGAAAACAGCATTGCCTACAAGTACTTGACACTGAGAAACCAGCTTACTTTGTCATCAAGACTGAGCCAACGCCCCAAGCCAGTGAAAAGAACACAGACTTGATCTTCTGAGGCAGGACTTTGATCCCAAGAGCCTCTACTGGGCCAACCCCCCCCAGAACAAAAAATAAAGCCTGTTGTGCTCAGTCAAATCCCAGCAGCTATAAACTTTCTTCCGAAGGAATATATCTCACAGCAGCAGGCAGTGTTTTTTTAAGTTACACAAAGTGCTCTTTTTAAAAGGTACTCCTTGCCAAGACCCCGGGCACCAAAGGGCACAGCTCTGAGGAACAGTTTGCCCATTCACACACCCTGTGCTGCCTGCGTCACCTAGCAACCAAACAAGCATGTCCAAGTATTGTTTGGAAAGGGTTGTCCTTCACACCAAATGCATTAGAAGAGTAAATGTGGCTGTAATAAAGCTACACAACAACACTGACACTTTCTTAAGAAACAACAAGCGCACCATGTCAGCACCCCTTAAGGAACAGGGGTCCTAGAATACTGCCTTTTTAAAGGATATAATGTGGTTTAACTTTTAACAAGACTTTCGTTCTCAGCAGCCATTGCAGAATTGGAAATTCTGTTAACCTTTGGGACGTATGCAGTGTGTTAGACATTTAGAAAGAGGTACAATGTGCCATAAACTATTTTTCTTAAAAACAGAGATAACAAGAAAAGAAAAAAAACATTTAAGAATACATTTCTGAATAGGAACCAAGGATCCACAAAGGACTTTATGAACTGCAAAGCAATTAAGATTTTAGGTGACAAAAGAACAAAATGAAATAATTTATGGCTCATAAGCACTACGTTTGTGCTCACTTCACTTGATGTACTTTAGAATTAAATAACCTATTAAAATACAAAGACTTTCTATATGATAATTATCACCCTTAAAGACTCCACATTTAAGCAGAGTGAAACAAGAACACAATATCCTCACCTAAGTTAGGAGATGCAATGCATATTAAAATATATTTAAAAGTGTGAGGATTGTCATAGAACAAACATTAAAACATGCAATGAAACAACGAATGTTTAGAGGGCTTCTGATACTGACCACAGAGGCTTGGTCACTAAACTTCCGATTCTTTGCAAGCCAATTTCTGCTAGAAGATGTAAAGAGACTAAAGAGCTGCTAAAGAGACTGAAGAGACAGATCTGTCTATTGCGCTGCCTTCACAACCACTGCAACCTTCAACAATTCCAAAGCCGATTTTTTCCTTCATCCTGAAGATCAGATGGTGAGCTAGGAGTGGCACATATCTGGAATAGCAAACTGGCTGCAAAAATGTTCGATAAGCCCTGACTGGAGAACAAATACAGACAGTAACGTAACAAAAATATTTGAGTTGCTTTTGTTTATTACCGAGTGACAATGTATTAAAAAATTCAGAACAAATCAATATTAATGTATACATCATAAACTAGAAACGCTAGTTTTAAACAAGCGTTTATTAATTGGTTTGTTATTAATTGTTAAAAATCCAGTTTGCTGATGTCGTCTACCCAGTAATAACACTTGTTTCAACCCAAGGCAATCAAGGGAAGGGAAATTTATTTCTAATTTTAAAAGTGATAATAAAAGTTGATAGGTTGCATTAAAACATCACTGACTTTTAAAAAAACTTTTATAAAAGCCTTAAAAATATCTAGTAACATACATGTAAATGAAGATTAACAATGTATGGATACTGATGCATGTTCTATGAGTTCTTAAAACCTTTGGCTGTATTTACTTGTTTGGCCAAATAAAGTTGTTTTTTGGCAAAAACTGCTCAAGAAATCTATACCCAAAAGCACAAATGCAACATTTTCTATTGGCTGCGGTCCCATTGCCAGAACAAGAAGCAGTTTTTCAGAAACTGCTCAAAAACTATGATACAATTGCTAAAAAACACCAATCATTCTTAAAGAACCATTTATACAGTGCCACAATTCTAACAAGCAATGTCCTACATCATAAAGAACTGCAGAATTAGCCTTAGGTTCACTGGTGCAGTGCTGCTGGCATTAAGATTTAGATTAAAGAGATCTGCTACTGCGGAATTACTGCACTGTGCAAAGTGCTGACACTAAAGCATCTTCTGCTGGCTGTTACTTTACCACTGAGTTTGGCAGAAATTAAATAATTTCCTATAAAACATCCAGGGAGACTGAATCACAAGGAAGACAGTTACATACCATACTCTAAATACAACCATGATAAAAACAGCAATACCTATTTGTGTGCAATGACAGCGTTGTGGGGGACTAAATACAAAAAGGTTGATGCCATTACTTTGAACAGCATATATTTTCTTAAAAACATGTTATGAAAAGACTGCAAGCTGTTCATTTTGTGATTAAAATACAGCAAAGTTCACTACAAAAGCTTTAAGTGATACACACATGAGGCATCCTGGGAGAAGGTTCAAATGTCACTGACGGAGGAAATTCACACTGAAAACTGAAGAACAGGCGCAACAGATCAGCACGAATCTTGATTTTGTCTTCTAAAACAGGACGGTAAATGTTTCAACATCCATGCTTTGTTTTTCAGATATACAGCAATGAATTGCAGGTCTTCGCATGACTGGAATAACTGGGCTGCTTAAATGCAAGGAAAACGAAACACTTGCCCACTTACTGAACTGAACTACATCTTTTTGTTGCCCCCATGGGCCTCTCAGGGTGCAGGAGAGGGTTAATGTTGGCGTGGAGGCATTAAGACGAAAGCAGGGCTGGGAAAAGGATTTATTTGCCGCTCCAACTCTGCACAAGGAAACCTATCACAGGAAAAGCCAGCAGATGAGAATGTGGTACTGGCAGGACTGAATGGACTGCAGCCAGGAGTCTAGGGCAGGGCAGAGCAGAGAGCCCAGCATGCCAGGCAGTACTTGGAGATATGATGTGGGCACCTAACAGTCCCGCATTTCTCTGTCAAGGTTGTGCAGGAGCTCTTAAAGTGCGGCGTTCCGCTCAACCATATGAAAATCTGTGCTATGCAATTTACATCAGTTAATATGTCAAAATAAACAATTGCTCAAGAATATCGGACGTGAGAAGTTTCTCAGGACTTAACTAAGAAAAAAAACTTCCCTTTTCACTGAACCAACAGGTCAAGCTGCCCTGAATGCCGTCTCCCTCTAGTGGTTAGCTCAGCTAATTTCACTTTGCTTAGATGGCAATAGGTTTTAACAGGTGGATAGCTGCGTTGGCATGTGTAGGCTGCAAAAGAACAAGTAATACGTTTATTCCATGCTGAAAAAAAGAAGAAAGAAAACAATGTTTCGGCCGTGGAGCCTTATAGTTTTAACAGGCAGATAATGCCGAAGTAAGCAGAATGAAAATCGATTCAATATATTCTCAACCGCAAACTGATCTATGTACTACAGGGCTATATAAATATACTGTGAGTCTGTTCCCAGAATGTAAAGAATTAGGAGGATTGCCTTTTCTAATTTTTTCCATTTAAATTAATCAAATGACTTGTCACATTGTACATGTTTTCCCCAAGTCTGCAAGTCTGCAAGTCTGCAATAAAAAAAAGGTAATTAAAATCAATCTTGCTTGCAGACAGATTATTTCGTCTTTAGAAAATAACATTATACTGAGATCGATAGTTTAACCTGTGACAAAGATGTGACAAATTATAAGGACATCCTAGAAGTAACAAACCTGAATAATACGCATATTTCAATCTTCAGTGGCTAAGAACCTCAGATTTGAATTTCACTTTATCATCTCAAAATCACTGCATTTGACTGCGATGTCAGATGTAGAATTTGGTTTGTTGTGTGTTTGTGCCTAGAAAGTGAGATACTTGCACTGCTACAATTCGAGCAGTTTTGCCAGTGTATTACAAACTGCACATTGTCTCCCCCTTGTGTCCCTTGTCTTATTTCGGCTGACAGGCCCATCATCATAACATCACTTTATCAGCCCTATATAATTTCTTGCATTAGGAATTTGTCTTTTCGCATACCCCAGCTTGCGCTCCATGAGAAACACAGACAGGGAGAGAAGCTTGGGGTGAGAGCGCAGGATCAGCCATTGTACAGCACCCCTGAAGCAGTTGGGGTTAAGGGCCTTGCTCAGGGGCCCAACAGAGTAGGATTCCTCTGCCGGCTGCGGTATTCGAACCAGCGACCTTCCAGCCACAGAGCCACCCCTCTGCCCCTTAGTACTGTACCTTGAAAGGCTGCCCTGTAATGTCACCTGCCAGGGCTAAAGATGTGCCTGCAGGTCTGGCTGTGTAGAAACTCACGTTGCTTCTCAATTTTAACTTAGCCTGACCTCCTTGAGCACTGCAAGGTGAAGAGGCACAGATGTGGTCAGCCTCAGCCTCAGGCTGATTTTTTCAAAGCACATTCCAAAAAAAAGTGCCTTTCTTTGCTGCGCATAGCCACAGGGCAAAGGCCTTAGCATACCACGATATAACTGGACCCATTACAGATGGATCTTCAGAACATCCTTATACACCATGAGCACACAGGACATGCAATAACGCTGGGAAAGGCCCTGAGCAGGGGACTCTCAGCTGACGTTCATAGATTCCTGGACACCTGCAACGTGAACAAACTAATGGACAGTCTGAACTCGTGCAAGACCACCTTTGGCAATCCCATTGGACTACAAATCACTTAAAAGATGGTATTTACTAGTTAAGACAGTAGGAGTTTATTAGGAACAGTACCTTTTTTTCATTTTTTTTTAATGGTGCGTTTGAATGATCAATACCTGTGAAGGAGCCTTTTATGATGTGAAACCTATAAGCTTTTAAACACTACATTCACACAGATATAATATTAATGAGAGAGGAGTACCTAATGGTTAATTCAATCATGAGTGCGACAGAGAAAAATCAGGAAGACACTGATCTCATCTATAAACTGACCCTAGGGAATGTTTTACAGTTCTGAAGAGCCTCTGTATTTTGGTGGCAAGGTCGCCAACTGCTAACAGGCAGATCCCCAGTCTGAGAAAACAGGCTCCAGATAAGACTCAAGCCAACAGAAGACCTTGCGTATCAATTGGACTGCCTCTAGCCCTCCACCCAGCCCCGCTCTGCCACCTCCCTGTTGTTTTAGGCACTCAACTTCCTGATACATTTCCTGCGCAGAAGCGAGGGAGGGAGCAATGAAATCTCCCACTCAGGAAACCTGATTCTCTAGGTGACCGATTTGTTTTTTGTGTGTCTGCTCGTACCTAATCCCCTGATAAAATAGAAAAGATCTGCATGTTTCAACAGAAGCCGGGCGGGGCTCTCAAGCGCCTCAAGTGGTAAAGGTCTCTGCTCAGAGCACAGGTTGTGTCTAGGCATCAGGAACTGTGCAATGATGGTAGAACAGTGATTCTTGACCCTGATCTTCAAAGACTCTTCCAGTGCGGATTTCTCCATTTACTCATTCCTACTCTTAATTAAACTAATAATTGAATTACCAGACCTTTATAATTGTTTTTAGCTCTTGAACAGGTGACGATGCTGCATTTAAGTGACCAATTAATCCATGCAACTTCACTTGTTATAATAGTAATATTTTCTGGACACTCCATTCAAAGTACATTATAGGTAATGGGGGCTCCAGTCCACCATCAATGTGTAGTCCCCATCTGGATGATGAAACAGCAGCCATAGTGCGCCATTACGCTCACCACACACCAGCTATCAGTGGGGAGGAGAACAGAATGATCAAGCCAGTTCATAGATGGGGATTAGGCATGATTGGTAAAGGCCAGGGGAAAATTTGTCCAGGATGCCAAGGTAAATACCCCTACTCAATCTGAGAAACACCCCGGGATTTTTAATGACCATGGTGTTGCAGGACCTTGGTTCTATGTCACCTTTCACAGTATAGTGTCCCCATCACTATACTGGGGCATTAGGACCCACATAGGCCACAGGATGAGTACCCCCTACAGGTCCCACTAACACCCCTTCCAGTAGCAACCTTAGTTTTTCCCAGGAGGTCTCCCATCCAGGAACTGGCCAGGCTCACCCCTGCTGAGCTTCAGTGGGCTGCCAGTGGCGAGTTGCAGGACGAGATATCTGTACTTGTGTGGGTTCAAAGAAGACAGCTGGCAGTTTTCTAAGCTTCACAAGCAAGCAGGAGAGTCTTCCATTTTGCTGATGTGAGAAAGTAGTGCTATTGATGATAAGTGACAAGCAAAGGTGCAGAATGTCGGCAGGGTGTCAACAATGAAAACCACCTGCATCCAACAAAAGGAAATGTTAAGTCCCAAAGTTTGGGGAGTCTTGCGAACTGCTCTTTGGGGGAACTGAAAACAGCTTGCAGAGTGAAACAGGAGTCTGATGTATTGCTACCAGGTTGCAGAGGTGAACCAAGTCACAAATTAAAATAACCAATGGTGTAAGGTCAAAATTAACTGGATTCCAGCTTTTTTTAAAATAAACATGATCACCTCCTTCCTCTGTCCGATTATCCACTTCACCACCACCAGCTTCTTTAACCTGCTGCTCCCCAAGGGAACAACCAGGTTGCCACAAACGCAGCCGACTTCATTCCAGCCATAATCAGTCATGACGCTTTTAGGTTGTTACTAGAGCAAACTGGTGTACTACTATATGTACTGCAAGTTAATAGTATGTAAATAATTTCCTTAGTATATTCCTTAGAATAATTTTTCTTCTGTATATACACTGTATCTACCACCAGTTTCTATTTGTAACTCTCTCCAATACTTGAAGTTGCATTCAATAAATAACTTCATTTGCTGTTAATTGTTTGTATTACTTTGATTCACCTACGAGGATGCTGGCAAATATATTTATAACAGCCAAAAAGATAAAAACATTAAATCAAATTAACAATAATCATTATAATGACTGTCCACCCACACAAGATCAAGGTTATCCTAGCTGACAGGCTAAACATGTAACTGATTTTATATTCAACACTTGCAGCTTAATTTGCATAACTAATTAGCTTGTTTATCAGTGTAGAGGGCTGTCAGGTGTTGCTTCATAGTTAAAATGTGTTTTGATGGCTGGTTCAAAGGATAGGCATGTTATGGTGATTGCAAAAAGATTACCACACCCCTAACATTCTATTGCAAAGATATGCATCTGCTGGGACAATAGGTTTACAGCCAGGGTTAACACAGTGGAGATCTGATACAAGGATACACAATCAGATATCAAATCAAGCAACTGTGACTCAATAGGAACAGAGATGACTGATCCATCTCTTTTGGTCAGAAATGTTTAGTCATTAATAACACCAATACTCAACAGCACCCTGCCAAAGTGACTTAATTTGTGCCCATAATCTGAAGTCATCAAGGCTATTAGAAGTTCTTAGTTCTTGTTCCTTTCACATACTGCAAATGACACACCTGTTGACTCTAAACTCTTTGCAACACAAGACTGGCTGCTGCAACACCTGTCAGTCAGACTGTGTACAACATTCACAAGGCAGTATTTCAAGAAAGATAAAGCATTAACATTGCTTTTTTGTTGAGAAGCAGTGCTTTGCCTCTTTGGACTTATATATGTGCTTGACTACAAGAGAATTAAAATTCCCCAAAAATTTAAAAAGCCAGACATAACCTTCTATTGCCCTTTCAATTTTCAAATTATTTTCATTTTTTTGTTTAGTGCTCTCACAACAACTTGTCATAGAGCACTTTCATAGCTATTTACTATACTGACAGGGCACCAGTTAAGGCATCTGTATATCAAGTTGGAATATAATGATGTCCATTACCACCTCTGCTATATAACTGAGCTGTTTAGCATTGCAATATGAAAACTCAGGCCAACTCCTTTTCTGTACTATAATTAAGGAACACTACTGATGTAATGGAGATGGATTTTTTGTTCAAGAAAAGTAGACTTGGTTGGCTACTGGGGTGCCATCTGCATGGATTATGTACGTTCTCCCCGGGTTCATGTAGGTTTCCTGTCACAGTCCAAAGACATACTGGTAGGTTAACTAGTTTCTGGACTCAATCAGCTCTTAGAAAATGGATGAATGGATTCAAGTCCACATTAGCAGTAGACCAGTGCAATGCCACAACTTTATAGTGTAATGACTAATGGACAATGAATAGACTTTATAGCTGACCAAAAGCTTCCTACAGTTCCCCCCACCCCAGTGAACTCCAAGGGGGTGGGGGCTGAAATACCTTTGCATCATCTGCGTCAAGGCCATCGAGGTCTGAATCGTCCTCTTCCTATAAAGACAAGAATGCAAAGGGTTAAAGGAGGGGAGGGCGCTGGCATCAGGGTGGGAGGAGAGGGCGCAGCATGCCAGCAGCGCTGGAGGCAGAAACATGTTCTTCAGTTGAATTCTTCAAAGGCAAAACAAATGCAGGGCTGCCAATTTCCTTCATGCTGTAATCATGGAATTTGGCACTGGGAGCGGGATTTTGCTGTGTTTAGCACTGTACTCCCATCATGTTCATTTTTGCGCTTAAATATTAATCTTTTTTTTATTCTGTTTTGGTTTTGCACTACTTAAGTTCATCATATATGAAAGAGTTGGAGGACGAATAGGGGAAGAATAAAACACAACTAAAAACTTTTCTTAATGAGTTGTTAGGGGAATGGGGGATTAGTTTTCTAGTTAAATGTCTCAGGTGATGTAATCTCACACAGAATAGTTGGTAATGTTCAGCACAGAGCAGAACGGAATATGTCATTCAGGTCGGTACTTAACTGACACACTTGTTTCCAGTGCTGTCTCCTAGGATCCAATATCCCGGTCAGAGACAAGCCTGAACACTGCAGTGAACAATCAGCTGTTCTTCTGCTTATTTGAAATGCAGAGTCTAGAGCGTCAGTACTGGTGGAATACTTCAAACTTTACGTAACATTAAAACCAAGTGACTTAAGAAGCTGGAAAAAGACTTAGTTCTAAAATGTATAACGAATGATTAACGACAGCTGAGACCAGGAGGAAACACTCAGAACTAAGATTTTGAGTGCTCATGTTCAGTCTTTCACTTTTAAATGCATAAGGCAAGCACTCATAGACAGACACAAACATACATACACAAGGATTAATTTCCCCAGAAGTCAATCAACCAACCAGAATGTCTTCGGACTGCGAGAGGAAACCTGTTCCACTTGCCATTTCAAAATGTTAAAGCAGCTGCAATTTCAGCATATGTGATCTGCGTGTTGCTTGTGAGACTCCCTGCGTGATGGTGATGGTCCTCATGTCATGTTTTATTTCTCTGTCTTACATCACGTAGCAGTAACAAGCATATTCCCTCTTTCCCAGAGTGAAGAAGTACCTGCTCAACTCTCAGCAGTCTTTCAACAGCTCGCCCTTGCACTCTGACCACAGCTTCTTCTAATTCTAATGTAATCCTTCCCTTTCCATGTCAAGGAAGAATAGATGGTTGTTTACAATGACCATACTATTACAGCCCCGCTCAAGGGTACGACAACTCGCTTGGTGCAGGCAGTCATCAATGTTTATTTAGCACAGCAGGATGTGACAGGAAGGATGGCTTGGCCACAGCACCCTCACCTATGATTCAATTACCAGGAACCAGAGACGGAGCCCTTTTCAACTCCTGCCCCATTTCTGCAATGTGTTTTTGCTTTCACCCTCCCCAATATTTTAGCTGTAGCCCTGAAAAAGGTTAAAATGGCGCATGTGGCTGCTTGCACCGACTGTGCCCCAAGTCGAAGGACAGAGCGTATCTCTCACGCGAACGGCTAGACAGGATTCGCTTGGTCGCCTAGCAACCACCACACATTCTTTATGAGGTACCTGCTTTGCTTGTAAAGGAGCTGGACAAAGTCACGTTTCAAGTGCTGCCACATCTCTGTCCCAACTACTTGCCAACCCATTCTCCTCCAGGCTTTCACAGTGTCCCCTCCCAGACTGAGAACAGCCACCTTCAACTATCTGCCCCAGTAACTTCTTTTGCTATCATATATAGCATAATAATGAAGATTTAACAGAACAGACCTAAAAGTCATGAATTCCTTAACTAACATTTCCTACAATTTGAAGCATCCAAAGGATCCTTCTATAAACTGATAGTTCTATAAAATAAACTCTTATTCTTCCTACTGATCTTTTACTCTCTTAAGGTTAAGAAGAAAGTGAACAATACATCTACATTCAGAACAAAGTATTATTACCCCTGGATATTTTATCATTTAGACGAGGTTCTAGGAATTCAAAAATCAGAATACTTTGAAAACCCCTTGTTAAAAGGAGAAACCAGTGTCTCCGGTTGCTGATGGTATGCACCACCTATCCTCATGTTTTGGAAATCAATACAGTGTAAAAGAAGGTTGGAATATATGATCTACACGCATCCAAGAGATATTACCTCTTTCCTTTTTGGAGGAGATGGTTATAAAAGCTGCATTTGTTTATCTTTTCAATGTTCAAATGATCACTGAATCACAATTTCCCTCAAACTCTCAGCCGTTTTTAATGACACTATCCAAGCTTGTAATTATCCCTCACTGCCAATGGGATGGCTATTCTTATCTCAAATTTCTATCATTTACCATTACATATTTGTTACCATGTAACTGAGGCTAATTTCATGGCAAACATTCACAACTTCTTCAGCCTGTGTCATGCAGCAGCAATCCAATAGCACAGCATAGTCATTCCGCCCATGCTAGTTTTTAATCTTTTAAAATTATTTCCTGAGGAAAATTGTTTTTTTTCTTTGCTCAGATGTTTGAAGGTTTCATGCATTTTCAGTGCTTTCCGCTAACTCACCGAATTTCTGGAGCTGTCTCCACTGTCCTCGTCACCAGAGTCCCTCCGATCCTCTTCATCCATATAACTGGCATTGTTTTTTCCATATCCTGCTGAGACGAGTCCTTTGCGACTGTCTGGAAAACACAGACAAGCACTCAGGCTCTGGAACTGCCAACTACAGAGGTCTTTCTCTCAACATAAAGGAAGATCTTTTTCAATAATGGTGTGTTCTGGTGTGGAACTGAACAGGTGCTGTAAAGGTTACAATTACACTGTGGGATGTGTTGTAGAAACATTTCTGGGAAGTAAGTTATGCTGACATAATTAACTGGATGGACATATAGGGACCACCAACTGCAGATCTAGAGTATAATTATAATTCTGAAGCATTAAGGCAATAACTCCTGAAGTACAATTAGTTAAAGGACTTTATCTTGGATAAAGTCAAACACAATGGATTAAACATCACAATTGAGAGAGCTGCTGTGTTTAAAATACAGAATAATTTAGGAAGCAATTCTAAAATCTTAAAAGTGGTAATTAACTGTCTGAAAAGAATTTCAACAGTCACCCCAGATGGGTAAACCAGGAAAAGGTGACTGATCCAAACACAGGCTGAAGTCTACAGCTCAGATGCCACAGGTTCAGACCCATGTCAAGTTAATAACAGTGGGTAAGAATATATAAGGATTCCCAAGTGACAAGAGGGGCTGGGATTAGTAAAGCCTCTCTATCTCCTCAGCAGTGACCCCAGTTCTCCTTACTTCCAGGGCACCTGCAGGCTTGTGGAAAGATTATCGGGAGATGTGCTTCTCCTCCTTCGCATGCTAACTGTCCTGTCAGGTTTGTGTTTCTCCCAGGTATGCTATAGCCTAAAACCTGAGATAACTGCTGACAACCACAAACAAACTAGGACATACAACAAACAGAATTTGCTGCGGATTGTTAAATCTAAAATGGTTTTATCTTTGTGTCATGAAACCGGGAAGCTTGATTTGCAATCGGCACTACATTTGAAAATGCACTGGCTATTAATATAAATTTCCTGTTTTTATTATTAAACATACCTATATTTTTCCAGTGTGGAATAGAACAGGTGCTGTATATGGCAAAATTATACACGTGATGCGTCGTAGAAACATATCTGGGAAGTAAGTTACGCTGACATAATCACCGTTGGTTTTCGAACAGAGGAGCTATTTTTGGTACTTTCAAATTCCAACACAGCAGGTTTGAACATTCTTCATCTCACCGGTGTAACGTTTCTGAAACAATTTCTTCATGTCAAAACGAATAATAACTTTTTCAGGAGGTTGCGTGCAATTGGTAGAAGGCTATTTATAAGCATACGCTCCACTGTTGCAAAAACTGCACTGATTATAGGCCTTATACATAGATGTTGTCTCAGCTTTCAGGTATTGAAGTTTTGAAGTTATGTTAAGATATATTATCTCATGATTACGCTTTTTTCTGTTTTGGTCTTAAGAAAACTACCTATGTCGGCCAGACAAATTCTAGAATCCTAAAAAATTAACTCCTTGAAAACAGAAATTCCAAATAAATTTAAATTCTTAATAATTCTTAAATCTTTCTACACTGTTTAAGAACCTATTTGGGGTATACATACAGTGAATAAATGGAAAAAAGAAGCATGCTGCAGTGTTGTCTACTGAAGTGAATCGATCGCCACAGCTACGTCTACATCACAAACGCTAACCTCAAAGTGCGGCGCACAAACAGCTCCAAAACACCGACACACTGAAGTTCGATCCTTACCAGGTTCCTCATTCTCTGTATCTGACTCCTGTTCCGATTCGTAAGCCGCTAAGGACGACAGTAATGTGCTTTTCTTTCCACTCGCCATTGCCTTTACCACAGTTCTTCCCGGTCGCCCCAAAGGCGTCATCACTGTGCGCCACCCCGCTGGCCTTAAAAAAATAAGACTTTTCTCATTGGTTAACGTCATCTATCTGCAGTATGGACTCGCAAGCCTTAGCTTCTTCGCTCCTAGCAACCAGTAAATGACTGGACGTTAGTGGCTGTGCTGGTCTATAACAAAATAAACTTAGCTTGTAGTATTTAGACCTTCCTTGACTGTGAGGCTGTCAGTGTTGATTGTATGCTGCTCCAAGTCCATGCGGACAAAAAAAGCCTTAGTCTGCCTTAGTCTCTGCTTGGTATCCAGATACCACTATACATGCTGTACAGTCTGTCCTATTGCGTTTAGTCTGGAGCTGTTGCGTTGCTTTTCAAGTTTGTCCTTGGCCCTTGTTTTATTGTGTGCTTGTTGTAAATAAATATGATATTTTGTACTTTGTATCTTTTATGTATGCTAGGACAATTATTATTATTAACAACAATGGTAAAAAATATCACCATTAGCAGACATCACGTTTGCTATAGCTGTTGTTATCAAATAATCCTTGCGATATGCCAAATGTGTAACAACTACATAATTTCTACATAACATAATTAATATTTTTTTTATTTTGTTAGGAATTATTAATGAAAAGGTCCCTACAATACATTAACTGTTTATCACATTCACCACCTTGATTATTCCTTAATTTAACTCTACAGTAAAATTAATTTACGTATGTGTCATACAAAACGAGGACTGTGAGTGGGTGGATGCACAAAGAGTTAGTAATGCAAGCCTCTGGAAATCTGCTACATGGTAATCTAGGGCTTGACCTAGTTGCAAGGCTGTTGCACTTTGTTGCGAAGGAGGTCGTGGTTTCCCAAATCATTCAACACAGTATCGATTCAAATCAAGACACAAGAAGGAAGCTACGGTCTACAGCTCACAAGTTGCTCTGTCACACAGGTTGTCCTTCGCGCATGTGCAACAACAGGCAATTTATTAAATTAGATACGATTAAATACGATTCAGTGGGTGAAGGGTCACATAAACGTAGGCTAAGCACATCAGAAATATTTTAAAATGTCTATGGTTTATTGTACATTAAATTAAGCGGGAGAGATATGATTTTACATCAGGTTACGTGGCGTGATGTCATCTATAAGCGCCTAAGAAGTTTGGAAAACAAAAAGTTGGACGCGGCGTGTGATGAATGGAGATTTTTATACTTTTTCTAAATTGTTGACACTACAATAGCTTGAAATGTTTGTTGTTATAATTAATAATTACTTACAAAAAACACATTGCAAATAGCTTGTATGGTTTTCATTCATTTTTATATCGTCGTTACGTCAGTTTTTGCTTAAAGTGTAACAGGATAACCACCATTCTCGTTTCGTTCCCGAAAACTAAAGGTGTTTAGCTAATGTAGGCCGTGAAATGGTGAAGGTAGCTTACAGTACTATCAGTTTCGGTATTTTGTGTCCTCTGGTTCCTCTATCAAAAATAAGAAAATCCTTTGGAGGGACAAATATACATTTTATCTGGCGATGATTTCGCTGTGGCAGATAAGTATTATCATTTGAAAAGACGTGATCTAACTTGGGAAAGGAGAACTTTATGTATTGAATAAGAAATAAACCAAAACAAATATTACATGCAAAGGAATTTGAAATGCATCCTGCTAAAAAGAAGAGCTCATCGGCCCCTCCCACCATCAACCCGAACTGCAAAATCCTCCGGACTCTGAAGGATGTGTTTGGGTTCGACTCGTTCCGATCATCGCTACAGGAGAAGGCAACCAGGGCGGTGCTGCAGGGTAATCCAGTGATTATAAAAGCTAAACTGTAGTTGGTGAATTGTACTGGAAAGGTCTGTATGGGATTGAAACAAGACTATTATTATTTAAGCAGCTAATTCAAGTTCTTAAATCTTAAATTTTAAATCAGGTCAGTAGATGTTTCATATTAATTTTGTAGATGTACTGAAGGTAAAATACACGTTCTATAGTGTTTTGAGCCTTTTCAGGTTTATCTGGAGAAAAAATATTGTATATAGGCCAATATGAAGTGAAGAATCCGTACAGTATGTACGAACGGCCAGAATATCTTTCAATGTATTAAATGCTAGCTGTAATGTAATGAGTGCAGCATATATGACAACAAGTGAATAAGTGTTTTTAAATACGTAACACATGTACTGTATACCTAGCAATATAATTAACATTTCTGAAATTATGTAAGGGTCCTTCAAATCCAGTCTGCTCAAATTTTCTCCAACTAATAATTAATTCAATTGACAATTATTCTGATAAATATAACTGTGTGCTATTTGTGTAACTATATAGGCGTGGATGGGATAGACCACACGTAGGATTGGTGTGGACTGCAATGTTATTATTTGCATTCAAGACAACTCTTCTGTAAAAGCAGTCTTCTGTTCTGGCAGTTCAATTGGAAATCATTTTTCTTTCATTTATTCGAATTACTGAGATGGAAAATGAAGTGTGACGTAGAAAACTTTGAAATGCAGACCTATATGTAGTCAGACTGTGAAGAGAAAGTATCTGTTACCTTGTACTATAAAGGAGGTGGCTTGACAGTGGTCTTGTGGCAGTGTTGTGAAAAAGCAGTTGGACTTAATTTGGTCTTCTTAGTGGTTTATGGGTGCTGTGGTGACTTTTCCTTTACTTTGTATTCTGGCTCTGCAGGAGAGAAGGATGTGTTTGTTTGCATGCCCACTGGTGCTGGGAAGTCCCTCTGCTACCAGCTGCCAGCTGTCCTGACCAAAGGGATCACCATGGTCATCTCCCCTCTTATTGCACTCATTCAGGTAACTAGATGGCTGACACCCTGGGAATCTTATCTGTATCCAAGCAAAAACATACAAATGAACAAACTGGAATCCCTAAACTGACCTTGATGTATTTGTCTGAATCCTAAAATGATTCTGTGGGAAAGAATAAAAGAGCCAAACAAAATGTTAGGATGTAGAGTTAAAAGTATAAAGTTTACATCATTGTACAACATACCTAACAGTAAGACCTAATTTAGAATAGTGTGGCCAATTTAAGTCACCACGTTACAAAAATAGTACTACACTTCAATCAGTACAGAGAAGGGCAAATACATACATTCATATACTAAAAGGAACATTCAGTACTGACAGGCTGAAAGATTAAAAAATGTTTTAATCTTAAATGTGGAAGATTTCTAGAGGGCCTGGTTTAGGTATTCAAAATCTTGAAAGGTGTTGACAAAATTAATCCATATTAATTCTTCAGAATCAATGATGAAACACAAATCATAGGATACAAGTGGACATTATTGGAAAGGATGTTTGTAACCGAGTACACAAAGCACTTTACACAAAAGGTTATGGAGGTCTGGATCAAGCTGCCCTGGCTTCTTTTAAGAAGTGACTGGAAGAGATACTTGGATCTTTCAGCTACTATCCTACATAGTACAGTATTCTACAGTAGTATAGTATTCTACAGAGATAGTCCTACGTAGTAACTAGCCCTAACTAGACGTAGGTAATAATGTTGACTTCCAGTTTGATAGAACTACACGGCAGAGATATGAACAATTACTACTTTCGTCGTAAAGGCACATTTTCTTTCCAAAATTAAGAATATCACACTGTGCACAATAAAAACACTGTGCAGCGTTTGTCCTGGTGCACTGATTGAGAGGAATGAGCTTGCTGTTTCTTTCTCAGTCCCTTCCAGGATCCTAACTTCAAAATCCACATCATTTCAAGTGTTAGATATTTTCTTTTTTAGAAACCGAGCAATATCGTCTTTCTCCATTACACGTTTGTTTCTATATTATTATCTTGCTTCACTTACAGGATCAGATAGACCACCTGCTGGCTCTGAAGGTGGCTAGCTGCACAATGAACTCCAAAACCTCAGTGCAGGAGCGGAAGAAGGTCCTGGCAGACCTCGAGAGTGACAGCCCTCGCCTCAAGCTCCTGTACATCACCCCGGAAATGGCAGCATCCCCATCCTTCCAGCCCTGCCTGGCCTCGCTGCTCTCCCGTGGCCTCCTGTCCTACCTGGTGGTGGACGAGGCTCACTGTGTCTCCCAGTGGGGCCACGACTTCCGCCCCAGCTTCCTGAAGCTGGGTGAACTACGCAACCAATTGCCAGGGGTGCCTTGCGTGGCCCTCACAGCCACAGCAAACCAGAGGGTACAGGAGGATATTGCACACTCCCTTTGTCTGCGCCAACCCCTCACCTTCAAGACCTCTGTCTTCCGGAGCAACCTGTTCTACGATGTCATCTTCCGGGACCTGCTCCCTGACCCCTTTGCCCACCTGCATGGCTTCTGTACTAATGCCCTGGGAGGCCAGACTGCAGCTGGGGTAATTATCCTTCTATCATTCTATCACTCCTTAATTTCCTCATTCCCTTTCAGTTGTTCTCATCCACTAATTCAGCCCCTCTCCATCCTCTGTCTCAGACATGCTCTCTCATTTTTACTCCCACTCTCGCTCTCTCTTTCATTTAATCCTAAAATCCAGGGTCCTTACCACCTTTTCTGTCTTGCCAGCCCACTCATGTTCAGTATTAATCATGTCTGGAGAGCAGTTATCCACACATTACTAGGGACTCCTGCGCAGACTGTCACACCTGGATCTCTCCATCATATGATCTTTTTATATGCAAAAATTAACATATTCTTCTGAATGCCAGTAACACAGATGCAGACTCATTGATGAATTTTATCAGTTAATCAAAATGTTGTGACAAATATGATCAATATACAAAATCCATGTAAAAATCCATAGAGTTCATTTTCCTAAAAATATACAGCACATGCATGCACAAAATTATACGTTTCCTGTGATGCTCAGTATATATGTAGTGTTAACTGTAAAATATTGTGGGGGAAAATGTTGGTAATTCCATCACGGGTGCTAAGAGGCAGGCGCTTGTCCAAAAAAAAGATTTGTGGAGCAATGGTTTTGTTCAGTGTTGAGATGTGAGTAGTGTTCCGTTAATAGGAATCTAAAACCACAGAAAAGCTTCAGGAATTCTAATCAGAGTATTGCCTTTGCTTTTTGATTTGGTCTGCCAAGTGAAAACAACAGTTTTTATGGCTTTTTTCATCAGCATCCTAGACATGCTTTTTGGATTTTGTCTTTTTCATTCTATAATTGGAGATGTGAGCTCTAACACAATTCCCAATCCATCTGTGTGTGTCTCTCTTCTCCTCAGGGTTGTGGAATTATTTATTGTCGGACCAGAGAGAGTTGTGAGGAAGTGGCTTACAAGCTCACTTGCCAGGGAATCTCTGCTAAGCCTTACCATGCAGGTGCGGTACAAAGTTCCTTTGTTTGGGTAAATCCCTGGGCTTAGCTTTGTGTGAGGAGGCTGTCCACAAGAGCTGTGTGGGATCTGCATTTTCACAAGCTCAAAGTTTCAGCTGTGGATTATCTGTAACACTTAGTTATTACTAGTATTGACCAAATCAGTGATCTTGCCTGTTTCAGAACAAACTACTTGTTATTTCTAAGAGAGAAAAGGCTTTTGTTCAACATAGATTGTAATAGTTTCTTGATTTGCTCTTTTATCAGTACGAGGGGCTCAAATTTAGGGGACCTCCCCTAAGCAGCACAGAAGAGTTTTGTATCTAAACTATTTAAAGACATACAGTTCGTGTTTTCACATGATTCCGACCAAGATCTCTTTCCTCCATTCTGCACAATATTTTCCACTTTATTGGAAAAAATAAATGGAATGGTTGGAAGCAACTTTAATTTTCCATAGTCCTTATGATTTGTTGGAATCTGGTAATTTAGTAAAACGAAAAGCCTGATGATCTTTTCATCAGGCCTAAAAGCCAGCCAGCGGCTATATCGCCCACCCTGCACCTCACAACTGGCAATCTACCGAAACTAAGCAGGAGTGAGCCTGGCCAGTACCTGCATGGGAGACCTCTAGGGAAAACTAACGGTGCTGCTGGAAGAGGTGTCAGTGGGGCCAGCAGGGAGGGCTTACCCTGCGGTCTGTGTAGGTCACTTTACTGAAGTGAAGTGGACACTGTTCTGTAAAAAGGCGCCATCCTTCGGGTGAGATATAAAAATGAGGTCCTGACTCTCCTTGGTCATTAAAAAATCCCAGGGCAATTTTCAAAATGAGTAGGGGTATTACTCGGGTGTCCTGGCCAAATTTCCCTTCATTACTCTGTTGTCTTCCCCACTGATAGCTGATGTGTGATGAGTGTATTAGTGCACTTAGGCTGAAGATTGAGCCCCCATGACCTGTAATGTGATTTGAGCGGAGTGTCCAGAAAAGCTCTATAAGTGCAAGGAATTACTTATACTGACATACAGAAGACATGGTGGATGGATGGATGGATTAATACCCTCATTCATTTATTTCCTTTTTTTTATTTTATAATGTTAGCATGCCCAAAGGGGTTGGACATCCAGTTGACCTTGGACCCCTAGAGGTTTCTTTTCTCCTTACTAAGGAGGTTTTGGTTCCTCTCCTCCGTTGTCTTCTGGTCTTCTATTCAGTATTCACAAAACGTATGGTTACTTGCATTGTTAAGAGCCTTGGGGCAATCTTGTTGTGAAAGGAGCTATATAAAAATTAATTGAATTAAATTATTATTATTTTCAGGCCTGAAACCTGATGACCGCACAACTGTGCAAAACGAGTGGATGGAGGGCAAAGTGCCAGTCATTGTGGCTACCGTCAGCTTTGGCATGGGTGTGGACAAGGCCAATGTCAGGTCAGTGTAACTATTCTTCTTGTCAACCTATGAATTAAACCTTTAGATATCCATTGATTTTGCATTTGAAAAGGTTAAATACTTCATACTTAGCGTGTCAGTTCTCCTGTGGCGTTTTGTATTACTATGTTTTAGTAAAGCTTGCAGTTTTGAAGTATGTACAAATATGCATCAGTCTCATGTCTGTCTCAAGAATGACAATCAAGCACACCTCTACTGAGAGATGAATTGTTAGAAAGCTCAACATCATATGCACTCTGGCCAGCATAAGTGTGTGACACCACTTCATTTGTTCTCTGTCCCTGAATGAGAGAGATGGTTCATGTTGCCAAGTCTTTGTGTCGCTATTGTGTCAAATGCAGATGAGATGTAACAACGTTCCAGTGCTCAAAAAACTGTACATTTTCATGTTTGATATGATTGAAAAGGCCATGTGTGTTTTTAGATTTGTAGCCCACTGGAACATTGCCAAGTCACTGGCAGGCTACTACCAGGAGTCGGGGCGCGCAGGCAGAGATGGTGCACCTTCCAGCTGCCGGATTTATTATTCCCCCTCAGACCGAGACAAGATGACCTTCCTCATCGGTAAAGAAATTGCTCGCACCCAGGTAACTCAGAGCTGTTCCTGATCTTTCATAAAGAGTACCTGAATGGAACAGAGCAATTCTAGTCTTCTCTGTGGGATGTTTTTTTAAACATGGCAGTGTCACAAGATGTGGTGGGTTATTGAGGTTATTGTCTGTGCATGGCAGTAGCTGGTGTGCATCAGCAGTCAAGCTGTCTTATCACTATAATCTTAATGTACTGTCTCAGGGGTTCATTTAATTTCTGCTCTGTATTAACTCTTTTAATCTCCTGCTTTCAAATCAAATTTGAAAGAGGGTTTATGAATTCAGTGGTTGCAAGATAGAATGATGAGAGAGGCCTGGAGAGGATCATGAAAATCTCATAGAAGAAACCTGGGAAAAATGTCCTGTGGGTCTGTAGAAGCAATAGACATTGTAGGTGTCTGAGGATATTGTCCTTCTCTCCCTGTTTCTGTAGAAGGTGCGTGGCTCAAAGAAGGAACATGATAATGCCAGTATCAAGGACTTTGAGGCCATGGTGGCTTTCTGTGAGCAGGCAGGGTAAGTGATGCCACTTCAGTAAGGGCTTCCTGAATTTGACAAAGGAAATGTTTGGCTCAAACTTATTTCCCTTCTGTAGATTTTATTGCTAATTGGAAATCCAAGTACGTGGACTATGTTTTATTTTAGTCTGGGACTAGTGCCAGACAAAAAACTCTTTTTGAAAGGGCTTCCTAAAGCTGAATGTGAAATGATTTAATGATGTGTATACTGTACAAATCAAATTTTGAAACACCACAGAGAGAGGATAATTGGAGAACAGTATTGTCATTAATTCCTAGGTTCACTAATACTGTATGTTTGCATTCTGAACTGATAACTATTTGTATTTGATAGTATACACCATCAGTATGGTTCCTTAATGATAGGCAAAGCACAAAATGGGTAAACCCCACAAATAAGTAAATAAAATTAAGGCAGGGTGTTTCCCAAATACTTTAACAAAACAAGATGAATGTAAGGAGCAAAGCATTCTCGTACCCTGATTTCATATCATGGGTAGGTTGATTTATTATTAAATAACTGAAAGACAAAGAAGAAGTGTTTACAGCAGGTCTGGGATTTTGCCTGTACTTGCCAGTAAGATTAGAAATATGTTTCTAGTTCCTCAAATAATAGCCATCTTTGTTTAGCAATACTGGCGACAGAACAGGGTGGATCAACTTTTGTTTGTGTGTGTGGATGTGGAGATGGGTTTCATCTTCCTTAGCTTTGTGGCGGTGTTTATGTTTCATGAGCTGCTCTATCGTACTGTGGCAGTCTGGAAAAGGATTTCTTTTGTGCAGTAGTATTTATATGAAATCAAATTCTTAAACGGTTTAATTCAACATTTAAAAACTATTTTTGAAACATTGGAGTCTAAATCCACTTTTGTGACACCAATTGCTACAACCTGTGTTGAAATGAATTGTAGTTAAAATAAAAATGTAGTTTTGCTGAGGCATCTAGAAATTGCATATTCTTGCAGCTCCGTCAGTGGTCTTTAGCCTTAGAGACGTGCTTCTGTCCATAGCAGAGGCTTGTACTGCGTAATCTGTGTGGGATGGTTAGAGATCCCTGTTCCTCCTCCTCCTCTTGGGTGGCTTTGTGGTGCAGCAGCCATATATGAAGGCGAAAAGCACAAGAGCCAGGAAAAGCACCATGAAGGCAGCAATGACAGCCAAGCCTCCAGCTGCCCATGGCTCTCTCTGCACACGCTCCCACACCCTGTCCAGCAGAGTCTTGGCCTCCTGAACATGGTCCTCCAACATACTGCAGAACACAGGAGAGCAGGGGGAGAGGAGTGACGCAGGCATAGCAGTGGAGCACTGGTCCCTGACACAGGAGTGTTACACAGGCACAGCATGAGAGCACAGCGCAGTAACATGGAAGTGACACAAGGACACAGGACAGCACAGAGCTCTGACTTTGGGAAATGACACATGGGCACTGCAGCAGAGCTCAGGGCTCTGACACATGAAGTGACAGACAGGCACAGCAGGGGAAAAGCACAGGGCTCTGACACGGGCACAGCAGGAGAGTACTAGAGTGACACAGAAACGCAAAGCTTTGACTGTGGTAGGCACTGCAAAAGAGCTCTAACATGGGAGAGTGAAATACTGACACAAACGGGCTTGAGTTTTGTTTTACACCAGTTAATGCAACAGTGTAGGACAGCAGTCTAAAATGTTTTAGATTGTCCCCTGCCTCTGAGCTTTCAGTATCTTAGGGATCGCTGCATCACACCTCTGAATACAGAATAACTCAGTTGCAGGAATTGTGTGGTTCACAATGTGAGAAACCGGATGGCTGAATGTTGCTTAAGAAATTGTTGCTGAACCCAAAATATTCTATGTTATTTATCTGGAAAAACATGGTTTCAGTTACAGATTTCACACCACAGGTTAATATTTTCATGAACCCACACCCCTTATCATCTCCATGTGTTGTAGTTTTGGTATTAACCAATTAATATTAATTGAAACAACAACCTAATCCAAGTGCAGTATCTGAATGAGGAAAACCTGATGATTAACTTACTTATTGCAGTATAAGAAATGTAAACATAAAGCCTTTGCTTACTGTTAAATTTTAAACTTCATCCAATGCCGGATTGTATTCTATCAATGATTTAGAATCTCTTTACAAAGGTTTTGCCTTGAATTCTTATTACAGTTGTTTGAATCCATGTACAATGCTAAATCTGCTTCAGAGTACTTACCTTTTTATGGCCAGTTGCTATTGCTGACGCGATCTCTTTTTTGAATATGAAGGTGAAAGTAAAAATTCTCGTCTGTTTTTTGGGAGACTGATATATCAGTATAGATCTGTTTTCTCAGCAGTTACACAAGTTTGTAATGTACAATTACTGTAAAATGCACACTAGAACATTAAATCGTCAGAATGTCTTCTTGGGATTCCTTAATGAAGTTTGGTTGTCTTTGATCTTGTATATCCTGGGAAAACCTGAGATGACAGCACAGCTTTCTCTAAACGCACCTGGGTGTTATGTTAATGGCAGTATTGACACAGTGGTGAGGTATGGGCTGCCTTATCAGAAGTTGATAAGCAGGAGATATGGTACAGAAAACAGCTCCACCTAAGGCACATGATTAAGAGAGAGCTCTTGCAGAAGTATACAACACAATTTCTTGGCATGTGTGTTGCAGTTGCTGCAGGAGGTTCTGCTGAATAGTGTTGATTCAATAAATTTGAGCATTATGGAATTTTTACAATGTCACGCAGTTCAGTATGATGCACTGAGCTGATGACGTGACGTGTGCAAATCTGACTCTAACCTTCTTCAATCTAAATTCTTTGGAACAAACTAGCCCTCAGACCCACATGGCAGCACTTCCCAGTCGGCAGTGGACTTCAACCCTCCCTGTGCAGCATTTAGACATCTGCGAACACACATTTAGGGAATACAGTTCACATTTATGGATTGGCCTCTCCAGGAAATGAAACAGGTGCAAAGCAGAGAACACCTTGGACGGGATGCCTGTCCATCACACGGCACACATGGAAATAAACTCACACATACTCACTCCCATAACAATAACATGGGGAGAACATACAAACTCTGCCAGATAACACCCCATGGCGCTCCACAGTGCTAACCACTGTGCCACTCTTTAGCAGACCCATCATTGCTGATTTTAAATGTTTTTGAAGTGTCTAGGCACATACCATCATTTTTTTCTATACAACTTGTAAAATACTGTGAGAAATGATTGTGTTGTATGGAGGTTGGTTTGCTTCTGTGCAGATCTGCTTTGTACAATGTACAGTTAGAAATGAATCAGACCCTTGTATCGTCTGCATGTTGTGATACCGGTGATCCTGAACCTCTATGTTCCAAAATAGTTCAACTAGATCCAGTAACCAGAGCGTTTTTGCTAGTCTGATTTCAATCATTTCTGTTGTTCCTTTAAGCTCAGACAGTTTTTGGATGTAACCTTTATTGCAAGAACGTAAAAGAAAATGGAACATTGAGACAAAGCTTGATGCTCATTGTACTACCAATTTTATTAGCACATTGTTGTATAAAGTAGTTCTCACGTGTATTTTCTCATTTCCCACAATACTTTTTCTTATGCAGTATGCTTTTGCTAAATACAAAGCAAATAAAACATTAAAGTAATCTATGATTATCAATCAAAAAGTGTACAAGAAAAGAAAAATGTTCAGATGATTAAGGCACTACTTAGATTCCAATGATCCTGGTTCTTTTCACACATGGGAAACATCATGGTGCTGTACACTTTATTTGCATTCTGTATTTGAGATTTAGCTAGTCCATAGATAAATATGCAGGTATGCATAATATTATGTTCATCTTTCTAATATTCTAGTGTCATCCATGCACACTGTCTTTATCAGGTTATCTTGAGCTCTGAGTTAAATTAATGCTGGTGAGAACAAAAGAGAGGTAACAAAGAAGGAATCCCTCCAGCCCATCTAGCACGTTGGGTTATTAGTGGCTATCTGATCTGAGGACCTCATCCAGCTGGCTCTTGAAGGAAGCCAGGGATCCAGTTTCAGCAACATGGCTAGGGGGCTTGTTTCACACAGTTTGCCTGTCATGATGATATGTATTTTGTAAGGTCCATAAAGTCACTCCAGGTACCTGTTAGGTATCTGTTAGCTAACAGTACCTATTAGCTCTGTGGTTGTTGTCATTGATTTTCCTTTCAAGTCCCATAATTGTACATTTTTACTAATTCAACTTGGTTTATGGAGATAGACTTTGTCTGAGATTTTGGTTTGAGTGCCATAGAATACTTTGAAAATACATATTTAATATGTATGAGAACTGTTAATAAATCCTTTATTGCACCACAAATTTAAATAGTGCAGTAATTTGCACTGTGTAATCTAACAGTTTACTCAATTTTGTACTATTACTACGATAAAACCTTTTTTATGTAGTACCTTTAAAAGCAATCCTATGAAAGTGCTTAAAGGGTACTAGGTAACATCTGCTCTGGTTATAAATATACTGTGCTGCAGTTACATTATATTTAAATACACCGGTGAAAACAGGTCATTTGGAATGAAAATCCCTTCACAGACTTGGAATCTGCAATCACTCTGTTCATTTCATCTGCAAGTTACTGGTTTACAGGCCTGAAATCATACTCATAGGCAGCAGAGGGCAGTCCAGCCCTGTTTTTGCTCTGCATTACAAGCTATTGAAACAGGTGACAGTTCAACATTATCCCTCTTCTGAAACCCTCCTAAATGGCAAACATAGAGGCACTGTGGCAGTTTTAAATTCAGTGACTTCACATTTAAAAAATATCTACAGGTGGCAGTTTCAGCTAGTGTACCTTATAATCTTTTCAACTGTGAATTTATGGCAGTGGTTTAGCAATTTCATTGTTTAAATATTAATGTCATTACCGTTGGGGCTGGTTGTAAAAGTAGCTAGCAAAAGATTGGAAGATGCTATAACTGGGGTTCAGTTTTTTTAAATAAATTCCACTCTATAAGGCACTCTTGGGCTTTATAAATAATTT